CATTTCGGCTTTTTTTTTGCCTGCGCATTCGTCTTTTTGTTCTCTTCAGCCCTCTCAACTGCGACTCGGTAGTCCTCATTACCGTTTGTTACCTTTCCGAAATCCAATAGTCTCGTTTGAAGCTATACGTAGGGAGCTTGAAATGTTATCCTGCAACTACCGTATACTGAGTTGCTGATGAGTGCTCTCAAAGCTCTCAGAGCGTAGGAGTGCAAGGAGGGTAGAAACCCGCTCGGCAGTCTGTTGTGAGAGTAGCTTTTGAATGTCGATCTTTCCTGTGTTTGTTGACAGGCGTTTTTTGCTGTTACAACTTATTGGTCCGAGTCGATGTTAAATTCTTGGAGGATACGCACATTTAAAACACTGGAGACATTTCTTCCGTCTATCACAACAAGATCGATCTGGAGACAGCCAAGTAGCTTATTGAATTATCTTGGACTGGAAGCTAATACTACACACAACAATAATTCGGTAACGTTGAAAGTGATCAGACTCAACCATGTTTCGTTGTGGTGGTTGAATTTTCCGACAGGTGTGCCGAAGATTCCCTCTCTGCCTTCCGGACGTTGATATCGTTTTCAACGCTCTAGGGCTCATAAAAAACATCCTTCACTCCGCCGGCGAAATGTTGAAAAGTTACGCTTCAATGCGGATTGTGGCTAGACGTTCAGCCACTGGAGTGAATACCAGGACTCGACGACGGAGTTTCTCTCCCACAACGAATCCGACACCAACTTTGCGCTCCTTTATGTGGCCGCTGTAGTAGATTTTACAAGGATCTACACGTTCCAGTGTGCTTGTCCCATCTAACGAACTTCTTGGACGGCGGTGATACCAGCCTTTAAATTACCGGGGACAATGAATTCCTATTAATGAGTATAGCCTTGCGACTATAACTGAATACACAGAAATTTTTTGTTCAGATCGTATTTTAAATAAAACATTTTTTTATTTTAATATTTATTTTATCAATAACTAAATAAATTCTTCCAATGCACCATTCAATTTTTGCCTACTTCACATGACTATTGCTTAAGCGTGTTCAAAATAATCTTACTAGTCAATTTTTTTTTTGTTGCTGCTTTATATGAAAAATTATAATGGGATGTTTTTTTGTTGGTTGGGAAGGTAAAGGATTATGGATACTTAGTAATTACAAGTGTTGTAGCCTTTCGATCATAACAGACTTCAATAAAAATAGAAATAAATATCTTTTTAGCACACTTTTCTTCGTTATTTATTTTTAATGATATATTCTACTTATTATAAAAAGTCTTAAATTTTATTTAATTACAATAGTTGCTTACAAGCTAGAATTGAGAAAAAAATATATGAAGTGAAATTTCTTCATCTCGACAACAGTATATGGAATATGGTGTTCTGCACGGCAGTCGATGTGGCAACATTTGTAAAGGTGCGAACATTATCGCTATAATGGACCGATGCAGTCGCTGTAGCACTCACATGAGTGGTGATAGTAATTTCCTGTGGGCGTGCTAATGTTGACTGTAAAGGAAAATAAATTATGAATTAAAATGTAAATGAAACAAAAACGAAAAGTTTCTCCACGCTACCTGAAGCAACAGAGAGCAGCATAAGAATAGAAATGAAATTTGAATGAATTTCGTCATTTTTCCTGTTGAAAATAAAGAGTTGTTCACTTTCTCTCCGAAGTTTGCTTAAACAATGATTTGTTCACAATGAGTTTATAACCGTTTTATAAACTTGTTACCAATGGTAAAGGGCAAGCATAAGCCATTGCTGCAAACAAAAAACCCCACATTTCGAAATTTTTTCTATTCACAATACTTTGAATGCAATTACGATTTCATATTAATCTTTTATTATTATTTTGCATATTAGTTTGTAGATTTTACAGTTTTGTACAGACGGCTATTATTAATTTTATTATTACACGTCATTATGGGCTGCACTTGCATAAAAGGGAATTCTCGCTTATCGCTGTAACGTAAATTTCCCAAACCAGACGCATCAACTACGGCGAAGCGCTCACGTGTCGCTAAACTACCTGTTGGATCTACCTGCCATGAGGTGGATGGGTTTATTATACTTTATTAAGAAACATGAGTTAGTTTCTATGAATTTGGCGAATTTAATGACGAAAGTAATTATTCTTGGGTTACTTACGCTTTTTATTCAAGTAATTCAAAAGTTCTACAGTAAAAATAATTGATGCGTTTAAGCTATAAAAGTCTAGGCTTTCACATATTTGCATCAGTTCAACGCAATTGGTCCACAAAGAATAAAGTATTCTCATATTGTAAAATTTAAAAATTATATTTCATTGAAATGGCCAAATCCTCGACTCTAGTGCTCTTCCTATGCATATGCCTTGCTTTGAAGGTAATTTTAAAAAACAAAATTAAATTAAATTAAATGAATTGAAAAAAGATAAGTAAAGTTAATTAGAATATTAAATAAAAAAATAACACTAAATAAATTAAAATAAATTAAATTATTGGAAAATATAACAAAATTAATTAAATTGTTAAATTAAAAAAGAATTATAAAAATCAAAAAACGCAAAACAAATTAAAATTAAAAATATTAATAAAAAAAATTGATAAAATAACTCAAAATACAATAAAAAATTTCCTAAAAATTGATGTATTCTAATAAATTCTTATCTTCAGCTTGCTGCTGCTCGCCCTGAAGGTGTTATTATAAGCAACTCGGTCAATGCGGTTTCTACGGCCAATGTCAAAAACGATCCAAACTTGCGTTCTTTTACAAATTTCGCCAATGCTAATTCGGTACAAAAGGATCTCTATCATATATTATGCGACTGTGGACCACAAGAGGAGAACTCGAGCAGCGCTGGGCAAGACTGATTGAATGTAATTAAATATTTAACTTAAATATTTTTAAAATAGTTATTAGTAGTTGTTAAATAAAAAAATATAAAAAAGGGTGAAAATGTTTAAATTGTTATTACTTACTTGAAAGTATTATTTGTGGAAGATAAAGATTTTCATTCATAGACATATGGTATTTGACCATAAGTTTCACTACAGATTTAGTTGATGGGAATGAGAGCTCCGTACGAGATGTCCCATGCGACATTTCTTTAATTCATACAAACAGCTGCTATATATAACTTTAGCAAAAATCAAAACTATTTTTGAGGAATACTAAGACTTAAGACTACAAATTTAATGACACTGTAAACGGGAAAGCTGTAGCTACGTCAAAACCATCAGACAAACAAAGTAAGAGATCTCTGAACTAATGAATGTTGATTGTACTAAGTTCAAGGTGGAGCTAAATCTCTGTTGTAGAAAATTCTGGTCGCAGCGATAAAAGTTGATATGTCTGCGATCAAGGTACTCCCAAAAATCGAATAAATATCAAAGTGAAGCTCAGAGATGAGACTTCTGTGAATATTTTAAGTTAATTATTTTTCAATATTTTCATACAAAAGTGCATATAAACATTAACAATTTAAGAGATAAAAATTAAGATTTTAAGCTTCAAATAAAATAGACGAATGATTAGTGTTGTGTACTAACACTTGAAATGCCAGGGTTTGATGTCTGGTTCGAGGACGGAGCATCACACGATAGACCAACGTGTATTTATTATTGAACAATATTTCAAAATAATGATAGCTCGGTCGGTATAGTGTTTTAATTACGTCACCAGTGAAGACGTTAATTAAATAATTCCGGACCCCAGGATCTTCTATGCCAAACACACAGGTAGTATAAAAACAAGTCGTTCAAATGGCAATATCCGAGCAGTGACTGAGAGTGTCGGTGACAATTCAGGAACCCAAGTTCGACGTTTAAGTCTGTCTTCAGTTAACTTAACAATTGAAGCCTATCTATACTATTTATTTCTAATTCTAAAGGCAACGGGATTTCCAATATTCGCTGAGGTTATCTCAACGAGACAATCGAAGAAATGTTTTCCAAGAATTTTGTATTGCGCTGATGTCAAAGGTGGACAGTGGCATAAGTAGCTATCGATGGTCTCCTCCTCTTCTTCATGCCTGTAGCTGCGACAGAAATCTTTAGATGATATCCCATTCTTTTCCCATTGTCCAGTTATTATGCCCGTCGTTATGGTAATGGAGAACCGGCTTAGAAAAATAAAATATTTCCAGCTTCGGCCACAGCTATTTAGTCACGTTACACGTGATCTCGTCCAGCCATCTTGAGTCGGCTTCTCTAGTAAAAACCAGTTTAAACATGTGCTTTGTTTATGCTTTACGTGGGTAGAAGGGTTCCTTCCCTTGCTAGCTCGTCCGTTACGCATATTTAATGAAAGCATCGTACTTTCCCATCAAGCTTCGAGCCATCTGTGAAGATGGCTATGGGTCCCTGGTCGGGGGCGTTGGTAGTTGTCCACTTCGAATCAAAGTCCTATTAGCCCTGAAATCGATCCTAAATTTGTCTTGCAATAAAAAAATATATTTAATATTTATAGATTTTCGGCCAAACTTATTATCAAAAATTATTCCATGCATCTTGATATTTTCCAATAAATCGAAAGACCCACAGTTAATCCTAACCCGCCTACGAACGACTGCTGGATTTCTGTGAGGATCTTTGATTTCATGTAAGAAATAAACCTTCTTTTTTTGTGCATTCTGAATTTTTCGTAGAGAGGATTTGAACTCATGAACCAATTAATGGTCAGCAAAGCCGAATACAAGATAGGCATATAGATAGTGGTGAGCATTTATATTCGTATATACGTATATATATATGTACATGTAGCTGCTTCCAATTGATAATGAAGAGGGAAATACTAACAGTATACGATAACTACATTTTGTTAAAAGTTGTAGTTGTAGAAAAACTCGTTTTGTCATAGCGCATGCTGCCACCGCAAATTAAATGGAAATGGTAATGAAGCATTTAAGACAAAAAAAGAGATAAATAAACAATTATTATCGACTTTATGATGAAATTTACATACACACGATACTATATAATATTGCAAATTAATTTCTAATCATTCAGTTGTTGAAAATACATTTTCTAGGCAAGAAGCACATGAGGACAGCAGCAGCATAGATATCAGGGGAAAATGGTTGAATTCTGGGGTATTTTTGTAGTATTTTCCGCATGTGCAGCATTTCAGGTGAGTGATAATGGCATTGTAGCATAGTGGTAAATCAAATTTTATTTTATTTTCACACACATACAGATGACAGAATCGCGCGTCCATAATGCCCACAAACCACGGAACAATCTCAACCGCTCAACCGTTCGTACAGAGAGTATATCAAATAGCATAGACTCAGAGGAAGTTCGACTGTTGTCATCTAATATTCCTAGAAATTCTTTGGAGGATAATTTGTCCGCGTCATCGGAGCAAACGGAAGCGAATCTGCTTAAAAAAGTGGAGAATTCATCGGAAGAAAATGAAATTTCCAGCACCACCAAATCAATCACAGTCAAAAAGCGTTTAAGTTTAGTGCAGAGAAGGCAAGAGTTATTTAAATTTGCCCGAGATGGTATGCGTATATTTGAGCAGGATTTTGTGCGTCTAACGCGTGAAGTAATCGAAGAAATTGTTGTTGCCCTTGAAGCATTAACCAAAAAAAGTGAAAATGTTAAAGCAAAAATTAGTGAAATAAAATCAGCTTTAAAAGATTTAGAAGGTATAGATTTAGATGAAGAAACGCCTGATTTTGAAGCTTTAGAGGAAGCGTCTGAAATTGTCGACGATCTCAATGCTGACTTTAACAGCCCATTCGAAGTGGCGCCAGAATTGCTGGAAGTACTGGAAAAAGTTGGTTGGTTGGATATGCGTTATAAATTGGGCGAGGAAGTATTTACTTTTTTCAAAGAATTCGGTATACAATTAAATAAATTTGTCAATACGTTAACACCACGAGAACGACAAAGAGAAGCCGGCTTGGTAGATTTGAATAGAAGATTTTCTACAGGCTCAACAGATGCCATATGGGCTGCGTTCACTGAATTTTGGGCATATTTTGATGCATAGTTAATGTATTGTAGAAGGAAAAACTATGTTTTCGGATCTCCCAAGTATCAATATAATTGATATGTATACAAATTTTTCCTGCAGACATCCATTTTTATATCCGTAAAAATGTCTATGCTATTGTATAATGTATATGTATACATATGTATATGTTATATGTATGTACATGTGTACTATTTCGATATTTTTTTATATCCATACTTTTTAATAAATGTATTTATACTTTAACCTTACGAGATTTTTATTTGTATGAAATAGCTTATGCCTAATTAACTTTTTATTGGCGTCACGGATAACCACATATACAATTTGTGCATACACTTCTTCACCAGTAATATTATAAATATTACCATGATAGTTTTATTTTTTTAATTTATTTTATTTACTTTATTTTAATTCATTAAATTTATTTTACTAAATTCAATTCACTTTAGTTTATTTTATTTAATTTTTTCATTTTATTTTATTTTATCGTTTCATTTTATTTTATTTTGTTTTGTTTTTTTTTTTTATTTTATTTCATTTTATTATATTTATTTATTTTTTTCTATGTAATTCAATTTCTTTTATTTTTTTTAATTTTATATTACTTATTTATATTTAATTAAATTAATTTTATTTTATTTTTTATTACAGTTTATATTTTTTTTATTTGTTTTGTCTTATTTTATTTTATTTTATTTTATTTTATTTAGATTATTTTATTTAAGTTTGTTTTATTTTGTTATATTTTTCTATATTTTATTTTATTTTTTTTACTTTATTTTGTCTACTTTATATTACCTTATTTTACTTGATTTTATTTTGTTTTATTTTAGCTTATTTTATTTTAGTTTAGTGTATTTTATTTTCTTTTAATTCATTTTATTGAATTTTATACTATTTCTTGCCACTCTCAAGTGAATGGGTTTCAAAAACTTGCGTAAGCTTCTGCACATGGTCCCATTTATTTTATTTTACTTTATTTTATTTTCTTTATAATATTTTATTTAAATTTGTTACATAATTAATATGACGTCTAGAGACAAATATTAGAAAGAAGATAAAATAACAACAAAAAACTTAAAAAGATCATATTGCACAAAACTTGTGTCAGATAATTTAAATAATTACTTTATTTTTTGTATGGCTAATTCCATTTTGCTGTTTTAAATATAATTAAAAGTATAAAATATATACCAACTCATGTGGAGGCCTTCAGTATCAACTTCGTTGAGTAAATGTAAAAATATTAGCCTGGTAAAAAGGTATTTGCCTTAATTGCTATACAGGTAATGTTAGGAATTGGACCATTCGCATATTTATGAATTCCGAATTCCTATAATAATTTCTCTATTCGGTGCTCTTTGTTTTTGCCAAACAGTTAATTAGTTCACAACTCATGGACTAAAAGGTATTAAATACCGAATATCTAAATCAACCCGTCTTTAATTTGGAAACCAAAGGATCATCACAACAGCATAACCGGGAATAACCACGACGGCAGCAGCTAACAAAATCCAATGTAGTATTTGATGAAGAAAATGAATAAAGAAATGATTACAAACTCAATGATAGCCTCGAAATGAACCTGGTGTAAACAAACTTAAATTTTAACGAGCGATGTGTGACAACAGTATCCCAAATGAAACCTAATTTCGATAAAAAAACTAGATCCAAAAAAAAGTATACAGTATAATGACATTGGTAATATGTTCGTTTAAATATTACTTATATATCGCCTATATTTAATACAGTACTCATGACAACTACAATATATACCACTTTTTTGACAGTTGTATATCTTAGAGCCAGAGACATCCAGGTGCCAGGAGATGTTCGGCAGGAAGTTCAAAGCATGTATATAAAATTCAACTTTTATACAATGACGTTAATTTATACACAAGTTTGAGGCTGTCCAGCGGGGGGTTGAAACTCAGCAATGGATCAGATCATTTTTAATATTATTCTCTCTCGATAGCGCAAACCATTTACCGTAATTGTCGCTTCAGGTTAATTTTCGAAGAAAAAAATTGCAATGACCCCGCCGGACCATAAGCTGCACCAAGCAGTTACGCTTTGAGAAAGGAGAAATGAAATCTGATGCATCAAATATGTAGCTTAGTGCGTTCATGAAAATTTTTTCCTAAATCGTGAGTATTAGCTTTAACTTATGACTGATATTATAAGAACATCTACAAGAGTTCCTCAGTTTTTTCCTGGCCCATATCTTCTAGAAAATTACATATTTTTTTTTAAATTTTTATGTCGATTTCTTGCAGTTTAACCATGTGAATCGAAGACCGTCCCGCAGAATCTGGATATGCTTAATATGCAATGGTCTACAGGTGATGATATTTTGCAGAGAATATATTCTTAATAATAAAATAAACCTCTGTGACAGGACAAGGTTTTGAAAATAAATATTTACACCTATTCAACAATACTAATAAATTCATCGAAATAAACCGAATCGGAAAACTTTATTATTTTCTAATTAAAATCAAAATAATATAATGGCTTAAACTAAACCTAGTTCTTGTTTAATTTTTTCTAAAACAAATTTGTTATGATAATTGATAATTACTATTAAAAGCAATTGTCATATAATTATCTCGTTAACCGACCTTGCCAAATAAAATAGAAAATTCTATTTGTAATAATTTACTTTGAACCAACTAAATAGCGTGAAAACTTAGTATCGATTTGTCATTATTACGGTAAAGAATGAAATGACTGTCGGGCCAAAAATAATTATTTTACTAATAGCTCCGCTCGCCATGCAGGTAACCAAAAAATCGATTCCTATTTTTTCCAATTGAAATTAATTTTATCCTTTTAACAGTTAGTCACGTCAACAAGGCTAACGGTAGGTAAAAAGGATAGGGTGAATATAGTATTCGCTGATCAAATTACCGCTGATAGCACAAATGCAACTCCTTACAGGCTAAGTAACTAGCAGTCAGTCTAGTAACTGACCATTATATATGTATATGTATGCTAACATATTTAATGTTTAATAAAAAAGAATAAATACTTGAAGAGCGAAAAATTACTCTAACGAAAAATGGTTCTGAAATTTCATAAAAATGTCTAAAAAGGAGCATAGAAACTCAACAGTTGTTCATTATTGCAAGATGAGATATTTCTGGTGTTTGCTCGTCTATTCTTCGTGAGATTTCTCCAATAATTCAACTTAAATTGTTCCACCTGATCTGGCCCAGTGTGACTCCTGCTAACAAAATACCATTATGGAGAATTAGGTTAGAGTCATTTGGGTGGGTCATTGAAAACATAAAGATCATGCTGCCCGATGAGTATAAGAAATGTTTCGAAAAGCGGAAGAACCGTTGGTATATGGTAATTACATTACTTTGAAGGTGATGATGCTAATTAATAAGAGTAAAAGTATTTTTAAAAGTTGTAATAAAGTCACTTTAGAAAATATACATTTATTTTACCAAGAATGAAATAGCAGCAGATCAAAGAAAATCGGCATGTTTAAGACACAAATATATTTTTATTGATCCAGTTGATTCGAGGCAATCGTACAACACGCATCACTTCCGAGAGCGCTACAAGCGTTATAAGGAATTGAAATTTATAAGCAACTACACTTAGTTGTTTAAGAAAATATATTTCCATGTTGAATGTGCTTATCGAATTGGATTTCTTGGGGAAATATAATTTGACGGATGGTGAATGTCAATAGTCGCCAGTTGTAGAATTAACAGGTCACTGATAAGCTCAAATTATTTCTTTGTTAACGCAAAGAAGGAAACTTTTTGGTTTCAAAATTAGATTGTTATAGCGATAACCACCTGTACCGTCCCTGAGTAGAAAGAAGGCAACTAGTTTACTAATTTAGCATGGTAATAAAATCGTATGCATAATGAAATACAATATGCCATAAAATTCTATTAAAGCGGAAAACATAGAATACAGTATTTTTAACTCCAAATTTTATTTAAGGAAAATTAAGAAAAAAACTTAAACATTTGAAAGAAACAGCTGATTATTCTCATAATCGCCATGTTGGTTACAATTTTAAATAGAAATTACTTTTTCTGGAGTTAGAGCTATCTAAATACTTATATTTTTGGACAACTACTTGGACAAAAGCAAACATTTTCAATTTTATCGAACTTAACTTTACGTTTCTACAAAAGAATTACTACAAAATTAATTAATTTCTTCGAACAAAAAATCGTTTGGGGTATATCTTCAGAACGTTTTATTTCAGTAATTACGGCATAAGCAGTGAGACCATCAAACGCTATTAAAGTTTTTTTCAATAAATCTTCCATTAACTATGCATAGGATCTAATTATAAAATATTTCTTACTGGTTGGGGTCACCTCAAATAAAAAGTGTATTTATAATATTGTAATATATGTAGTTACGACTCTTGGCTGACCAATACGTCAGCTTAACGATTCATTCCGAGCCGAAAATAGTACAACAGTCTGAGAAATGATGCAGAAATATGTAATCGTCTGGGTCGTAATCTTTATTATTTTACGGGTTTGTAAAATTTTACTTATACCTTTTATTCAATTTAATTTTTATAAACAAAAATTTCATTTTGTTTCATAGTTAATCATCCCGACTTTAGAATTAGAACAGTTGCCAAAGCAGCCGCAATAGCACAATTGAAATTATTAAAATTCAATATAAAAATGGCGAAAACCTGGCGGTTACGGCTCGTAAAACTATTCGTGCACGCCGCTCCAGAACAACTGAGAATATTGTTGCTGTAGCCGAAAGTGTTGAAAAAAACTTAGATTTATCCATTCCTCGTCGTTCTTTGGAATGAGCGAGTTTTGGATTTTTATGCTTATCAAGTTCAGCATTAACCACATTAATCATCTCCTTAATGCTATTAAAGACCTTTCTTTTTTATTTTTTTTTTAAATTTTGGAAATAACTAAAAATCAGAAAGTGCTCTATGCAGGCAATATGGCGCTGGACGTATTTCTTCGATACCGGCATGGCGCATTGTCCCGATGTAAAAAATGGTGCCGCAAATCCTCTTTTTTCCTGTTTTCTAACAAATTTTTGAAAACTTTTGGTAAGCACACTTCGCTGCCCTATTTTGCAGTTACCTCTGACCCTTTTCCAGTGGCAGCTACGATTTTAAATCGGGTGAAGTAAACTGACATCATTACTTTTGCTCCTGTTGGGCTCCTGTTGAACTCCTCTTTGGTTTCTGCATCGAACTTATAGAATCAAGACTCGTCACCAGTAACAACTTTTCTAAAGTTGCTTGACTGGCCATTTTCGAATCAAGCGAAATACCTCTTCTTGGGCCTCATTTGAAATTCGTGGTACCCGTGAAGCAGATATCTTCGTGTATCCCAGATAATTTCTTAATATTCGCGGTACAGCCATTTCATTCAAGCCCAATTGATTTTCAATCATTTCTTGTGTCAATCGTGGGTCTTCGTCAATTTTGGACTACTGCAACGTTATCAGTAGAAGATTTCGGTCGAACTTTTCGGGGCTCGTCTTCTCCTAAAAAATGTCAGGTCTGGAATCTCTGGAATTACCTAGAAATGGTATTTAAAGAAAATACGTTGCACAAGCAATTTGGCATTCATTGAATATTTGTCTTGGCTGTAAATTACGCCGAAACCCATTCTAAAATATGAAAGGATGTCTAATAAAGTAATTGCAAACGATTTAATATTTTCGGGTTTAACAAAAACAATTGAAAGTCACTAACTGAGCGAACTTTTGTTAACGCCTTCGTATATCGGTAAAAGGGCTCGAAATTTCAATAAAATCGCTGTCGACCACGCAATTATATCTTTTATTGTTAGTTACGATTGCTTTACAGGTCAGAAATGGTATATTCCACGAACAACTAGACTGATGGACTTAATTAGATCATTGCACGTTAATGCAATGTCTCAAGGATGAATCTACTACATTTTTTTTTTACTAAAAATTAAATTTTTAATATCAGCCGCTTTCACCAAGGTGACTTTTTAAAAACGATAATGACTTAAAAAAAACACTCTATTGATTTACTATTGATAGCGGCCTAAATGTTACAGGATCTTCAGTCGGCAATGGCCATGGGGCTTAAGTTCCGAAAATGTTCTTCATGTTAAAGACACAATAGGAGTGGAGCAGTGCAGCTTGGTCGCATGTAGTGTGTCTTGCAACACTATTGACTATCGTCTATAGGAGGACCAGCCAGCTCAACCTAACCTAACCTATTATTGATCTTGCTGACATAAAATTTTTGTTTGAGCAGTCCCTTTTTTCATGAAAATTATCTGAAAAAAAAACTAACTTTGGTATGGAAGTTCTGTTCCGTTTTTATTAATTCCAGACTATAAAATGATATTATTTTCTAAATAAATAACTAATTTATATCAATACTATACAATATAAAATTTTCGTGGTCAAAGTTCGGGGAAGCGGCCCAAATGGTGGCCAAGACCGTATTGACGGCCAGGAAGGTTTTGCTGCATGTTTGGTGGGATTGGCAAGGAATCATCTACTACGAGCTGCTCCCATAAGGCCAAACGCTCAATTTGGCTCTTTATTACCAACAAACGGATTGCTTGAAGGCAGTACTCATCCAGACGAGGATATCTTTGCTCAACAGTGGCCGTATTGTGTTCCATCAAGACAACGCCAGGTCACACACGTCTTTGGTGATGCGCCAAAAGCTCCAGGAGCTCGGATGGGAGGTCTTAATGCACTCACCGTATAGTCCGAACCTGGCACCAAGTGATTACCATGATTATCAACGCGTTTAATGGTGAAAAGTTGGCCTCAAGAGAGGACTGTGAAAATTGGGTCTTCGAGTTTTTTGGCAACAGGGACGCGGCCTTCTACGGGAGGGGTATAATGAAGTTGACATCTCCTTCGCAAATAGTTAACGAACAAAATGAATATATGACTTAAATGAGACAAACACACACAAAGTTATCATGTTTTTGAAATTCAATAAAAAACCGAACAAGCTTTTTGCTTGACCTTATACTTCATTCAAAGTACTGTTCTTCGGAAGCAACTACAATACTTATTCCCATCTTTATGGCAATTTTCAAATATCATTTATAAAAAAAATGCCCTGTTTGTCCTCGATCCAATCATGTAGCCATTCTTAAGTTTCTTCAAAATAAAAACCAACCGATGGCTCCCGTTTCAAAGTACGTTTTGACCGCTACAGCCAGGTGGGGCCGAGCGTTGTTATGTTGCAAAATCACCTTGCCATGTGTTTCGGTCACTTCTGGACGTTCTCCAGACAATTCAATGCTCAAACGCGTTAATTTAAGTCGATACAGTTTCACTTCATTGACTTCATCTGGTCGATATGGATTTTGATCCAAAAAAGCTATAAATTCCTCATCTTAAAACTTAAAGTGTCGTCGAAACCACCCTTGGGTGACTTATCAGTTAGATCCACCCTAAGGATTCCGGGACATTTTCGGAGAGGCAATGTGAAATCTGCCAAGATCGCTTTCAACATTGGCCACAATTCGCAAGTGGAGTTATGGCTCAAACTAATTTGTGCTCCTAACAAAATAAAACACCATATTCTTGTAAACTTTGTGAGCTACATTAATAAAGGTACATTGCACTGTGTTGAAAGTAACGACAGATATCTATTGTATTTTAACTCTAGATTTTGTACTGCATCGAAAACTTTCAGAGCTGGAGTATTCCTATCCATCCGGACCACATGACCTATCCAGCGTAGCCGCTGTTTCTTCATTTGCTCATCGTTCCATCGTCTACGGTATTCACCATTACAGCAGGACGGGAATGATATGCAACTTGCAGAGTTAGATTTTTGTTCGCTTAGAAAGGACTTAAATTTTCTATTGCCTACTCAGTCGTACCTGTTGGAGTGATTCTACGTTGGATTTCTATACTGACATTGTTATCTACGACTTCAAAGTTATGACTGTCAACAGTGATGTAAGAGCCGGGTCCCGAATGCGATGTCTATTTGTGTGATGACAAGAGATATTTCGTCTTGCCTTCCTTCCCTCCCAGACCTATTTCTTTCGCTTTCCTATCTTAGGAGAAGAATGTAGAACTCCCGCCGCGGTTCTCAAGCCAAATAATGTCAATATCATTGGCTTACGCCAGCAGCTATACACTTATAGAGAAGATTGTACCAGCTCCTTTCTCTAGCAATAAGTTAACGAAGTTACACGATAAAGAGGTTCGAGGTCGAACAGTTCGGAGAGATCCTTCCCGATTTTGACGGAGCTTTTAGTGTTGCTTAAGGTCAGTTTGCACAGCTGTATAAGTTTTTCTGGGATATCAAATTCAGACATAGCAGCATAGAGGCAGATCCTTTACGTACTGGCGAAAGCTAATTTAAAATAGAAGAAATGGTGATGTGTGTCGATCCTCTTTCCTTCATCCGACCATATTCTGCAAAGTAAATTATGCGTGCACCTTGTCGGCTCTTCAACGCCGTATTTCAATAGCTCGGCCGTTAATCCATTGATCCCCGCTTCTTTGATGTTCTTTTGAGCAAGCGATTGCTATTTTAGTTTCCTCACAATCGGGTAACGAAACGTCTTTTTCATCGAATTCGATTGAGGTTTCGGGTTCACCATCTCCGCATACTCCATTTTCGCTGCCATTCAGCAGGCTGGAGAAGAGTTCCCTCCATAAATTCAGTATACTCTAAGCATCCGTCGCTAGATTACCTCTTTGCGACCTACAAGGATCTGCTCCGGTCTTGAAACCTTCTCAAGCTCTTCACACTCACATCCCGGCCTCTTTCTTTTTTGTCCGCAGATGCATCTTGCTTCCCTCTTCTTGTCTCATTATATAATGGAAAGCCTTTTTCTTCTATTCTATTCAACTCAGGTGCCTTTAAAATCCACACCACGATCGATCCCCATCACAAGAAGTCTTACGAAGATAGTCTGATGATAATAACGGAGCCGTTAGCACGACAATTGCATTGTAATGGTTTGTAAAATTCAATTTTTATTTTTATTTATATATTTACATCTTAATTAACTTACTAATTTATAAAAAAATAAATTTTACGTTTTATTTGTTTATTTTTTCCTATATTTACATCTAATTAATATTACTAGCTTAAATTATTTTGTCTAGTCGTACATTTTTGTCGCACTTAAGCAATTCAGTCAAATCCCAACTAGCAACTAGTCAACGATAAACTAAATTGTTTTAATTTTAATTACCCACCACTAAACGTATCTATGCATATTGAAGAATTTAAAGATGACAAAATTTTAAGAACAAAAAATTAAATGATTTCAGGGAAAAAACCCGGAAAATACAATCTTATCACAAAGCGCCAATTAACATGTGAAAATCATTTGAAAATATGAATAATTAATACACACTACTAACCACCAAGTACCAAGTAAGCAGTTCCATTCGAAAGCAAAATATAGAATATAAAATGTTAGTCAAAGGCCGGAGCAGCTCAGTGTCTGTCAGCCAGTGGCTCATAATCAACACAAACCGGTGGAAAAGTGTGGGAATTTGAGCGTGAGAATGTCGACGCAAAAGCAACTATTTACAGCGCTTATTAGCTTACTAGCTATGCAGGTTTGTGAAAAAAGAAATTATTTCCAAAATTGTTTGTAAAACAAAAAATTATATATTTATTTTATCACAACAGTTAATTGTAGCGAAACCCCTATGGACTTTCGATACTTTATTTGTTTCGGAGGAAGAAGGTTTGGTCCGGAATATCGACTATTCTAAATTGCAAAGCTCATCTGAAGAGCTACTCTCAGTGGAAGAAGAAAAAATCCCGACGTCAAAGAAATCGAATGGTATCACATGTGTTATTGGCGCGTCTTTACCACCCAGAGCTATAGAAAATTCTTATGAAGTATTTGCTAAAATACTGGTACGCGATTCAAAAGAAGCTACTAAACAGAAAATGAGAGAAGTGAAAGCGTCGGTTACGAATAAAGAAATAAGTTTCGGACACTTTTACATTATGCTGAAAACCTTTAATGAGGTCATTGTGAGACGGGAAGGCGAAACAATGCATAAAGCGCTTAAAGTAATTGTACACCAAGCATATGAGGACAATGAAAATTTATTTGAAGATGGAGTTTGGTTCGAAAAAATAATCAATGACATATTGTGTTTGGTGTTAAATGCGCAAGCTGAGAAAAATGTGGTCGATACCGTGGTTGAGAAGTACTCAATGCTGGAAGTGATTAGCACGCATTTTGATTTATTTAAAAAATTTTGGCTAGATTATCGTGCAGCTAAGAGAGCCAAGCTAGAGCAAGATCGTATGAATAAAGAGACTATTTGTGTGATTGACGTACAGAATGTACCAAAAAATGCAAGCGAAATTACATTTAGAGTATTTTCTGAAATACTCATACGCGATTCCCAGGAAATTATTGAAAATAGATTGCAGGAATTAAAACCATATAATGATGAAAAAGCCGCTTTGAACAGTATCTTGGAAAAGATACAAATTTTGAAGAATGCAAATGTAAAACGACGAGGCGAAGAAATGTTTGAAACACTACGGGAAATAGATTCAAACAACGATGACGACTATTCACCATGGTTAAGAAGAGTGATAGATCGAATTTTTTGTCAAGCTCTAAAATTGCACACAACTAGTGATGTTAATAATTTAATTGCGAACTCCACAATAAAAACAGTCATTAAAGAACATTTTAAAATATTTAAACAATTTTGGTTGGAATATCCAATTGCAAAGACAACTAAATTGCCAAATATATAACTCTGTTACAAGCACAATATATTAGCATACTATGATAAATATATTATTAAATATATTTACGCATATACTAAAACAGTATTAACTTAAAAAATGTCAACATATACTTCAAGTGCCATAATTTGTATTATAGATACTAAAAATTTTAGCTTCTCTTTTAATGAAGTTTTATGCAAGAATAAATTTACAGACAATATATATATATATAATATGTTGCCTTTTTACTTACATCAAGGTTGTATTGTAACGATTAATTTGGCATTAAACAAATAATTTCAATCAATTCGGTTGAAAAGTTTGGAAATGTTATCGTTAAAGCAGTAATGAAAATAAATGTCATTATGTTGTGTTAAATTAGTGTTAAATCGTTAGCAGATAATGTTAAATCGTTAACAGATAATGTTAAATCGTTAGCAGATATTGATTAGTCATTAACAGATAATGTGAAATCGTTAACAGATAATGTTCATGTTAAAATTGTATTGTGCTGTTAATATCATAGCAGGGTTTGTGCGATTTAAACATTAAATATAGCGCCGAAATGAAAAAAATCATTTCGTTAAGTTTATTTTTCATATTAGCAAAATAAAATGGCTTCGTTTCGTTAGTTGCACAGCTCTTATTTATATTCAATGTGCGTGCAAGTGCTCTACGCTATCCCGGAGGCGAAAACGCAAGTTGTGAAACTGGAAAAATATCAAACTCACTGGCGGGAATGATTCCTTGCCAATCCTAACAAACACACAACGAAACCTTTCTCGCCGTCAATTCCTGGCTTGTGTCGGCTCACTGCCCTATAAACTGCTCCTCTAAGACGAAACTCTCAATTCAGACTTGCATTGTCAGCAATTAAACCGTTTTTTTAGTTTCTTAGCGGTTTCATTTCAAGCTTTCATTTCTCATATTTTGCAACTCTAATTTACCAATTACATAATACCTCATTTCTTAGTACTTTTTTTCGTACCACGCAATTCACAATAACCCACATTTTTTTCCCACTGTCACGGAAAAAATGTCCGTTTTTTTATTTTTCAATTTTATTGGAACCAAACTTCGGAGTATACCCAATCTGATAAGAAAAATCATCTGTTTCAAATAAAAAAAAAACACAATTTTCGAAATAGCACTTCGTGGTAACAAGATATGTCCGTTCTTTTCCTATCTCTAGTAACCCTTTTTTTTAAATTTATATGACACTACCCTCAAAATATACTTACTATTGTACATTTAATACAAAAAGATTTTTCGAGATCTACGGGAGATCAATGAACCACCTGCGTGTCATACCCCTCTTGAAAAATTATATATACCTAATTGGCGCAAAAAAAAGTTTGATATCATCTCACAGTTACAAAATTCAATATCAAATGCTAGCGTTGTACGTTTGTAACACGATTAAATGTTAAATTATAGACCAAATTGAAGATGTTTGATAGTGAGTAGCGAAAGTGCCTCAGCTGTTTAAACCAGTGTTGCCAAAAAGATAATAGCTAAAAAATCACCCTTTGGTTTGAGTTGCTTAATATTTTGAACATAGCTTGTTTTCCTATTTTAATCTGTAGAATTTATTCTTTTCGGGAAGTGGTGATCGAGCTGTTTGAGAAAATCTGCATTCGATTAAACTGGCGGGAGAGATATCTTCAATTTTGTTTGTCAAACACTTTTGTTTCAGCATTTCAATGAGTTTTTTACTTTGCATAAATAAATTCAGAATTATAGAGAGACGTCATGGAGAAAATCTCGAAACTTTGGTGAAAATGCTAGAATAGAAAAGAAAAATTCTCAAACCGCACGATATTGCTCGAGCCAAATCTGCAGTAAAACTGACGAAAATTCTTAGAATTCCATGCGAACGATGTCGCGGGTGAAACCTTGCACTAAATAAAATGCAGAATCTGATTTTTTTTAGTTTTATTTTTTAAATATATTTTATTTCCAATGAAGAAGAGTTTTTTAATTTTTTAATGTCAGACATGATACAAAAGTTCTTAAGGTAAAAAAAAACAAATTTTGGCCTTTTTTCTCAGAATTGATTGATCTCACTCAAAAAATATTAAATTTACAAATTTTTTATTATCTTCAAGCAGATGTCATAATACTTAATAACCGTATGGATGCATTCAAATATTTCCTTCAAGCAATTTTACTTAGGCGGCAGAAATAAGAGACGAAAATGCTTGGTACTTTTTTCATAAATGAAAGAAAAAAAAGTTTACATTTTTTACTTTTTTTGTTAACTTGTATTTTTAGATTTTCTTGATTAAATGCGAGACATCCGTGGCTTGGGTATTTGGTCATAGGGTCCGCTCTCTCTCAGTGCGGCCCGTTATCGTTTCCTCGAAAATGTCTTCTTTGATTGACTTGCAGATCTTACATCTGTGGTGGTCTGATCATCTGGAACGGTGAGAAAAATCTTCTTAACAGAACCAACATACGAAAAACTCAATATATTTAGGGGTTAGATTATATATAAAAGTGTCAAGAAATTCAATCGGATTAAAAACTTTAAACGCAAATTGACGTAATTTTTTAATTTTTTTTTAATCAATTTGCACCACTCTCAAAACAAAGAATAATTAAAACAATATCCTGTCTGCTTACAAAATGGCTTTGAAATATTTTTAATGTCTACAAATGTAGATATAGCTGATTAATTTAGCTCCTCATCGTCTTTAATACGATTTAAATTTTGGTGGGACTCGAAAAAGTTGGAAAAATAAAAATGATCAGTGATTTTTTGAAAGTTAAATACTAACAAAATATTAAAAGTTATCACATACATATTTTGGATTTGAAAGTGCTATATTTTTCTGTTTTCTTAAGAGAAGAGGGTAGCACGAAAAAAAATTGAAAACGACTACAAAGAGAGATTGAAACAACTCCCCCTGCGGGTTTGGGGTTCAAGAATTTATGCGCGGTAAGGCATGACTGTCGCCTCTTACTTAAATCCGATAGTTCCCGCAACTGTGGGGTCTTCATACCGGAAAGACCCGGATTTTTATCCGTCCAAGAACTGTCACTCCCGCAACATCACCAAAAAATACTTTTGGGGAATATTTAAATTGTTACAACAACAACAACAATAGAGATTGAAACTACCTTTAAATTATTGCCTCATACGATAAACAATCTTTTTTCACATTTGGGCACTAATTTAAATTTTTTTTCAATTTATACAAAATTTTGCGAAAAAAGTTATACTTTTTAAACATGAGATTTTAATGGTGAAATGTAAATGATGTAGCTTTAACACAGAAACAAAAAATACGATTGCAATGTATAACTTCGAAAGACGATTTCTCATTATTGAAAGAATCCCTTTAATTTTATCTATTATAATTTTATTGCTACTATTTTCAAGAACCTCATATTTTCGTAATAAAATTATTTCGCTTTCTTATGTAAATAACCAGGTAAGGCGTGAAAGGGAAAATCGTGGGTTATTTTTACAAACTTAATTATACATAATTTCCTTAGATATGATTTTTATTTATTTTCTTTTAAAAGTTCATCTTTATTGTTATTTGTGCTGTATTCTGAGAAATTCTGCGCTGAGATTAATGTCTCTACTTTTCATGTGAGGTAAACAAACAAAAGTGTTTATATATAATATGTATATATACATACGCATTTATGTAGTCACATTTGTAATTTCATACTGTGCAAACAAGCAAACACAGAACATGTAATCAAGTACATACACACATCTATAGATTTTACTCAGTCGTAATTAGAAATGCTTAAATGCTTTCTGAGTAACTAATATGGAGAGACTTATATGTATGTATGTATTTATGTATTCATTGAGTGTGAAAATAATACTCTTGTGTCTTCTATAATGAAAAACAGCTTTTTAGTATCAACTGATATATAAACTAAACGCCGATTGCACTTTCTATCAAATGCACTAAGTTCGTCGAACGATTCGTATCCCAAGCAACGCATACATACCGACAAAAATATGGTGAAATCAAAGATTTTTACATTTTTAAGTCTTTATCTAACATTACAGGTGAGTTGGATATACAAGTTTTATATATTCGTATAACATACTAAACTTATTTTAAACTGACAGCTCACCTGTGCGTTTCCCTATCAAAATTCCTTAAACGCCATCGACAGCAATGATGTGAAATCGAAGGAATTGCAACACAGCAGCACATCGAATGACGACTTTCACCACTTACTTCAACCACTGACTGCAAGTACGCTCAAAATCATAGAGGATCACTCGTCCACGCTAATCCTGGAAACAGCGACCTTCCTTGACAATGTAATCGTTGAATTAAATTTGCTACCGGAAAGCAATGAGTACATCGACAAACTTATACCCGAGTTGACGAGCCTTTTGGATCGTATGGAAAAACTAGATTTGGATGACAAATCAGCGCCATCATTACATGAGAAAGCAGCAATCCTGCATGCTATCGCTAGAGTCTTCACAGATTTTGATAACATCGTGCGCAACAACAGTGATGAGAGTAGCGATAGTAGTGACAGTAGCGACAGCAGCGAAACGGCGGGTTTGAAGCAAGTCCTTGAGAAGCTGGAATTGAATGGTCTAAATGAACGCATTGGCATCTCCACCGCGAAAGCGGTGCAAAGGTTTACCGACGTAATGGAACCCTTCTGGAATTCGCTAAGCGAGGAGCAGAAAAAGCAACATGAAGATTTGGTTCAATGGCATGAACATTTCGTGGCCGCTGAAACGGATCAGGATAAATTAAGGACGCTTATAGAGTTTATGACCATCCTACGTAATATATATCTAACAGCAGCAAATTAAGAAAGCAAAGCTTTAAACAATCTTAAATGTGATATATTTATAATATATGTTAAATATTGCATTAGAATTTATAAGAAAAAAAATGTTAATTGCTTGCAAATAATTACTAATGAATTATTAGGAAAACATTATTTTTATTATGAAACATTTTAATTAAAAAGTTTTCTAATACTTTAATAACTTGGTATTTAACGTTGCTTGTAATTGTATTATAATTATAAAAGTTCCAGAGAAAACTTTGATACCTAACACGTGCAATAAAATGTGTTTTATAAATTTCTCAGTAAATAATAATTCGTGCGAATGCAATATGGAATTATTTGCATTTTAAATATACACATCTTCCTACGAAGCTATTAGACTTTTAAACACTTTCCACCTTTTGACACCTGTCCTTATCACGATTTCATGGCTTCTGTATGAATTGATAATAAATATTTCGTGACACTTATCATAATACACGTTGCTTATACAATAAGACTTTTAAACATTCACTTAACAATAGATAATAAGTTTTAAGATTTATTATTATTCTATAATATTTTATAATTTTATTTCATTGATCTTGGCAAAGTCGTGTGCTCAATAACTATTTCATGAAAAAAACAAAATGTTTGTAATATAAAAACTTAAATCGAAACAACATATGTTTATATTCTCTGCTTAAATCAAACTTTCATTTTATAATATTTTCTGATTTGCTTAATAGTATGGTTTTATGAAAAAAAAAATAAACAAAATAATGTAATATTCTCCAGTAAATACGACAAGAATAAAAAATGGTATCTTATGGCCCAAAAGGAATTTTCCAGTCAAATTTAACAAAAAAGTAGAGTTACTCTTGCGTTAAATCACATGAAGCTGGAAATTTACAGAACCATACCGTTCTAATGAAATCCCGAAAAGTCCCCACTGATCTCATATGTGCAAAAGTTTTATTCAATGTTATATGTTAGTTCTCCGAAAGCAGCGGCTCAGTTTAAAAATGTAGATGATAAGAAAGCTAAAATCAAACTGTAGGTGACAGAAAAAAAGCCTAAAATAGGAAACTAGTTAGAAATAAGAAAAATCGTATAGAGTCATTGTCCATCAACGCTTCTATTTATTTAAAAAAATCGCTTTGTAAAATTGGCAAGAATCTTAAGTCAACAGAACACACTGAAACAACATTGAAACTACAAGGGTACGGTATTTCAACTATATACTACTAGAAATTATGTTCCTTTCTCACTGTAACAGAGCATCTGTGACTAAAATAAAAAATATTATTGCCGTCTTACGTTAAAAATTAATCTTCAGGAGTCGATCATTCCTCACCGGAAATGCTAAAAGAATTGATAAGTAACACTCTCGTTTTTCTTGCAAAGCTATTTAGGACATTAATAACAAATATGGAAAAAAGGTTAAGATAATCATGACAGCTAAACCAGATGAAGATGCAATCCTGCCGTTATCATCTAGACCAATCAGATTGTTTTCTTTGTTTTCCGAACTTTCTGAATTAATTGTAGCTATTAAAATGTCTCCTTTTCGCCAAGGAAATGATATAATTCCTACACCTCGATTAGGTTTTCCCGAAAATCATGGCACAATTGAACAACTAAATAGTATAACAAATGAAATAAGGAAAGGGAATATCACTCTGCGGTTGTTCTTGTTGTCGTTCAAGCATTTTATAAAGTGTGTCGTGATGGTCTCATTCATAAAATTAAACAATTATCACCTAACACTTTCCACAATATGCTTGTATCCTACTCATCCAACAGACGATACACTGTAAAATAAATGATCACATAACGGAGGAGAATCAGGAGAACACTAATTATTCTTGGATCAATATCATTTATACTGTCCACTGCAGACGTAGATTTTTACGGATGATACTGCTATAACAAACCGACACCAATGCCTCATTATAGCCACAAAGGTGTTAGCAGACACTTCAAGACATTGAAGGATGGCTAGCGAAATGACCCATAAAAGTAAATGAAAATAAGTACAAACACAGCACTTTTATATTAATGCCAAAAATATGTCCTACTGTCCAGCTCAACAATATGACCACATTTCTACACATATAAATATGATTAACTAGGAAGTGTCAAATATGCAGCATAAGCTTAAATTATCCAGTTTTAATGACATTTAAGCAAGTAATCCAGGCTCAGCGTCGAAACCAATTTCCTAATCAGACTATAAAACCGATATGGATGCTTGAAAACCATAGCTTGTGCGACGAATCTAGACACAATACAGAGAATCTAGTCGAAAACGTTGAGAATAATAATAATGAATATCCACCGAGATCTAAATATACACAAAGAGGAGATTGAAACGGCTTACAAAAATATAGAGCGAAACTGCACAATTATCCGAACCATTTGGCCGTTACCTTGGCCTCCGCAACAAGTCAAAGGCGCCTGGAGAGAAAGAATTAACTACCCTTGTAACGAGCAACACTGAGCAACGATCTGTTATATTTCAATTTAGTTTATAAAATCACTTTCTGCTTCTGTTATCGAATCAGATTTAGTTAATATAAACAAATGTTACTAAAAAAAAGAGGTAGTTGTATTTATTTTTAATTGTCCACATAAATATTTCTCCAAGATTGCTTTTTATGGAGAGCTTCAACCTAACTATACACCATCCAAGAAGCGATAGAAATCGTCACAAAAAATACCGAAAATAAAACTTCGTGAATATCCAAACCTTGGTTTAAGATACACCCGCCTGTTGAGGATCTACAAACCTACCTTCTAAAGAGAAAGGTATGGCCTAGAGTCTTTTCCTGCTTATGGGCTATAAAAACCTGATTTTGTTATGAGATTTGATAAATTATCGTTAGGCTCCGTATGCAGATTGTATAAATAATTATAAAATTTTTATACAAAAAAAATTATTCGGAGAGGTTAACATTTCCAGCCGAAGGGCAGGGCTAAAGGTTGGAAATGGCTTCGAGCCAATGGTATTTGCCATTGATTGCAAACGTCATACAGTCCTAGTATTAAGCATTATTGCAGGCTTAGTTTGTTTGCAAGAGGAATAAGGATTAAAAGTATTTTGCATATTCGCCATTTTTTTGCTGCCGTAAAAAGTGGATTTCAGACTTTTTATAAAATTTTCTGCAAGAAATGGTACTATGGTACTCAAAACTACTTGAAATGGTGAGCGTGACCTATGGTAGATATAATATGAGTCAAGAAATTTTGATTTGTATTTTTTAAACAACACCGTAATTTCAAGAGAAGAAAAAAGAAAACCTTCTGCTGCTAATCACCGATTTGGCTCTCAGAAGTATTTTTTCTGCACTCTCTTTTCTGAAAGACGAGAAAAAAACTAGATTTGTTGAAGTCCTACGAATATCTCATCGTTCTATTCACTCTGTTTTAATTTCTGATTTAATAAATATAATATAATATATATATGTATAAACTCCAATTTACTTTAAGCTAAGCTATTTATGCCCAACCGCTTAACATTTAAAAGCTTCAGATTTTAATTATGCAAATGCTTTCATTTCGAGCTTATTTTAGTGGGGGAAAATACAAAGCAGCTTTTTATAAAATTACTAAGAAACACAAATGACAACAACAATTTCAAAAGAAAAATAGCAAAAGTTTGTGAAACTTGTGTAGTATATAAACTGTTGGTTGAACACCGCTTCTACTCATTTATTATAAGTAATTAGAACAAGAAAATCAAACAGACAAACAAGAACTCGAAAATCTCAAAATGGCAGGAATTAAAGGAATTATGATATTAGTGAAATTCCTTATGATAATGAAGGTGGGTACTCCAAGAAAGGAAAGCTATTTCTATGAAATAACAAAAATAAATTTTTATTACTTATTAAATAAATACGATCAATTTCAATTTCACAGCTCAATGCAGCATATCCTCTGCTAAGTTTTAATTCAGTTGAAAACACCGTTAATAGATTATCAAAACTTGAATTAAATCATATAGGAAAACCTTCAGATATACTTGAGAATGAAATCAACTTAAAATTTGATACAAATGAATTAGGTTCCGGAGAATTCGTTGACTTAACAGTACCAAACGAACAAAACAAAATTATTAAACAAAAACATACACCAGAATCAACAAGTGATCAAGTATTACCTTTATTTTCCAAAATTTTCATACGCGATTCAGCTGAAGTTTTTCAAAACAGATTAAAAAATTCAAAAACCACAGAGTACTCTCTTATTTTGGAGAAAATCAAAAATATTGGAAAAGAGGATGTTACGTTAGTGGGCCAAGCTTTATACAACGCTTTTGAACTAACGAATGATGTAAATACGGATTACGAGATTTCGCAAAGTACGGCAGCCTGGCTGGAACTTATTTTGGAACGTTTTAGACAGTTCATGAAGGAAATGGAGTCGGGCACCAGTCCAAACGACGCTTATGAGAACTTTAGCATAGTGGGCGATATCGAAAACAATTTAGAGGCTATTAAACTCTTTTGGCTTAATTTTTGAATAGAAAGCAATCCTCTATAAGTAATTTTTAGTTTATTTATTTATTTATAATATTTATTAAATTATAAGAAGCAGTGATTTTATACCAAAAATAAAATAACAAAAAATATTAGTCGTTAAGGAAAAAAACTGTGTTTTTGTACTCATCAACTGTTTACTATTAATCACGAAATACCTAATGGGAAATCCAGGATGACTCTATTTAGGTAAAGATTTCTCAAATGATAAATCGGTTGAGACTTCTGAAAAATTAAAGAGAGTTAGATTTACCAAAGAGAGTTTAATCAATAAACTTATACCATGTTGTTTCAAATCAGAAATTACAGAAAATTTGTTTCTCTTATTGCATTGTCTTCTCAACAGGAAATGTCAAGCCCTCCTAGTGTATTTCTAATAAAAAACCATCAGCCGTTCGAAGGCGGCTTAGCATAAACTGTAATTCAAAACCGCAAATTCCAAGAGAAACTAGGCCGAAATGGAAAACAATATCAACCAAATTACCGCCAGAGCTACACTTACTAGACCGTATCCTTTTTGTGAAATTTTCCCTCACCAAGACGTAAAGAGACTGCTGTGTGCCTTCAAGAACTTTACGAATTCCATCTGTCTTGATTTGACGTTGGCCTGTTGGCGCAGCCCTTAACTTTCACGTGACCCCAAAGGAATAAGTCACAATGTGTTAAATCACAAGATCTCGGCAGCAACACCTTCGAGAGATATCACGGTCGGGAAACTTTTTCTTTAAACGATCGATGATTTCGTAGATTGTGTGGCACGAAAAATTTCTACAAATCAACATCATCCAATTTTGGCCATAAAAAATGATTAATCATCTCTCCGTAGCGCAATTTATTCACCGTAACCGTGATATCCAATGACCTCGCCGCCAGACCATAAACCGCACCAAACACTTACGCGCTTTTCAGGATTTTATGAGATCCAAGCACACAAACAGCAAAGGCACGACGTTGTTGATGATCGGCCGGCTTGAGTTCTTGAGTCAACTGAACTTTATAAGCGTTAAGACTTAAATCGTTAGGCGAAATACTCTGTAATGCTTGCGTAATAGCCTTTTTCAAAGAACAACAACGGATAGACAACACTTTAGGCTAAAGCTTAAATATTCGCAGCTACTCTTGGGCGAAGAACACGTGTTTTATTCTTAACATCATTAATTCGTCCCATTTTTTCCCCAAATTTCTGTATTGCGATCCCATAAGGTGTTTCACAAATAATTGTCAAATAAAAAATTTTTTTCATGGAATTCGTTTTGTATTTTAAACTTTAAACCTTGGCATTATAAAAGGTTATTTTTAAAGAGCTATAGGAAAATTTTTCAAAAAAAACACATAAATTTCAGAAAAATGCACTAAATCTTAATTTGAATCGATATTACGGTCCATATAATTTAATGTTTGAAGATTATTTCATGCAAATGTTGATCGTGACTGCGCCTCATAGGGTCCATCCGCTTTCTCCAATTTTGGCATACTCTTTCCAACATTTCAGCCGGTATCTCACGAATAAATGCTTCAATGTTGTCCTCCAATGCGTCAATAAGGCTTGTCTGTATAAACATTAGATTTACATAGCCCCACAAAAAAATAGTCTAAAGACGGTGTTTCATGTGTCACCGTCTTATTGAAACCACATGTCATGCAAGTCCAGCATTTTGGGTAAAAAAATTTTGATGAAGAAGATGAACTTTCTTAACAGAGCACCCATTTTGATAATAAAATTCAATAATTTGTAAGCGTTGTTCGTTTGTAAGACGATTCATGGTTAATGTTTGACAGTTATACAAAACACGAAACGTGCGTCAGCTGTTTAAAAAAGTGTTGCCAAATAGATAATAGCTAAAAAATCGCCCTTGGTAACTCTAAGACTTCACAAATATTTCATCCATTTACCAGAGATAACATTCTCTTACCAATCGGACAACTATCAGAATAAGCTCAGGAATCTCGAAACAAAGATTTTGAAGAATTATAGACAACATTTCTCTAGCAAATGCAGTTGTGATCCCTTTATATCACCAGTAGAAAATTACCACAAAAAGTGCCGGATTCACCAGAGAAGCCTTAGAGATGATCGTGATGGAGAATGGCAATAACAATGAAGTTTATGATAAAGGCGATGATCACAATTCAAGCGAAGATGACTATGATCGTGAATATGATTATGATGGTGAAAAAGCCGTTTATTTATTTTCAATAAAATTTGAACCTTAATTAAATTAAAATGGTTGAAAAGCGGTGTTCAATATTTTTTTGTTCTTTTATGGTTTAAAAGAAATCAAGTAAATAACTCCAATTGCTTAAATTTTTACTTCCTTAGGATTAATTAACTAAAAAATATAACTTTTCCGTAACTAGAAGGATTGTGGCAATTAATCCCCATTTGGGAATAGTTAGCTGGTTAAGTTGTTGAGTGAGCTGGACTTTGTATGGATGTATGATTAAGTATATATGCAAAATACGCCATAATATAACGTAAGAAATTCCAGCTCTTCCGGAGGTCGAGAAAAAGACGCATTCGGATCTTCGGCTAATATTTCACTTACCGATATTTGAGATGGATTGAATAAAATGATAACGCATGGGCCTCACAATGTTTTTAACCGATCATTTCACTTTAAACTTCTTTAAAATTTTTCCACTGGCTGGAATAGTTGGACCATATATATATATGTATATATATATATAATTAGCACTAACCGTTGAAACTGTTTTCGACCGAGCTCCTCCTTCAATTTGTGGTTTTGCCTGTTAATGTTTTTCCAACAAATGGAGGCGCCTACAGTTTATATTAAACCGCCTTCAAGATTTGAACCCTGACCTTTCAAATGGCAGTACCCAATGCTAACCACTTGGCACTGTATACCATATTCTCTTCTTAAAGCTCTTAAAGCACGAAAACTGAACGTTCGAATCCTCATTTCTGTAGCAAGGTTTCTCAATTTTAACGGGTTATATTCGGGTTGACAGTTAAGTTTGGGAGAATTCGAAATATATCCCTGTATATTTAAAACCAGGAAGCGGTCTAATAATTTATAACAAGAATAGCAAAGAAGTTGGATGTTAACAAATGTTTAATTTTAGAAATCTAAGCATGTAAACATTAGTATATACATATAAGGCATTTGCTTAAACGGCCCAAGTATTTTTTTTTGATTTTTGGAGCAAGAAAAAAGTTGGTTGTTTTATAGAATACCACAAAATTTGATTCTGGCATAAATATTCGTATTATTAAGCCGTCGGATTGACAGACTTCCTAGCTTTCCACGATCTACAGCTAACCGCAAATCGCAATATGACAGACTTAACACTTGAGTTGAAAGGCGCCGCACTTAACAAGCAAAACGTTTTTTTCTTATTCACAATTGGCTTATTCAACAATGTAATCTCCATCAAGCGCCCCACAATCATTCCATTGTCACGCCAACATTTCATTAGCGCTCATATAAAATGATTGATCTTAAGCCACCAAAAATTTATCTCAGTTCCAGGACTAAGTATACCAGCTACTCTCCTTCCAGATCCATGCTTCAGCTCTCGTCACATATCGAGCAAAAATTACCGCTTGTTACGCTTAAAAATAGCCAAACACTGCTAAGAGCCAACAAGACATTCTTGTTATTGATCAACAGTGAGCAATCCATTTGCACCCTTAATGTTCTGATATCTTACTATCTTAAGATATTCATTTTTTTTTGTAATACAATGAATATTTTTTAACTGGCAGCTTCTCGAACACACCTGTCTCACGCACGCACGAACGCAAGGCAAAATTTCAAAAAATTTTGAACACTTTTTTCTCGAAACCATGGTTTCCGAATTAACTTCAAGCCTTGATCTATTCATCCAATTTTTTTTTATCAGAAAACTGTTTCAAAGTATATCAATTTTTGTAGGTCTTGACCCAAAGATTGGTATTAATAATTAATTTTTGAACGTAATTGAAGTGAAAAAAGTTGCAAAAAAATTTAACTTTATAATTGCAATGAGCACTATGCAATAAATGTATCGTTAAAATTGTTTTAAGTCAAGTAATGACCCCGATTTTCGATTTTAGCCCACTACAAGAGGCTGTAAGCTTGAAGTTGTTGGGACATGGTTTTCGCGCAGAGGCCGACGGAAAGCGCCATTTTGTAGCCGTCATTTTGAATTTGAACTATTTTTTGCCGTTTTTAAATCTCAAATAATTAACAAATTTAATAGTCAAAACCCGAAGTTCATACGCCTTTTCATTCTTCCACAAAAAATAATACAAACTTGGCCTGATTTTTGCCTATCATCAGGGGAGGGTGCCTTATGTAAGGTAAATTTACCCTTCTAATATTCAAAAAGAATTTTGAAGTCACCAAACCAAAGTACTTTTAACACTTCGTTTGAACGATATTTTTTTCTCCTATAAGTAGTGTAAAAAGTAATAGCAGAAGATTGTTTTCGAAATATCAAAGCTAGGATCACTTATGCCACAATATCTCACAAATTTACAAGGGAATGTCCATAAACCACTTGGTCATACGAGTATTTTAGGCTTTCCGGGAGCCACCTCTCCCTTTTTGAAGCCTAACCTAGACCCAGTTTGTAAGTGAATAATTAAATTCAACAGCGAAAAATAATAAAATTGGCTGGTTAAGATGTATGTTATATTTGTACTAATCTTTTTTATCCTCCATTAAGTTATGTTGATATTATTCTTCATGATAACCGTATCATCAATTATATATATATTAAATTCCGTAAAAAATAATTTATGATTTTAGCTTTAAAAATTACGCTTTCTTTACCATCGTTAGAATGAGCCGATTTATATCAAATATGTACCGTTTTGTTCGATAAGTTTTCAACATTTTGTTTCTATTGGCAAAAATATTGGGACAATCGATTTCCACATGCTTCTCTTGAACACATTCTTCACCAACTAAAATACTCGCCTTAGACAAGAGCAGACGATAATCACTTAGGATGCAGTAGATGCATAAAAACCTCCCAACCAAACTCTCCGAGCCTCTGACAAGTCACAATCGATGTTTGCGGTCTAGCGATGTTTCGCTGAAACACAATTTGCCTCTTGTTGTGCAAAAGTGACCACCTTAGGCCGATTACTTCTTTCAGTGCAAGATCTGATGAAAGAGTTTGGCTTTAGGGGAGCAGCTCATAGTGAAATTCCACCATTAATTGTTCCTGAGCGATTGTGCCGGCCATTACCCTTCGAGCACTACCGTTTTCCATTGATGTTGTTGTAAGTGATCCATTTTTCATTTCCAGATACCATACGCTTCAGAAATGGATCGACTTAATTACTATTCAGCAACGGTTCGATGATGGAAATTCATTCTGTGCGTTTTTTTCTCGTCAACTCGTGTGGCACCCATACATCATTTTCCTTTGTATATCCGTTTTCAAACGGCTCCAACCGTTTTTTTGAGAAACGTCAGTCTATACAATTTCCATTATTTCATCGGAATTTTCGAAAATGGGTATTCCACGCAGGCGAGAATCCTTTACATCAAAACTACCGTAATCGACGAAACTAAAATTGTGTAAAAAAATCTATTACAATATCAGGACCATAAAGATTTTTCACATTTTCTACGGCCTGACTTTGCGCTTTCGCATCGATGAAAAATTGTGGAATATAGCGTATTTTCGCTGTGCAGATGTCCATCCTTGGCATGCACTCAAACACTATTTACTAAGCTAAGTTATCAACAATTTTTTGTTATCTTTTTTGTACAAAATATCCCCTTTCAAATGTCAACTAACTTAATCCAATCGAACTTATAGAACACGAAATACAGATCATTAAAACCTTCTACTACAAAAAATCTTTTTTTTTTACTAGATTTATGGAGGAACCTACAGAGGAGCTCTCACTTCATGTCAGACCTATAGTTTCAAATGTTGGTCGAACCAGGACTTGAACCCCTCAATTATGTTGGCCACTAATTATTCCGAAGAAAATCAGAGAACTCTCGGAGCCGTGTATGACATACGTACCCATTTTGGATTTCATTTTTTCAACTGTGTGGGGGTTTTTTTATCATCAAAAATACTTGAAATGAGACAATAGATGAATTTTTCAAGAATTACATATTGAATGAATTTATAATTTGAATATACGAGTGTGCATTTAAATATTCTTAGTATACTACCTTTGATTTTACTTATGTTTAGTAGCTTAGCTCAGCTTTTACTCCCACAAACAAATTTCTTAGAAACGGAATATAAAACAGTAACTCCATATGTACAAGCAGTTCTGCATACTTTCATACATACATTAATAGCTATCTGTTGGATTAATTTGTTTACAAAGCATACTATTGTAGTACTTGCAAAGTAATAACAAATGACTATTTATGGAAAAGCATATTACCTGTAGAAACTTTTTTAAAAGATTAAGTAAATAAATATAGAGAATTATATATCTACAATATAGGGATGCTTAAATCACTAGAACTATTTGTCATACATATACATTACTTTTAATTACTTGTTATTTTCAATGAAAATGTAATGAAATGTAAAGTCATAATTTGCTCTTTCGAAAAGAAATACACAATAATTTCGAAATGTAATTAAATCTTTTTAATTTTTAAATCCTCATTGGGTTCACCAACTATCCCATAACATATAATTTCAAATTAGTGATTGATTATTTTTATTTAATCAATAAAGTAATGAGCCGAATATAAGTACATACAGTCGTGTTCACAAAAATAGCAGCAGGAAAATATTTTCCCAGCATATTATTGTTATACCAATTTATTTATGGAAAAGCTTAAAGTACAACACTAAACCATAAGGAAGTTATATATTGTCATTATATATTGATTTTGCAAAAAGAAAAGGAAAATATTGATTGTTTAAAAAAATAGCAGCATTTCAAGCATATGACAAAAGCTTACAAAAATTTGTTTTTTCATAGGATTTTAAAATTACATTATATATACCATTTAATGACTTCTTTAATTACTGCAACGCATCTACTTCACATAGAGTCGACAAAGCTTTGACACCGTGAGACTGGTATTGTCTCACGCAATTTTTCCCATTACTTCTTACTTGTGTTAGGCTTCGATGAGTCTATAGCACTTTTCACATCTCACGTCATATTGTCCTCAGCATATGGCAGCAGAATACCCTCAAGAAGAAGATTTTGGTTATTGGATATATACGCCATGTCAACGCTCCACAAAATATTTTTACATTATGAAATCGACCACTCGACTTGAGACTTAGCCAATTCCAGTCCTTTTGCGATATATTTTTTGGTTAACAGTGGTACTTTTCGTGGGATACTAGCAACCGATTTATGTCTCCTTACTATAACTGAACTAACAAGAAGATTAGCTTGGCTCATTTTTGTTTCGGTCTAGTTTGTTGTATTGTTTCGGAGTCCACGCAATTGGGCGGTCCAGTTAAATTTTTTATTCCTCGTGTTGTCACTTTCGGTAGCCTTTTTAAAGCATTATAAATAATGAAGAATATAAAACAGATATTAGTTTGATTTCACGGTAGGTTTTGCTATCTACCCGCAGTTTTTTATAATATTACTTTGGTCGTCTGTGCAATGTCTTGATCATCCCGATTCGCTGAAATATTTTAACATAAGAATAAAAAACTAAATTAAATCATTTACTTACTTTATATAAAAGCATTGATGAATTACCTTTCAAGTGTGAACTAAAAAAAATCGTAATAAATCAAACACGTCCTTATTGAAAGGTTATGATATACCGTTATAATGACTCACATGTACAGTAAACAAAAACATTAGTACAGAGCTAGCACTAAATAATTGAATTAAATACTAAAAAATATTTAACTTAGAATGTCATGCTGCTATTTTTCTGAGCACAACTGTACATACCTATACAAGTGCAACGAATTGCTTAGCATACAAGTATCTAACTGAGTATCTGCTGTTTGCATATAAGTTAGAAACATTCTGATAAACCATTCAGATTCATTTACGCGCGCCAAACGTGTGGCTGGTTAGTTGCTGATTTTATTGTATTTAATGGCGAAACAAAATCACGTTTTGATTTTATGCATTAGCTTACTACTGCTGGCGGTAAGGAAATTTGTTAATAATTAAATTTTTTATGAAAAATAAAATTTTTGCTTATGCTGTTACAGTGTGTGCCTGCAGAGTGCTCCGAAGCATACAACTCATTTGTGAGAAAAGATTTGGCTGTGAAGCCCGCCGAAGAAATCTCCACGCAGCCAGCCGCAGAAGAAAGTTTGAGTGAAAAAGTCGTACCACTCATAATATATACCGTTACACTTGTGGAACAACATGGCCGACAAATTTTACGTGAATCCGCTATATTCCTCAAAGAGGTGCTGCATGAATTAAATGAATTTCCGCAAAAAAGTGAAACCATAAATTTGCAAATCAAAAATTTCGAAAGCATAATAACACGCTTTGAAAATATTGATTTGGATGATGATTCACCGGCTGCAATCGCTGAAAAATCAAAGCTACTCGATGATGTGACAGCAAGTTTGGCACAAACTCATTTTAAGGCTGAAGCAGGTGTTTCGCAAATGGATGCGGATATTTGGTTAAAAGTTTTTCGAAAAGTAGATTTTATGGAATTTCATAAAAATATATATAATATGAGCGTTGCTGCAGTTGGGAAATTTTCTAAAATTTTCGAAATATTCTGGTCATCTCTAGGGCACAGAGAAAAGGAACAACTGTCGGATTTGCATGTTTGGTCTACCAAATTTTATGCAACAGATGAAGCTGATAGAAAATTTAGGCAATTATACAAATTATTTGAAATATTTGATGTTTTCCATTAATTTCGAAAATAAACTATTCTTATTAATAATAAATGATATTTTTAATAAAGGCGTTTAAAGTCGATTTTGTGCAGCAAGGAAAGTAAAGTTTCAAAAAAAAACACATAAAATTCAGAAAATAGTATGAAACCTTTATTTTAATCGATATAACGGTCCATATGATTTAATGTTTGAAGATTATTTCATGCCAATTTTTACCGTAACTGCGCCTCAAATGGTCCATCCGCTTAGTCCAACTTTGGCTTACTCTTTCCAACATTTCGACAGATATCTCACGAATAAATGCTTCACTGTTGTCCTCCAATGCAACAATTAAATCAATAAGTCCATTGTTACGCGTGGTGTGTGGCTTATGGCACCGTCTTGTTGAAACCATTCTGAGCAAAAAAGTTTGATATCATCTCACGGTTGCGTTCATGGTTCACAGCTATGTTACGATTCGCATCATTTTTGAAGAAGTATGGCCCAATGATGCCTCCAACCCATAAAACACACCAAACTATGACTCTCTCTTATTTATATGTATAACGGTGCTTTTATTTGTCTACCCCAAACATACAAAACAGTTATAAAGGTTTTCCAATAAAAGGTGTTACTTTGAATTGGTGCTATTCCGGTAGATGTCACTTTTGAAGCTGTGCTTTTTTGAAGTTTGACAGGTAAGAACTTCGCCAATAATAACGTGGAACGATGCACACCCCGCTTTAAAATTCACTATAAAACTAAAACATAAAGGATCTTGTCGGACCGCAATACATAAATTCTTTCTTCTTTTTTCTTCCTTACTGGCGTAGACCGCCTACACGATTAGAGCCGAGTTAGCGACATTGTGCCACTCGTTTCTTCTTTTTGCTGTTTGTCGCCAAATGCAAATGCCAAGTATAGCAAGTGGAGTGGAGGTCTTTCTCATCCTCTGCTTTCACCGGCGGCTAATGCTGCTGCTTCTTGATTCACTGTCAATGTCGCCGTATAACTCGTACAGCTCATCGTTTCAATGCACAAAGGACCACAAAGCTCACGCAAAACCTTTCTCTCGAATACTCCTAACGCCGACTCATCAGATGTTGTCTTCGTTCATACTTCCGCACCAGAAATTAGTTTAAAAAAATGGAGCTATTTGCACAAGTTAGTGACTAGAAGAATAAAGCACTTGCACGTAGCTCAACAACAATTGAGAATATTGGTGTCTGTAGCCTGAAGTGTTGAGCGAACACTCGGTTTGTCCATTTCTCGTCGTTCTTTCTAATCGGGCATTTCTCAAACGTCATGGCATAGTATTTTGCACAAAGATTTGTGTTTTAAGGCTATTAATTTTAAGTTAACAAAAGAATTTAAGTTGCTTTGATTCGGAATTTCATCTTGGCTGAATTCCACCTCGATGGCTAAGTCAATAAGCAAAACTGTCGCATCTTCGCTTCGGAAATCTCAAGATTTATTGTTGAAAAGCGTGTAAGTGGTTGGCGCGGTTTAGGGTCCGGCGGGGTTACTGTACCTTATTTTTTCACAAATAAGGCTAGAGCAACAGTTACGGTAAATGGATTACGCTACGGAGAGATGATTAGTAATTTTTCATGGCCGCAATTGGATAGTATTGATGATATTGGTCTCCGCCTAGAGGTCAACGTCAATTCAAGACAGATGATGTTCGTAAGACTTTTGAGGACATACAGCAGCCACTTTACGATTTTTTGATCAGAAAACACAGGATAACAGGGTCCAGATATTGTTTTCTACTTTTAATTACATATCTTCCTCTTAATATTGATATTCGATCATTTGTTTCGAAAAATACTATTTCTCTTTGAATTACAAAATAACGCCTCTTTTTGGGAAACCCTGTATATCATATATATAATTGGCACTTTGTAACCGCTGGAGCGATTGTCCGCCGAGCTCTTCCTCCAATTTATGGTTCTTACGCCTTGATGCTTTTCCAACAAATGTACTATGGGCAAAAAATTTGTATGTTTTTCCCCAAAGTAAATATATTAAGATTTTATTAATATCATTTGCCCGTATTTGCCGCTTTTCGAAAAAATGGCATATTAAATCCTGACATGAGTTTCACCTTTTAATATTGCCGGAGGTTTGGGAATAAAATAAAGTAAACAACTCACAGTTTCTTCAAATTGATGGAAAATTTTGAAATTTTAAAACCCACATTAAGAAATATTTGCCCAAACTCAACCGAGTGTTCTCAAGATTCAAAATCAATCACTCAAGATTGGCTTAGATGAAGAGCTTACTGATCCATCTCCCTTTAAAATGGGTGACCAAAATTAAATTAATCACTAGTTGAGATGCGCTTAAAGCATAAATTAGCAAATGATCTAGCATCGAACATAGCCATTTCAATGCAGCACTTATTACATGTTGCTTCTGTTTGAAGAAGGCGATAATGCGTTAAAAGTCATTAGGGAAGAACAAACTGAAGATCTAAAATCTCAGATGATTATTCCCCTTACCCCAGAAGAGCCGTCGGCATTTTTATTGGAAAATGGGCTTAACAAACAGCAGTATATCAATATGCATAATCTTAATGAAGCTCGTCGCTTCAGCTGCCAAAACTCTTTTCAGACCAATGCCCCAATAAAAATTTCGGAATATTTTGCGCAGGTTCCAATACAAAAACTTTTATTAGTCCCACTAAAAGCTGTACTATCTTAAATGAAACATGTTTCACTTTGACCGTTAATGGCAAGAAGAAACGTCTTCGATGGATCTACTGGCCAAAGCTTATGTAAGCAGAAGTTTCGATCAGAAAAACCTGCTTCCCTGGATCTGTCCATTTTCCTCAGAAGAATTATTTGAAATAACAATGCTCCACAATAGGTGAGGTTCTGTAGGCCACATTTTGGTTCAAAAAACTAACTTTGTTTTGCCATATATTGGTAGATAATGTGTTTGAAAGGATTTTGTAATATGATGAATATTTTTCAAATGGCGGCTTCTCGAACCCACCTGTCTCACGCACGCACGTACGCAAGGCAAACTTTCAAATAACTTTGATCACGTTTTTCTCGAAACCATGTTTTTCGTTCTTGTTTCAAGCTCCGGGTTTGATCTATCCGTATATAGCAAAGTATGTAGTTTTTTGTACGTCTTGACCCTAAGATTGGCGTTAATAATTAAATATTTATATATTACATTTCGAACGTAATTGATTTGAAAAAAGTTGCAAGAAATTTAACTTTATAATTGCAATGAGCGCTATGCAATAAATTTATCGTTAAATTTTTTCAATTGGGGTTCAAGACAGAAAATTCATGATCTTCAAATAATTACAACGATTTTTGATTTTAGTCTAGTACAAGAGGCTTTAGGCTTGCAGTTGTTGGGCCATGTTTTTCGCGCAGAGGCCGACGAAAAGTGCCATTTTGCAGTCATCATTTTGAATTGCGACTATTTTTTTGCCGTTTTAAAATCAATAGTAATTAGCAAATTTGATAGTGGAAATCGGAAGATTGTACGCCTTTTCATTCTCCCACGAAAAAAAAAAACACAAGCTTTGCCTGATTTTTACTCGATATCAGGTTTAAATTGAATATGCAATGGAACGACATGAGCAAATATTAAGAGAAAAGAATATTTGGATATGCAAGTCGATAGTCTAAAGGATTTCATATACACAAAAGAGGGCAACACAATTGCCATTATTGATGAAAAAGTACTTAATGCCCAATATGTGCGGTTAAACCAAAAAACTGATTTTTACTACGAAAATTTTAAGCCAGCTTCTCTGAAATAAGCTTTCAGTCCATTGCTTTGTTCGATTCGATATTTTGAATTTGTGTTAAACATATCCCATAGACTTGAAGTTCAAAAGTGGTATATTACCCAGGCTACTAAATATTAAATTGATGACTCCGAAAAAAGAAATTCAGGCAATGTTGTGGTAAAATTAATTTACATGTTTGCTTTCCCAAGCATATTGGAAGTGGGAATAGTGATGATGGATACACTGTTAGAAGAATTACCAGTTATTTTCATCAATTACAAGATTTGATCAAAGAGTTTTAAATAATTTGTTTGCAGTTTTGAGCACTATTTCATGCGAGGATAAATAGAATGTTGGTAAATTTAAGGGATTTTGTAAGAAAACATTTTTATTATACGCTAATACTAGTCCACAGTCACTATGTCACTGACGGTAAATATAATAATAGTACATGACTGGCAAATAATAAACTCGTCTTTGGTTCCCTTTGTATGTTTAGAAGTAAGTGCTTCAAAGCAAAGACAAAGTAATGTAAAAACGTTAGGAAATCATTTGTCCGAAACCCAATATGGCCAATGTGCTTTATAAACCTATGGATTCCTCTGGCCTCTTAAAATTAAGTATTTGTTTATTAAAAAGGCCAAAAATCACTGCCGGCTGATGTAATAAATCTTTCAACCACCGACCTCTACCAAACTATAAAACAACCACGTCAGCAATGGAAAAAGAAGATTTGTACTCTACTGATGATTCTAAAAACTGAGTTGAATGATGAATAGCATTACTCCCTGCGGATTGGGGATTCAAGGTAAAGCTTGCCTGTCGTAAGAGGCGACTAAATCCAATAGTTCCCGCAACAGTCGGGTCTTTATACCGTAACGACCAGGAATTTTATCCACAACATTCCCTCAAAGGTCCTTTTTGCCCATAGTGCATGGGTTCCAGATAATCACCGTAATAGGAATAATAAGAAAATTGATTTAGAAATATTTTATGAAAGCATATTCTTTACGAAAAGAGCTCTTTATTAATAAGATTTAAGTTCCTCTAGTGTTTTTCATATAACACGAAATTTTAAGGCTAATGAAGTGTTAAAGGTTCCAACGGTGTTTTGGGCTAAATATTTAAAAAATTAAACGGTACTCCAGATTTCACAATGCAAGCGAGAGTCGCAAACTAGGCCCTTCCCCTACAAGAGATAGTAATTAACCCACCTTCTGTGAGCTTGCCAAGAAATCTGTCAAACTTAAATATAAAAATGCTTTTACTTAGAATCTTTAATCATTACTAGAGTTTCCAATTCCATTTTTCGTTTCAACTAAGCGTTCACGAAGATGATGCAAAAATGTAAAACAAACTAGTAAGGAAGTATAAATTCGGTTGTTATTTATAATAAGTACAAAGATTGATCAAAAATTTAAAGTCTGTTAATTGAGAGGGCGTTCCAGCATCAATAAATGGAAACAATTTTTTGTCTCCATCAGGAAAAACCCTACCTGCTTTGATTGTTTGTGTTCTCTTGAGTTGTGCCTTAAATAATCGACCTTGAGTCAAGTGGGGAATGGAAAGATAAAGTATATAGTTACGTAGGTGTTACTCGATCTTGCACATATTCAGTTTTTATGGAAATTAAAATTATCGAGTTATATCGAATTCTGTCAATTGGCTTTTTATCCAAAATTTTTTCCACTCCTCATACATTTGATGCGATCGTCACTAAGAAATAAAAAACTTAGATTTACGTTGATGCATTAAGAGCCATTTGTCCAGAAATTAAGGTACATAATTTTTTTTTGTCTTAGCATACCTTGTTCGTTCACAAGGCTCCCAGTTCCAGAACATATTTTTTTTAGGCCAAAAGGATTAGGATCTGAACAGCAAGTGTAGAGGGTGCAGTCTTTTTAGTCTTCGTACTTCGTTGCTATTATCTAGCAGGTTGATATTGACATGTTTAGATGGTTGTTACGTTTTTCGACTTGACCTGAATTATATTTATTAACTGAATTATCGTGTTTTTCGTGCTTTCAAAAATTGGCTAGATGTTTTTTCGGTAGCATCCATCTGAGGAATGTGCGAAATAAATTTCAACAAAATATCTTTATTCTTATATGATTTATCGTGTCACGGTCATACAGACTTAGCTACATCAATTCGCCTTTTCATTCCATGAAATTTCAATCACTTTATGCACATACATAGCACCGCTAGCCGAACAAACTTAATATACTCTGCATACATAGCATAGCCGAGTATAAAAACATGTCGAAGCCGGTTTTTCAATCGGTTTTAGCCACCTAATACACTTAAATATACTCCCTATAGGTATTTCGCAAGATCTCAATAATTTTTTGCATTGAAATTTTTTCCCTGAATTACAACAAATATAAATGTACATAGGATGTATGTATCTTCGTACATATGTACATATGAGTGAGCGCAAAACTTGTGGAACTCTCATAAAATCAGTATATAAACAAAGCAATGTAACGAATTGAGCTCAGAAACCTTTCACTGGCTCAACGCTGTGTTTTCTGGTGAGAAAAGAACAAAGCTTTTATTAAAGTAAAGCTCATAGTAAGTTCATTTTTATCGCTAATTACTGATTGTTTATTTTTTTTGTAATAACATAAAAAACAAGACGGCTTAAACACTTATAAATTACAAACTCATTCAAACACTCAACGCCAACACACCCATTATAATGCAGTCCGCCGAAGCAATCGCCCAACTGCCGGTCATTACGTTCAGTCAGCTGATGATTTTCACATTTAATCTCACCGAAGAGCATTGCCGTAAACAAACTCAACTCTCGCACGATTTCATAGTGAAAATGCAAAACGAGTTGAGCTTACTGCCAGAGAGAAGTGCATATATCGAAGCGTTAAATGTGCGTCTAAATAATATTTTGGCATTAACCAGCAAAACAGATTTAAATAAGGCTGAAAATTTAATGAAAGGCGACAGACTGGAACTTTTAGGTCTAACAGCACATTTATTTGCCGAATTGCATAGCATAGCGAAGAGTGAAAATGACACGAGTGATGTGAGAATTTTGAAACAAGTGTTCGAAAAGACTGATTTACAAGGAATGTTAGACGAAGTGAAAGAACTGGTACCGACGACTGTAGCGAATTTTACGAAAGTATATGATAAATTTTGGAAGTTTTTTGATGACGAGCAGCGTAAAGACTTCCCAGAATTAAATGAAATGGCTGAGGAATATTATGGTGCTTCGCTTGAGGGAAAATTCAGATGTATATTAAATTTATATGAAATGTTTAATCGACATAATAATGAATAAATAGAATTAAAAAGAAGTATTAATTCATTTTTAAACAATACTTAGTTTAGTAATGAATATGCTCTTCATTCCTAAAGTTTAAGACTTGAAATTACACACGAAGTAAGTACTCGCAACAATCAATTTTTGTATGCTAAATTTGTGATCAAAATTTCTATTAGAGTGATGACAAAGGAAAGGCTTTTTTCCCAAGAAGAACTTTTATATGTAACGTGTTAATAAGTAGAATTTAGCTAAAATTATTCAAATTTAAAGCAAGGTTTTGAGAGCATTTGCTTTGTATATTTCTATAATCAGTTTTGTTTAAATAAAAGCTTCGAAAAATTATAATTTTTTTTCTTAATATTTATAGTTTATTTAGTGTTTACTCCAAACATCTGATACATTTTCTTAACCAAGCATAAATTTTGATGGTAAAATTCAATAGTTTGCAAGCGCTGTTAATTTTTGTACATTTTCACAGTGACACAAGGCACGAAGCTTTTTCACAAAACATAATATTTACGAAGTCCCCTCCGTATGGCTGATTGATTTTTATTACAAGCTTTTTTCTTTAATTCAGAAAAACTCAGAGGTGCTGTCGTGGGTTAGGGGTTCAAGAATTTACTCGCGCCAAGGCGATGACTGTCACTCCCACAACATTCCTCAAAAACCTGCTCGCAGGAATACTTTTGCTGTTACAGCAACAATATAAAAACTTAATACCATTGATAACACATACGAAAATAAGCAACAAATACGTAGTATCCCTGCAGGGGAAAATACTAGTTATCAACTAGAATTCAACTGATTTTCATTTTTACACCAACTTGTTCATTTTCATCCATTTCCTATGTGAGCAACTGGTATTTTTAACACGGCGATGTCCTACGAGCTGATAATTGTCCTACTATGCATCAGCTTCATATAAGTTGTATACTAGTTCGTTTTGCCATGTTGAATTTCTACTTGACCAAAAAAAAAATAAATAAATCAGAGAACCTTCACGCGCCACAGTGAAGACATCTAACCACCAGACTATCGCTATAATATTATATATGGAGAAACAACATCCGCGCACTTCTACACAACTTTTTAGGAAATACAACTCAGCCGTGTCATGCTAAAAACCAAAAAAAAGCACACAAATAACGTGGAGGTAAAAATTTCTATGTACCCAAAAATTAAAATAAAAATTTAAATTTAAATTAAAAAATAAAACTTAAAAATTAATTTGTCTCTAGTGGGTCTCAAACCGGTTGATTAACGCGCTACAGCGATAACCTCTAACCACTGGGCTATCATGACGATGCAATCATCAATCTCACTTTGCTCACTTCAATAGAATAGAGCAGATAATGGAATTCACCCGCGGTCTGCCGATATAACTACAATAAACAGTGGTATTAATTGTTATTTTTTCAGTTACTGGTGGACTTCTTTAACCATAACGAACTGGTATGGTTTTATATTCAACATACTAGTATTTAACTAGAGTTTTTGCAAACTAATTGATTTTCCAGGGATATAAAAAAAGTTTGAACCAAATTGCTAGTGTTTTATGAATGTAAACTCACATTGAGTATGAAATAATCTCTTTAATTTATCCACAAACTAAAAACACAATTTCTTGTCAAATTTCTATGAAACGAAAACACTAAACCCTTTTTTCTTAGAAATGGAAACAGCAACATAAAATACATTTGAAAAAAAGAATGCAACAACAAAACATTTATAGCTTTAGACTTTGAATAGGATTAACTTTTTCTTCGAAGTACTCAATATTGATGCCCTTAGACGAATTGCAGAGGTTCGTCAAAAGAAATTACAAGTTTTCACATCTGCGGCAGAGAAATTTGATACTGAAGAATTAAAATTAATACTGAAAAATCGTGCCAACATATTCAAAAAGAGATAAGTGTAGTTGATCTAGTAGTTTTGTATGTCATACCAGAGGCTTACAGACTTAAATCAATCAATCAAAAAAAACATCTTAACATTATTTCCGGATTTCCTTCCAACCTTACTTGAGTTAAATGTAACTTTAGGGATTTTATTTGGTCCAGCAATTGTTTTTTTTTTTTCTTATTCTTAAGACGTAGTTAATTACTTCTTGAAACGCAAATGAGCACATTACGTTAAAGCAATAGTAGGTTATGGAGTTTTTTTTTATTTTTTACTTTGCTGTTATAGCTTTTCCGAATTAATTTAAAAAAAGCGCTGAAATCTGAAACTAATTATATTTAAAGCTTTAACAAGTTGAGGTCTGTGTATATGACATCAAAACTTTGACTATGGTTTCAAAACAATTATTCAAGTTAGGGTGATATACATTAAGACCAGAAAGTTTTCAAAAATTGTTTTTTGATATACGCGGTTCATGATTTTATTCCAACGTTCAATTAAGAGTATTATTTGAGTGTTTTAAGCGTTTGAGCGTTTGCGCGAAAACATCCGTCATAGACGATCAGAATTGTCGGCCAACAATTCCTGGAATTTTCACCTATCTATGGTTATGAAAGATTTTTAGACCTAAAAAAAACTCGCTCAACATCTTCAATCAAAAACCGTATTCATCGGATTTGCCCCCACGCGACATTTTTTGGTTTTCAAAACTGAAGTTACCACACCGTGGAACCAGTTTCGACTCGACTGAGGCCGTAAAAGAAAATTCACAAAATTCGACTGATATCAAATGCTGCTGCAAACAAAGTGGTTGACAGATAGCGTTTTAGTAATTATGTGGATTGCTACCAACTTAACAAAAAAAAGTGCTGAAAACTATTCAGCGCGGACAGTTTAAATGAAACATTCTGGTCTTATAAACTTCAAGAACAGACATAAAAAATAAGACGAAACTTCTCATATGCGCACACGATTCTTATGAAATCCTCCTAAAGCCCTCCCTTACTAGCCTAGTTTCAGGCCATTAGTTAATCTTTGAAATGTAAGCGTTACATACATTCACGATTTGCAAAATATGGAAATAAAGAAACACATTTCGCAATAACATTAAACAAACCAGTTTTTAATTCTCCTACTTGCCTCATGCCAATGCAATGCATGAAATCTGTAGTCTGACGATCGCATACATTCAAAGCGTACACGTGTATGACAATAGAAAATTTTTTATTTTAATATAACTGCATTAAAGATTGGCATTACCATTCCGAATGTAGCTTTCTACGTGAGCACAAGCTCCACCACACCAGTATCTAATATTATGGCCAAGCTTTTATTTTTATTAATTTTTACTTTCTGTCTGGCGTTGCAGGTAAGTTGAAACATAAAATTTTAATTTCTTTTCTTGAAATTTCAATAAAAAATTTTCATTTGATTTTCAGCATGCCAAGGCATTTCCGCACAATGTCGCAACATCAGAAGAGTCTACAGAGCTTGGGATGACAAAGGACTTCGAAAGAGGGTTAGCTAAAAACACAACAACAACTGCGCAAATCACAACTCCTGCTGCGGCAGAACAAAGCACTGATTCTACACAAGAAACCGATACCGATTCTATCGAAGATTTTTCTTATCTTCCAGTATTGTATAACACAACCATAAATCGCCTTACACTCGCCACACTTAAAATTGCACAATATCACCTAAATACTCTTCTAACTGTCGGCCACGATTATATTACCGCTGCACTGAAGACCTTGAATGAATTGCCTAATAAGACGTCAAACATTCAAGCGAACATAACGCGTCTGAGAGATTTATTAAAGCGTGTGGAAGGAGTTGATTTGACGAAAAAGGATTTAGATAGCTTTCTAAACAAAACTGATCTCATGTATAAATTAGGAGATTTATATGGAGATTATCCCAAACTCCTGCGTTCATTAGAAATTGATGATGATGTGCTGAGCGAATTATATAATACTCTTGGTTTACGAATTAAAGCTTCATTGAAGGAGAATGTTAAGAAATTAACTAAAATTTTTCATAATTTCTTTGATGAACTGGATGAGAAGGATAAGCTGAGATATGCAGAATTAATTAAACTTTATGATGACTTCAAATCGCATGATATGGATTTAGATAAATTCGGCGATGCTTTGTTTCTACTTACTTACTTACTTACCAATTCCGTTTGATAAATTCAAATGAAAAAATAATGATATTATTATCAAAAGAAGTTTTCATTTTAGGAAAACTATTATTTAAATCGATTTTATGTACGTATTTTCGAAATCGCAAAATGGATAACTCTGTACTATTTTAATTCTTCTTAAGTTTTTTGTTGATATTTTGTAATGTACATAGATTTACACGTTGATTCTCTCTCAGTCAAACAGTTTTAACTCTCTCTGACTCATATAAATAAATTTTTTGGATTTAATTTTCAAATGAAAAGTAAAATATACGTATTTTTGAATTTTTATTTGCTTTTTAATTTATATGTTTATAACGGGCAACACTCAGTTAGAATGTCATAAGTAACATCCTCAAGAGAGATGCAAGTTTCTAAAACAATTTTTATTTTTTGTGCTGCCCCGCATTTTTCACAGACAGGTTATGTGTGAATCTAGAACATCTCGGAGACTTAGATACCCTTGATTACTTTTAGCGGACCATTGTGCCCAGTACCGAATCGTTCCCTAACGTCCACATTGAAAGTTTTTGTACCTAGTGACCCTTTTGTATTGAACCCATGAATTAGCCATCGTCGGATACAAACAATGGTAAAGCACACGTATAGGCCATCGCATACTTCGCAAAGGTTCTTGTAAATGCCCATAATACTGTCAAGGAGGTCAACACCATCCATTTGGCGATTATATGGACTTACCAAGTATATCGCTTGATATGGACGAACTTCAATTTCAGGATTTGGGAAAGTATTTCTGCATTAGAGGTGTTCCGAAAATGGAGCTCCAGTGATTTACTGTTATTCCCTGCTCACTGTTACACATTTGACACCTTTTCTGTGACAGCTTACAATCCAGTATTATATTTCATCTAACAGTTCGTGGACTGAAAATACGATCTTTAGTCAGATATTCCAACAAATGAAGGGATGTAAGACATATTTTACATCGAAATAAAGCCAGAAATTGTGATGCCTTCGGATCAAACGTGCTAGCCACATGTCGACATTGTTAGAGGATCCTAAATCTGGCCCCCATCTAAGACGATCTTTGTCTTACCGACAAATCCAGAAACACCACTTAACAAGTGCTGTTAGTATCTTTCTGTACCTCAAAAAATGTTTCTCTTCAGTAATTATTATGCACAACACAAGTTGTAACGTTGTGGCATACGCTGACGACTTGGTGCAGAGCTAACGGGCTCGACGTGAACCCTGATAAAACCGCGATGGTGCTATTTACCAGGTGGTACAACCCGCATGTCTTTAAACCACCCAAAACTAAAAGGCGTGGAGATTACCCACTCTCCCGAAGTCAAATGTCTTTGCTATAATCTTAGCTAGCAAAACTTGAGTAAAAACACGGCAGAAAAGAAACAAAAGGAAAGCTATAAATGCACTGCAAAACGGCGATGGGAAAGAGATGGGGCTTAAGACCGAGTATCGTGCACTGGATATACACATCGGTAGTCAGACCAATCCTATTCTACGAGGTCACTGTTTGGTTGCCAGCAATCAATAAAGTCACCTTAAGGAGAAAATTAGAGAGAGTTCAATGAGCGGTGTCTATCCTGATAATGGGAGCTCTTCTCAACATCCTTCCACTGGACCTATACAGGAAACTATTGTATAAGTGGGTTGCAACGCAATAAGATTGAATGCAACTCAACCTTGGAGAATATGCAGTATAGGACATAAAAAAATATTATTTCTTACATAAGTGCCGAAGGAGCTCGACTACACCACATTCAGTGTATGCTTCGATAAGATTTTCTCCACAAGATTCCCAAGCAGATGCGATTGGTAAAACACCAACGCCCAAACCCAGGCAGCAATGCCATCTTCAAAGATGGCTCGAAGCTTGATGGGACGGTAGGTTGAGGAATCTATTCTCCCGTGCTCTCAGTAAGCATGAGCATGAGAATATCGGACCTTTGCAGCGTTTTCCAGGCAGAACCCTTCTCAATTATGGAGGCTGCCGAGTGAGTGAAAAAATCTACGGCAGCGGAACAATTTGCTGCAACACTCGTATACTCCGACTCGATCTCTATATTGTAATCGTATCAAGTCAAAAGTGGCCATGAAATATGGAAACTAACTGAACACTCTCTCAACTGAATGCAGCACTGCTGTTTTTTGGTTACGTGGATACAGGAACATCACAGGCAATTGCATTGCAGACAAACTAGGGAGGGAAGGAACCCTTTTACCCACGATGAAACAAGCACACGATGCTGGCTACGCTCTTTCCATGGTAAAGTGTATGCTTAAACTGGCCTTCATTAATCTAATTAAAGATGGTTGAACGAGATCACGTGCAACGTGACCAAACAGCTATGGCCAAAATTGGACGCAAAAAAAATTAAAACTTCTTATCCTTCTCGACTGATTCTCCTCCAGCTGTAGGGACGAAGAAGAGTAAGAGACCATCGAGCACTTACTCAGAAACTTTCCTGCCCTGACATCTGCGCGACATAAGTTCCTTAGTATACACTTCTCTGAATATCTCGCTGAGTTGTCCTCAGCGAACATTGAAAATCTCGTTGCCTTCATTTGAGAAGGTAAAGGCGGGAGCCTCAGCGGTATTCCTCATTATATTTTTTATATATATATACATATTGTTTTACAATCTCAATTATAGATCTTATTCACTTTCTAAAGTTATATTTTCATTCTAAATAATAGGAAAATATGTAAAAAATTAGCTGCCGAGAAGTCAATTATTTCACTCTTCCGCAACGAAGGCTTAGCACTCTGGTTACGGTTCCAGTTTTACTCTGCAACTCAGGCAAGAGTGTAAAAATACGGAGAGGAATATTTTGTAAATGAAAAGAATATCTGAGTGTAGTGAAACAGTTTTGTAGCTTAACAAGTAAGCTACGCGAGGTTGTTATTAAATTATATTAAAATTACATTTAAAGGAATAAAAAAATAACCCAAGCTTTTATCATACAAAAGCTCAATGAAGAATGCTCAACTTAGAAATAATTAAACTAACACTCAACGCAAAGACAGTGAAATACCTCAAAAATAGAGTTCAGCACTCAGCTGTATGCACTTTTCATTCAATGAGTTAAAGTCTCGAAACTTTTATTAACAAAAAGCTGCATTGAGACGGAATAGTATTTCACAGTGAATGCAGTGAACTAAAACTCAGTCAAAGAAATTTCGGCGCCAACTCATTTGACAAATGTTAGCATTACATTTCCTACCAAAAACAATACACTTTTACAAGCGCATGCTGCTATGAGTGAAGATGAATTGGCCAACCGTTATATTCCGTATGTCGCTGATTCGTTATTGTCATTTTATCAAAGTGGTCAACACGATAAAGAAACTGATTTGTTGCCGAAAATATTTATGAAAATCGACATTAAAGCTATAGAAGAGAGAGTATCGGACGCACGTCGTCTGCTGGTGGAGAATTTTAAAACAGGTTATGACCACTATGTTGCTGTGGTAAATGAAAGAAAGCGCATATTGGAGTGGAAGTTGATTGACTTTTATAAACGTTTTACTATTGCGCCAGATATGGAAAGGAAATTTAAAATGTTTAATATTTTTTGAGCGATATTCTATTGAAGTCTATTCCTTTTAGTTATTCTAACAGTCCTATACAAATTAACAAAATAATGATAATTTATCAAGATTTTTATCAAACAAGAATATAATTGTTATTCTGTGTCAACCTTTTCTTCAGTTTGTAGTGCTTTTCTCCACACTTGTGGTGAACAGTGAAATGTTTTTTCTAACATCAATTATTTCAAAGTAAAGGAAATATAAATAAGCAAATATGTGTAGTTGTATTACATAATTGTAAAATACTATTCCGTCTCAATGCAGCTTTTCGTTAATAAAAGTTTCTTGACTATAACTCAATGAATGAAGAGTTCACACAGCTCAGTGTTGTACCCTCCTGTTGTGATATTTTCGTTTTAGTGCTAAGTGTAGCAGAGCAGTGTGGCCGCGTGGTAAGCCGTGCGTTAAGCTTATTTTTCTAATTGCGGTCACGCCTCGACAGGGAATATTAAGCTCTCAGTGTGACATAAGGGCTTCTCACAAAAGCAGTCAGCCGTTCGGACTCCACTTGTTGAATAAACATTAGGAGAGACTCCAAAAATTGCAGCAAGAGCTCAATCGAAAATCGCTTTAGCGGCTACAAAGCGCCAATTATACAGAAGAGATTCGCTTTATATGTACATCCTTTTAAATATTTACAAAGCTTTTCTTGGTAAAAATTCTTATTTAGTCAGAGTTTTTTAATCAGATATTCAATCAAATTTTTGGTAAAGGCGTAAAATAATTTTTTTATCAGCACATTTCTTTATATGTTGTTAAGTCAACTAAATTCAAATTTACAAAATATTCGATACTAATATTATATGCAAACATAGGAATTTTAATAAAACGCGACCTTCCTTTGTGAAGTAATAGCGTATTTTCATCTGAAGTAAGTTGCGTAGCTATGCTCTCACTTCCTCCTATGGTTACGGTTTTAAGAATTGGCTTTAAATTTATCTCGTTCTTGCCTTAGTTGAGCTACATAGCTTATGAGCGCTCCCTAATGTGTGCGATCTCCTTGGGCTTGATTCACAACGGTTAGTCAAGTTAGCACTGAAAGGGCCTAGACTTGATTTGTAGCGTTGGTTATAAGACTTTTTTAACATTATGATTTCTCTGAGGTCCCTCTGTGGTTTCGGATATTTTACACACCCAGACAGAAAAAATAGCAATAATTAGTGAAGCCAACCTGATGACCTAGTAGCAGCCATGGAAATCTTAAGCAACTACATATCTACTATTTTGGGTATTCACTTACGTTTAAATATCCATTGGCAACAAAGCCATTGAAATTGAACGACAATAGCATGTAGTATCCATGCCACCGATCAGTGCATAACGTTTTGGATAAAAATTCATCTTAAAGGTATCTGAAAGCGTGCAATGTTGGACTCCACACAGGTTAATATACCTACATGTGCTGAAAACGAAATTGATTTGAGGAGTGAGAAGCTCACTCGATTTCATCCAGATTTAACTTAAACTGAAAGCAGGGGATATGTCGTCAAATAACTAAAATTGCATGACATTTTGGTTTAAAAATGTGTTGTTAATATGAGTCATTTTTACTCTTTCTGCTTATTTTTTATATGAAAGGAGTCAAGTCATCCGTGGAAAATTGGAAAATTAAAATTAATTAAATTGAAATTAATAAAAATTAAGTTACATTTTCTAATTGCGGTCGCTCTTCGTCAGGGAATCTCAGCCCTTCCCTTTCTGATATAAAAATCAAAGATCTTATACCAACAAAACACTAGGATCTAGAATCATGTCCAATATCCTCTTCCCTTCCTAATCCAGGATATAATGTTTTTTCGTGGGTATGGGTTAGTTTGCAGTCAAGGGCGTCCAATTGTCTATATTCGAACAGAATCTCCAGCAGAGTCTAATCACCTTTTTCGGCCACCGAACGGTCTCAACTCAATTTGTGCCAGAGAAAATGCAGCCTTTGGACACAGCGGTTTTGAAATTAAGTGAGAATAGACAATATATAGCACACATATTTTTTTAATATCAATTAATATGCTTTAATTTGAAATAATTTTATTTTAAGTATTTTTTGAGACAACAGCGCATTTCAAAAATTTTTCCGTTTTTTGAAATTTCCAGCGTCATTTCAAGTTTTAACCGAAAACTAAGAAAAAACTGCTGCTTAAAAACGTTGCAAAACCACTTTAAACTGCGCTTTATTTGATATCAATTAACAATTTAAGGATAGGCTATTCGAAAGTTTACCCTCAAACTCGAATTAAATTTTCCGACAAGCATAATTACTCCAATTATGAATCTTAGCCCGCAATGTTTAGTGAAGAAAAAAAAATTTGTATGGACTTGATGGTTGTCAGAAGTGTAAGAGAAACATAGTGAACCCAGAAAAAAAAGTACCACTTCCTAAAAATATACCTGCATCAAATGGCTCGCGGTGTTTTCAGACCATAATCTAATGGAGGCCTAAAGGCCTCTAATACAACTATTTATTTACGCTTATATTTTCTTTCCACAAAAGCTCGATGCTTCGTTTCCACAAAGGGATGCATTTGAAAGCTTTGGTAATCTGTCAGAAGAGAGCCCCGATCTTAAAATTTACCAACAACGTCAATCACGACAATCAGATGGTTTTGATGACACTATAGACTTTTTAAATCAAGATATTCAGTACTGAAGGAAATATTCCAAAATATTCGTTCAAAGTTTTTGAGAAATACAGAGATGCAATCAGCCGGTTTCGATAATATAATTGAAAATATACTCACATTTATTAAATTCGAATTAAGATTTTTAGGGAGTGTGGCAAACAAAATTGTGTAAGAAAATATCGATGAAAACTGCTCTGTAAAATAAAAAATTTATAACTTTTAGCTCAAATGAAATGAATATAATATAATGGTTTAATTCTTATGTAATTGGTCTTTGGCGTACTTAGGAACAGCTTACAGCTTACAGTAATCTGAAATTAAACAAGCCTTCCACCACAAGGCAATAGACACGGCTCAGCGTGCTTCAACCAATTACCTGCTACATAAAGCTTAATAATATTACTATAGTTGTATTCCTGCCTGCCTCATTGTGCTACCTGAAGAGGCTAACCTCTTTTCAAGAAGAGTGAACCATAATATTTATGCATGTAAACTGCCATTCCGGCAGCGTGTCATCCATGAATCTGCTCGACCGCTTATTTAAAGGTGAGTTTGGTATTGCATTAATCCAGGAACCTGGCATCCCTCTTCCAAGAATTTTATGACAGCTGCAGAGCTAGCAGTTAGGTCATCCAGAGATGGTTCTCAGCGACAGGTGAATTGAATGAAGACCAAAACAAACCGACCGGTCACTAAATAGACTCACAGTACACGAAGAGCTGAGTTCCATAACGATTGAAGGCTTATAAAAAAGCTAAAAACTACCAACCAATGCTAGGATGATTACCAGACCTCATTTTTAAAGTATAAATATAAGGTAAGGGAGCAAAGCACAACTTGTGGTGGCTCTTCTGCGCCACTAGGGCAGGAGAATAAAAAAATGTTTATCGAGGAACTATATTCAGATAAAAACTTTATTAAATACTCATTTTGTACGTTACGCCATAAGCTCTCAATCTTCCTTTTATGTGGACGGGCCGAGGAACTCTGTTTTAACGCTGAAAAGCTACAATCTGTTAAAAGCTGCCGGTACGGTTGGAAGCTTTCGCTCTGCTTCTGTGTATTCTGCTTGCCTGGTGGGAAGGATTACTCAGTACCGAAGTCATATATATCAAACTGTCTGACATACTTTCTTCTGAAAAGTATGAAAAGGATCTCCGACGATCGGATCGAACAGCAAATATCCCCGGAGTGGATGTCATTCCGATAGCACGCCTACGTCAAAAGTAAATCAGTTGAAACAGCCCTACATGAAGTAGTCGGAACAATTAAAAAAGCTTTTAATAAACGAGAGTGGGGTAACGTAGGGTCTGCTTTTCGCAATATAAATATATTTTATATTTATATAAATGCGGGAGTGTTGGATCTCGTCAATTGCCTCGTTTGAGAATAACTAAAACTAACCTGCCTAGTTGAACCAGCAGAAAGTCTTAAATCATTCACAAAATCGAATGCGACCCCTAAATGCTCTGCGCAGGTGGGTCTAATCCACAAATGGCATTATTATTCTGAAAATTATATCCACTCTTTTTCAACGAACGACGTACCATTAAATTATTTCGGGGGCAGCATGGATAGTATACAACTCCAACTGTTACTTGCATTAAGCAAAAGAGAACTTAGGACACTCATGGGTGTATTAATATTTTCAGCCAATTGAGTCCTCACAACTTCCGTCATGCTCCCATCTCCAACCTCACCGAGGTGGACAAGCATGGTTGGTATAAAATAAAACATTCTTCTTCTGCGCAAGCGCTTAATTGGGATACACGGAGGAGCTAATGAGCCTACTCCTTGACTTAGTTGTGGCCGCTTTCGTTCAGGTCCTCAACCTCCCTATTTGAATAAGCCAAACAATCATATGATGCAACAGCTCTGCCGCAGTCTGTATTTTTCAACTGCAAGTTTCTCAGTTATTTTAGGTATTAACATCACTACCAAAAAGGGTTCTCTTTTTCGGATAAGAAAAAGAAGTGACAGAGTGTACATCTGCTGTCGTACGTCGATGATATCGCACTCATCACTCAGCTCCCGCATCGCTGTTGAGGTCGTAGACAATCTATCTAAGAACCAACATCTATATAATTGCCACTTTGTAACCGCTGAAGCGATTTTCGGCCGAGCTCCTCCTCCAATATGTGGTTTTCATCTTGATGTATTTTAAAAGAAAATAGAGTGACCAAAAGCTCATACCAAGTTGACTCCGACCTGCTGATGATTTTTTTATGAGGAGCTTTATTTCATGTCAGAAATACACTCGGAGGGGTTGACATTCCCTACCGAAGTATAATAATGTAAGCCTTGAAATCCAACGCAGAATCACTCTTGCCAACAGGTTCTACTTTGGAGTATGTAGGCTATAGAGAAGTAAAGTCCTCTCTCGGCGAACGAAACCCAAACTCTACAAGCCGCTCATCATATCCGTCCTAAATGGCGGAGTAGCGTGGACGAGGTCAACATCTGATGACTCAGTCCTAGGAGTCTTCGAGAAATACGTTTTGCAAAGGACAATGCGCATTGGCAACGGCGAATATCGCAGACGATGAAGCGATGAGCTGTACGAGCCATGCGACGATTTAACATAGTTCAGCGAATGAAGAGACAGCGGCTACGCTGGTTAGGTCATATCGTCCGAGTGGATGGAAGCACTGCAGTTCTGAAAGTATTCGATGCAGTACCCGCTGGTGGAAGCAGAGGAAGAGGAAGATATCCACTCCGTTGGAAGGATCAGGTGGAGAGCGAGCTGTTTTCACTTGGTATTTTCAACTGGTGCCAGACAGCGACGTCAATAAAGCAGAAGTTAAAAGCAGTGAACTCACGTGGTTTTATTTCTAATATATTTATGTTGCATAACATTTCACCAGAACAGCATGCTTTAACTTAGCTATTGATGAAATTTTTGAAAAGCTGGCGATGATAGCGTTGCAGAATCAAATGTTTACGACATACTAGATTTTAACTCAATTTTAATCAAACGTACAAAGGTCAATTTTTAATTGTGATCTTCATGCGTTTTGAAAATACTAAGTGCTAAGAGGAAACAAAATAATCAATTGAATTTTTTTCTACTAATAACATGGATTTCAAAGCGTTATGTTCTTCGTAAATTGTATGCCTTTACGTTATATTATAGTGTAGGTCACATTAAAACATCGTTATTGAAGGCTTGATGTTTTTATGATAAAACGAAGCCTACTTGCTCAGAGTCCCATATGCTATGGAATTTCACATAGTGTAGTTTTCTACGCTTCTATTATTAATTGTACGTATACTTCTTAAAGTTACTGTAGGTGCATTCAGATTCAAAGCATTAAGATTCAAAGCATAGTCTTAGAACATAATCTGACATTTAGTGTTTGTGATGGATAGGAAATGATTAGCAAAACAGATATGATAACAGGTAGAAAGAATATCCATACATAAATATATGCATTTGAAAACAATATAAAAGGGTTGCGAGATCACAGATTGATTTAGTTTCAATTTGAGTTTTCACAAACAACTAAACGGGCGCATAAGTAGTGTAACAATTCCAAAATGTATAAAAACTGGAGCATTTTATTTTTAGCCGCTTTCTTGGCACTTCAGGTGAGCATCAAAAAAATAAAAAAAAGGCGACAATGTTGTTGTATATAAAAAATTTACTAAATTTTCTAAGCACTAAAATAATTCTTTATTTATGTATTTCATTCCGTTTTTGCCACAAAAGCTCGTGGCATCATTACCACAAAGGGATTCATTTGAAAGCCTTGATTATCTGTCAGAAGAGAGCCCTGAGATTGAAATCTACCAACGACGTCAATCACGACAACCGGATGATCTTGATGACACTATAGGAATCTTAAATGAAGAAAATTCAGTATTGAAGGAAATATTCCGAAAGATTGCTTTAAAGTACTTGGGAAAAGCAAAGATCCAATCAGCCGTTGGTGACGGGGTACTTAAGCTTATTAAAAAAAAAAAATTTTTGTAGGAAAATATCGTTGAAAACTGCTTAATTAAAAAAAAATCGTACAAATTTTGAGCTCAAATGAAAGAAATATAATATGTTGGTTTAAATTCATATGCATTTCATGAAATTATATTTTGATCAACAAAATGGTTTTCGTAAAGTCCTTCCTGTGTCTGGAGTCCATTTCATAGGTGAGACTAATTAGTTTTGGTTGTCTAAATTGGCGTGGGCAATTTTTTTCTTCCGGAGAATCGAACTGAAATCGTATTTATATTATATTTGATTATATATGTATATATGTATGTAATTGGCTCTTTGCCTAAGTTAAAATGAAGAAAACTCTTCTTTTAGGGAAGTGGATGCTTCGATATCCGCAACGGCCTTTTCAAATTAATGCTCTAATAAACATAAAATCTTGATAGGTAATACAGGCGTTAAGACTTTTTCGAAATAAAATTGAGTTATATTCTTTTCTGTTGGAAATAAAAGCAACCTGAACCCTAAAACGCAGCCAAAGGACTTTTAGGTCACCACGTGTCTGCAACTCATAAATATCAAAGCTCATTGCACTTGGAATCGTTGTCGCTCAATCGTATGTTTCTCTCTTCACCCTTTTGCTACGTTTAAACTTAATTCTGAAGAGTCTGTAAATAAACGACATTCGTGCGGCTTATGCTTATCTTTCTACAAGACCATTAGACTTGCGCATGGTGAAAAACAAGTACCGCTTCTAGTTACGGAAGAGATAAAGCCATCAAAATATAAACAGATATGATCATTAGTCGAAACTAGGCAGATCGAAACACTATAGCATATATACGTCCTATTTTTTTAAGAGCTATAGGAAACTTTTTCAAAAAAAAAACACATAAAATTTAGAAAAGTGCATAAAATCTTAATTTAAATTGATAGTACGGTACATATTATTTAATGTTTGAATATTATTTCATGCCAATTTTTACCGTGACTGCGCCTCAAATGGTCCATCCGCTTAATCCTATTTCCATACTCTTTCCAACATTTTGGCCGGTATCTCACGAATAAATGCTTCAATGTTGTCCTCCAATGCGTCAATTGATGCGGGCTGGTCTGTATAGAAATTCGATTCAGGCATCCAATTGACCGGTCCCGAACGTGAAATAAAATGTTCACCGAACTCGCCTCTCAATAAGTCCATCGTTACGCGTAGTGTGTGGCATGTGGCACTGTCTTGTTGAAACCACATGTCGTGCAGGTCAAGCTCTTGCATTTTTGACAAAAAAAAAGCTTGATATCATCTTACGGTAGCGCTCACCATTCACAGTTACGTTACGATTCGCATTATCTTTGATGAAGTACAGTCCAACGATGCCACTAGCGCATAAACCGCACCAAAGTGGAAGCTCGTTCATTGATTTTGGCTGATCTTCACTCCAAAATCGACAATTCTGCTTATTTACGAACCCATTAAGCCAAAAATGATCTTCGAAGCACGAAAGAAGCACGCGATGAACTTTCTTAACAGAACACGCATTTTGAAACTTGCGTCAGCTGTTTAAACCAGTGTTGGCATAAAGATAATAGCTTAAAAAATCACCCTTTACGTATGTCCGTATATAGAAATAAATATATATGTATTTAATCCTAAAATGGAATACCGTAAGTTTGATATAGTCTAGAACGATAGAAAGACTTCGGCATAGGCAAAAACAGATCTCTTTACTTGTTCTCTTTACTGTCGGGAGATTTGACGTTCTTTGACAAACAATGTTCAGCTCTGCTTTATTATAATATATGGGTATTTAATATTATGTTTGCTTTACCTTGCCCCCGGATTTTTAGTTGTGCATTTCAAGTACTCAATTGCGGAGAATTTTACTCGCTCTAAAAAGATGGTTTTTAATGCTTTTAAGCATATCAATAATTTTAAAAATGTTGCAAATATGGCACGCAAAAAAGGCCCTGGAAAACTTCAGCAGGAATAGACCACAGGATTGCAGTGATCTCGCGAAAAGACCAAAAAAAAAGAGTTCCTGGAACATTCACTGTTCAAATATAGATGAGAATAATTCCATAGCGCCTGGTCCAATCTGGAATTCATGGAAGAGCAACACACAAGAAACCGCTTTTGACCAAAATCGAAAGAAAACAGCGTTTAGACTTTGCCTATTCTCATTGGTGTTGGAGCCTAAACCAGTCGAAGTATGTCATTTTGGAACTATGAAACGAAAAATACTCTCATTGGTTCTCTTGGTTTTATATGTTCAACGGCCTATTAACCCAGAATTTATCCCATGTTGAAGTATTGTAGAGTATAAATCATGGTATGGAGATGTTTTTCCTTTAATGGTGTTGGTCCATTCTATAGGAAAAATTAAATTATAAATAAGGAGAAATACGTCAAAATCCTAGAAAATGACAAGTTGCTATGGAAATGAAAATTTCAATAGAATAACGATCTAAATCACATCGCAAAGCTCCATGAATGTTTTAGAATGTTTATCATCCAATCCAGACTTAAGTCCTCTGGAGTAACATTAAAAGAGTCGTTAGGGTTAAAAAATACCCTTAAAGTGGATGTCCTCTTCGAGGAAGTACGAACTATATGGCAAGCGATATCAGTGGCGCGCTGTCGAAATCTCATGATATCAATGCGATCGGTGTGAGTCAGTGTTAAAGCAGAAGGATTAAGCAACCAAATAAATACTAATTAAAAGTAAACATGTAGCATTCAATTCATGAATTTCACATGTTTTTATAAAAAAAATATCTAGAAATTAATTTTTGTAAATTGCTTAGAATAACATTTTAGGTTTTGTATATGTTTAAATGAAATTACGAAACAAATTGTGAAAATGCGTACTTAACGGACAAAAAGATTATTCAATTGAAAATAACCATCGTGGCTAATTAGCTGTCAACAGCGGTATATATTTTACTATTTAAGGGTAGGCTCCAAGCCAAATCAAGAATTAGTTTGTCATTAATTTATAAGCCAGGAGACAAACGAATTTTTTAGTTTTTCATGTAAAGTCGACCAAATAGTATAAATTCGTATATCCACGAATGATAATCATTTTGTCCTTTTGCTGCTTGGCGGAAGTAGGAAACAAAAAGTGAATCCATGAAACCGCTCTGCCCTGATCCACCGAACAGAGTGGAGAAGTTCTCCTTCCTCTGCTTCCACAAGCGGAAACTGAATCCAATGCTTTCAAAGCTGGAGTGCTTTTAACCACTCGGACGACATGACCCAGCCAGCGTTGCCGCTGTCTCTTCATTCGCTGAACTATGTCGATGTCACCGTAAAACTCGTATAGCGCATCGTTCCATCGTAGATTCAGCAATGCGCATGTACGTTCCTGAGACCGAGCTGGAAACTTAATAATTTTGTCCTTCCAGGTGAAGAGAACAAGTTCAGTTTTCTGTGGGTTGATGCCCAGTTCAGCATTAATGGCCCACTTTTCTATCCGCCTTAGTCCGCTCTCCATGATATTACCATAAAGTGTGAGGGAACTTGCCATTCACTAAAACCGCTATATCGTCGGCATATGCTTTGACCTTGTGATCCACAGTAGAACAAATGTGAATTTCCATCAGTCGTTCCACTATCTTAAGCAGAACGGCAGATCCTTTGGTTTACTGTGAGACACTTTTCCACATTTTGGAATAAAAACATTTTTCGAATCCCTTCACCATTTGGGTATATAGTTTAAGCTGAAGTCTGCTTTCGGTATAACGAAAAGCCTGCCGAAACTGATATTCAAGGATTGATGTAATAGAGCAGGTGTAGGTTTTTCCGCTGATACTGTCCATGTTCAGTCGATCCCCTGCAAGCATCCCTTCGCTTTCGAAGATTGATACTTTTATTATAAAATATATATCACATGCTCAGAGTCCCATATAACCATAGAATTTCACACAGTGTAGCTTTCTACACTTCTGTTATTAATTGTATACTTCTTGAAGTTTCTGTAGATGCACTGTGATTTAAAGCAGGGTCTTAGAACGTAGTCTAACATTTAGAGCGGATATTAAATTATTAGTGAAACCTACAAGGAACAGGTAGAATGAATATCCTTAAATATATACATATACATATTTCAAAACAGTATACAAGAATTTCGAGATCGCATATTGATTGATTTTGAGCATCCAAAAAAACCCCAACAACAATGCTAATGTATTTAAAATATATCATAAATTTTTTAAGCACTAATCCAATTTTTTATTTATACTTTTAATTTCGTTTTTGACACAAAAGCTGGTGGAATCGGTTCCACAAAGGGATGCTTTTGAAATCCTTGATAATCTGCTAGAGCTAATATATGTCAAGCCGTACGACGTGTGGCAATTAAGTAATGAGACTGATTATATTGCCGCGATTGTGGTAACCCCGCGACCTTGAAATTCTCTTTCCTTTCTCCCGGCATCCTTCTCCTCTCCATTGATATATTTTCCATCGCTTTAGCTTGTTTAGTTCGCCAGCTGTGTCGTCACGAAAATGTAATGACGAAATCAAGAGCGTCAAATTCGGAAACGTACGCTAAAATTGTAAAAAATTGTAAAATTGTAAAATTGTAATTGTTGTCTCTGCACGCCCCCCGCCCGAAAAAAAGCTCGCATGAGCAAGGCGAAGGTGAAAACGATGATTATTGCTTTTTTTTGGAGCCGTAAAATCGTCCACAAAGAATTTCTTCCGCCGGGGCAAACCGTAATTCAAGTCTACTCGACAATTACTGAAGTAAAGGTTTTTTTTTTTTGAAGAAATTTGAGCAGCTTAAATGGATTTAACAGTTCATCGCTGTATCTTCGGTATACAAACTAGTTGGGCTTGTGATAATTGCATAGTTCTCCAAAGAATTACATCGTGGATTATTAATTATAGGACAGGTTCCTCTGAATAGACTAAAATACCGCCAAATTTTTTAAGTTTCAAGAACATAAAGAATTAAAAGCTGCCTTGTCCTATTGCACGTGTCTAGTTTTTGCAGAAAATGATTGGCATTTCGTCTTTTCACATTACAGCCAGAAGAACAGTTTATTAAACTTAAAGAATTGCTGCGGTTAAGGGAGTCTGTGTATTCTCTACGACGATCTATACTGAATTTAGTGAAATTTCTCAATTATAAACTATTTCACTAAGAAATTCTAATTAACTTTGAATTGCGAAAAATCCTTCCACAAACTTTAGCACTTATAGTGGGAAATTGCTTTCTAATTGCATGCTTTCATAGAGGGGAGGGTGCTAGGATACACATTTCACGTAAGCATATTTTTTACATTTTTTCAGTAGTCGGTGACTTAAGTTAGTTTTCGCAAATTATGGGGCAGTCCCTTATATGCTCCCTACTAGTAAAATCGTTAGTTTTTATAGATAAGTATGTGATAAACACGCTCATGTTAAGAACTATTAAATTACTCCACTAGCTTATTCCAGAGAAAAATTCAACAATAGATTTTGCTGTTGAGTGCTAATGTAAGTATGGTAAGCAGTGTGTGCTATCAAACGGAGTTCCATGGACTCGAATCCCGAGCAAACGAACAACCAAAATTACAGAAAAAAATATATATAAATGCGGATGCCTACTATCAGGGAACGCATTGCCGAATGATATTTATAATTAAATAATTATCATTTTATTATATAAGTTATATTTTTTACTTTCTAACCTTAAATTATTAGTTGTGTGTGTACCTCGTGAGTTGTTGTACATATGTGCATTATGATTCACAACAAAGTCGTAGAACATAACCTGAATAAATTGCATTTGATGCATAGTAAATAAAACGTACGATATTACATTGACTGATCCACTTTTCGGCGAAAAAAATGTTTATACAAAGCACATATATGCACATATGCTAGAAAGGTAGAATATAGATGGGTATATATGTAATATATATATGAATGTATTTTAAGCCAGTATAAAAGATATGCACGGATTGCATGCCGATTTAGTTTCAATTCGAATTTTTACAAAGAATGTAGAGCAAGCATTAATAGAAATACGAGTACAAAATAAAAATCCAAAATATGCAATAAATCCAAAATGTATAAATATTGGAATATACTATTTTTAACCGCTTGTTTGACATTGCAGGTAAGCACTGGAGAAAAGCAATATTTTATTATTTATGTAACTAGTTTCACACTTTTATTTAATTTTTGAATATTTTTTTTATATTAATTTTTATTTTATTTTATTTTTTTATATTATAGCTCGTGGCATCGCTACCCCCGAAGACTCCTAAAACCCTTAGCGACAAATTGGAGTCCCATGAAGATGCTGGTGAAGAAAAAGTTAAAGGCCAAATAAATTTACTACGCGCACAATTATCTTGCAACGCGCTCAATTTACTAACCAATCAGTCACGTAGTATTCTACGCTTGTCGAAACCATTTCTTAAAAGTTTAGTCAACGAACTTAATTCACTGCCAGTGAAGAGTGCCGAGATGGAAAAATACCAACAACGTTTGGCTGAAGCATTAAAAGGTATTGAGAAAATTAACTTAGATGCTGAACCACCACAATTGGTTGATATATTCTCCAGTGTTGACGAGGTTACCACTATCATCAAAGACTATGCGAATATGCCGCAAAATGAGGAGCATTCAAAATTAGAAAAATTATTGGAAAAGATCGGTTCTAAGATTTTGGTTAATAAATTGAATGAAACATTAGAGTACACTTTAAAAGAGTTTAAGAAGATATTTGAACACTACGAGGTGTCATTGAGTGATGAAAAAGGCAAAGGAATTGATGATCAATTAACAAATTGGCTCGAACGTTTCAAAGAAGAAGACGATACCGAGAAGAAAATTGAACAATTATTTGAAATATTCAAAAATTTTTGAATAATATTTTTAAGCAAATGTTAACGATATTTCGTGACAATGCAGTTTTTGCATGTTTCCTAAAGACCATACGTTTGTCCATATATAATTGATTAGTGTTTTTCAGTATTATTGTTTTATACATTTTCACTTTTTTTCAATGTAAATATGGCTTTTATACTATTTTTAAATTTCATCATGTTTAAAGCAAAAGAAAATTGTTACTAAATATCGTTAAAAATTGCTTTATAAATTATAATTTGTACACTTTAGCTTCAACCAAATAAATGCAATAAACATGTGAACAAATTTATATACTAAATTTTATAACAAAAATACTTTCAGTTTGTCTTTTTGGCAACAGAAATACAAGGTGATATGAATGTATTAACAGCATGAATATATATTTATACATATTTCACAAAAGTTCAGCTCATAGATAATTCCTACCATTAATTTCAGTATTTAAGAATTATGTTAAAAATTAAGTTGGTTTCGATTAAAAATGGAAATAAATATTTATTTTTGTTTTTATTGAAATTAGCAAATCCCGAAATCACGTCACTGTCACCAACTGAACTTATAAATAGTTTATATAGATAGTTTCTTTTGGTTTGAAAGGTATATAATTTTTTCATGACATTCCGTATTTATTAGGTTTGTTTATTGAGACTGAAAGTAGAGTAGAGCAGCTCAAGTTCGAGCAGAACTGAGCAGCTGCCAAAAAACAATAGAGTAAGTTAGAGCAACTCGGAGCAAAAAGCTCATGAAACATTTTCAAATGCGTGGTTTGACTTTTCTGTTGTACACAAAATAGAAAATATTTAAAATTTTTCCATATATAACTGATTTAAATTTATTATTTTTATTATCACTTGTATTAAACTTATTTATTTTGCCCACTTTCGTTTTTTAACCGCGTCTGCCAAAAAAATTGTATTGCTTGCTCCAAGTTACTCTAAAAAATCCGAGCAGAAAATCGTGATCTGAGTTGCTGTATTTCTGTTTAGAGAATACTCATGAAACAAAGAGTAGAGCAAGTAAGAGCAAAAAAAGTGTCATGAAACACAATTTTATGAGATAGAGTAACCTAGCGCAACCTAGAGCCTTTTAATAAAGGCCTTTTAATAAAGTATGTTATTTTGATATACAAAGAAAAATTACATGTTTTGATATAAGGTATCGAATTTGTATTTTATTGTAAAGAGAAAGGTATGCCATTAATAATGGTAAAAAAAACAGCCAAATGGATGTCAGGGCTGTGCTTACAGAAACGTATTCTTTTTATGAAACTTTCCATCTACAAATCGCAAAGTGACTTTTGTGATCCCGCATTAGCTTCACGAAATCAATATTTCAGCTTTTGAATCAACATTGGCCTGTTGGCGGAGACTTTAGCTTTTACCTGGGCCCAAAGGAGGCAGTCGCATGGTGTTAAGACAAAAGAGATAACCCCTTCGATAGATAGCAAGGTTCGGAAACATTTCCCTTAAACGATCGAGGGTTTCGTTGCTTGTAGCGCCATCTCACTAAAAGTAAACGTTATTCAGATGAATACCATCTGATTCAATTTCACATGACGTCCAAGTGTTTCATTCTTCACATCACTAACTTGTCTCGAAAGCTCCATTTGTATTGCAACAAAAAATATTTTCGTTTTTTTTTGAAACCAAATATTGTCAAAGCTGTGTCCAAAACCGTGCAGTCAGAATGGTTTTTTTTTTTTTTTTTTGTGCAAAGTCCTCTCTTCAATTATTTGAGTATTCTCGGAGCACCAAATGGGAGAATTTTGCTAATTTACGTATATCCCGAATAATAAATGTATTCCGTCACTGAAAAAAAGTTTGTTAGCAAAATCTCTATCCAATGCTTCTTGTTCAAGCGCCCAATCGGCTTATGTACGACGTTTTGAACGATCAGCTGGCTTCAGTTCTTGGGTGAGCTGGATTATATATGAATATAGGTGTAAGTCTAAGTGCAAAATACGCCACGATGTGCCTTAAGCAAAGCCCAGCTCTTGAGAATGTCGATAAATAGACACGTTCGGCTACACTTTCACTTAAAGTATCGATACTTGAGGTGCAACGGGAAAAACGACGATGCACTTGCCTTACAACATACAGCAGATAGCTGTAGCCCTGTACTTTTGCAGCCTCGACGTTTTTTACTTATAAAAATAAATTTATTTATTTAAAATAAAATAATCATTTATAGAAAACAAATTGTAAAGTGAAACAAAGCCGTGTTCCCTTGGTCAGGAGAGAAAAGAGTCCCGGAAGTTCTAAAATGATATTACACCAGTTATAGACAATCTGTTAACCGAATTTCGGTCGAGCTTCTCATTTTGTGGTATTAATCTTAATTCTACAAGTTAATAAGGAGTGGATCCAGTTGGTGGAATATTTATGTAATAATCGAAATATATCGGAAGAAAACAACAACATTGCTTTTAATTATCCTGACCTCAAGTCGGGAAACTTTTTCAATTCAAAATAAAAGAAAGGTCGCAAAAACCATTAATATAATACGAGTATATGATATATAAATATGTAATTTGTAACCACTGAAGTTATTTTCGGCCGAGCTCCTCCCCCAATTTGTGGTTGTGCATTTTAATGCTTTTCCGATAAATGGAGGAACCTACAACTTACATTAAGCCGCCTTTGAACGTGTGATAGTTTTTTTTAGAAATTAGAAGATTTAACATAATTTTTTATTTAAATTAATTTCCTATAACTTTTGAGGATTTGAGCACTGGCCTTCCGAATGACTTTGCGTCTAACCATGCGGAATATTTAAAATAATTATTATTTAGTACCAAACTATCATTTCAAATAATATTTGCTGCATATATGTGGTATAAAATTATTTCTGTTTACTACCTTAACATACGCAACTGAGGTCGAAAGGGAGTCTCGTTTTATGGGGGCAACGGCGGGTGAATTTTTTGACATACCAGGAATACATTCAGAAGTTTTTTCATTGGTTGCCAAAGAACCACTTCACCTTCAAAAAAAATATTATACCTTAAAAATATAAGTTCATACAAAAATATTATTTCAAAAAATTTAATGTGGTCATAAAAAATTTTAGCTGATTTATAATTCGCATAACTTTTATTATTTAAAATTTGTTTTATTCTTTTTTTTTTTTGTAAGTAATATTAAAATTAGAAACATTACTTGTGAAACTTCATTTGTTTGATGAAATTTTATTTTATTTTTACAATAAATGAATGAAGTGTCATACGTCATTACATGCATATTTACATTTATTTTATTGATTCAATTATTACGTAACTAACTATCGACTTCAGGTACTCACTTTAGCTGTCTCACAAACGAAACGAAGGCACAGCTATCGTGTCGTTACACAGGTGACAATCAAGCATCAAGCGCTCACCGCGCTCAAATTGAGCCGACAACAAACCCATAAGTTTTCTATGCCGTATTAATTTGTGTACTTCCTGAGAGCCGCCACTGCCCGATAGTAGTCGTGGTGGTTAATGCAAGCAAAAACCGTATGATTACTTTATTAGTGAAATTCTATTTTATTGGTTTTGCGGCCTGAAAGCGAAAGTCCTATAATTTTATATTACATATAAAAGTTACCTACCGATTGGATAGAATTATGGGAAAAGGATCTCGACTGATTGACAAAAGTTATTATGATTTTGATATAAGCATAGATTGTGTTGGCTTCGCATTTTTATTATTTTGCGGCTACAGGTTCAACTTGTGTATAAATATGCATAGATTCGAATGGTGCTTCGTGCTACGTACTTCGTGAAAGACTTTGAGCAGTGAAAAGAGATACATACATACAACTAAGTAGATCAATCGATAGATGTTACAATCTTAAGTTCGTTTGTAAAGATCCACATATCTCGAAAACTTACCGACCAAAATATCCAAATCATGGGTGGCTGAATGAGCAAGATGTCCTCAATGAATGAAACTAAAATCGCTACGAACTCGAGGCCTACTCTTCAGTCAGATAAGTCAGTTAATTATCCAAGTTTAAGAATTCTTCGGACTTAGTGGAGGTCCCACCGTACCTGTTATATTTTAAAATCGATGTGTTCTGACCGGCGAAGACATCTTCGTCATATCTTGTGATATTTTCTTTTAATTCAGTTTCCTTTTCGACTAGCACTTGCAACCACTATCAATAAGACTCAGGGTGAATCTGTGCAGAAAACCTCGACTTCCTCACCAAGGTTCTCAACTCGCCTTTGGCCACCCTAAGAATACCCAGCATGTGGGAAATGGGCAAGTTGGTTCCGCTATTCTAACCATGGAAATTAGGAAAGCCTAATCGTCCGATCTCTACTTTCCCCAATAGCGAAGACTGATGAGGCCTTACTGCTCCCGACTTTCACACACCATCTGAGTCCAGCAGCACATCAGCATGTCTTTCGCAAAGTGCACAGTGCCCAATAGCACTTAACGCCATAAACACTCAGATATTCAGATAGATAGTTGCAATCATAGGTAGAATTTCAAGGTCTAACATCGAAACTCAGGAATTAAACAAGGTGTTCCGCAGGGCGGTATCCTCTCTCCATTACTCTTTAACTTCTATATCTCGAAGCTCGCTCCCTAACCAGAAGGGGTTTCCTTCAACTCAAAAGCTGATGATTGTACAATATTGATGTCTTTCGCACGCCTTCACTTCACATACGACCACAATTGCTGCAAAACTCCTGAGCCAAAACAAAATCCTCAAAGTGCTAGTCGGCAGCATCTGGGGAAAGACAAAGAAACTTCCATGGTAATGTACAAAGCATTTGGCAGCCCGTTGATAAACTACCGAACTGTGCACCGGGAACAAACGAGACGCTGTTAAACAGTCTGAAGTCACCTAAGCGTCAACTATGCAGCGAAGGATCTATGCTACGAGTTAAGAAGCATAATTTTTTGTTGTGCAAGAAATTTCTACGAGAATGTTACCGCGGGGTGCACCCCAACATCGGTGTCAAATCACCACCTATAGCAGAAGAAAAAGTAGAATTGCATCGAGAGTCCAGCGTGATACTAATGTAAATTAGGTCTGGATATTATAGCCAGTTAAACTCCAGCATGTAACGATTCCCATACGACACTAACCATCTCTTTACAAGCTCCCTTTGGTCCGAACCCGTCGAAACTGCTCGTTTTGACCACCCGTTAAATGACCTGGGTGACTTAAATTAACCAGCCCGACCTTAAGCGGAGTTGGAAAACCCGCAACAACCACAACACAGTTAACTTCGTAACGATATAAAATTTAACAGTGCTTCAAAATTTAAAAACTAGTCCAAAAAAATTGTATAATCACAAATTAAAAAGTTAATATTGATTAAAACAAAAGAAAACAAACAAAACATTAAAATTAATATAAATTAATATGTATTTTACTTAAAATTTTTCTCATCAAATTTTTCAAAGCAAAATATTTTCACCCCAATACTGATTCATCGGATTTACGCGTAATTTGAGCATTATTTTCATATACTACTTTGTTTATATGATAAATTACACAATTAAACGCAGTAAAGTGCACAATGATTACAAACAATCTTATCTATAGATATGAATTATTTTTCATTGAATAATATTTCTAAATGACACATTTTTTGTCAGCATATTCGTTTTTTTTTTTTGTTATCGAAAGCTCGTAAAAATTTCCACGTAAAAATTATTTTTCTTTTTGTACTTGATATTTTTTTCTTTTGTAATTTTTCTATGTGTAATTAATGTTTAATTTTATGTAATTTCACATTTCACATTTTGAATATTGATGAATTAAAATCTCGCAAACAAACGGGTAAAATGTGTGAATACATCGTTAGCTCTTTCGTCATCCGACTCACGTTGATATTTGTGATACCAATCAACAATTCTATGACTCTTTCGTCTATCTTCTTCCGTTAGGGTGGCCACATAAGTGTCCATTTTACGTAGAAAATCATTTAAAAATTCCATTTTACGCATTTTCAACTCATTAATCAATTCAACCAAACCGTTACGTTTGAGTGCGTCTTCGATAAGTTCATCGGTCTCAGATGGCTCGAGCAGTGCGGTAGTATTGAATTTTTGTACGATGTCTTCAAACAGATTTACCGTATGTATTTTGGCAACGACAGAAAGAAAACCATCCAACGTAGTCGCATTCTTGGGTAATGGCTTAAGGCGCTCATTGACTTTCGCGATGTATGCCGCTAAAATGGCTTTCTGCTGCTGCAGGTCTTTATTTTGGACGATTGTTTTATCTTGTAAAGCTTTCTCGAATAGACTTTTAGTGTTTGTCTCATAAAAGCTTAGATATGAAAAGAGATCTACATAAAATTCAAACATTGCTTGCTCAATTTGACTATCAAATTTGAAGTCGGGTCCATGGATCGTAGGCGCGGAGGTGCTAAGGTTCGTCTGGAACAAAACCAAAAGAAGGTGGTTAAAAAAAAATAAATTCGAACATTTGTTCGGTGATCTTTAAAAGGAAATATTTTAGTTTTTAATTTTTTTTTTTATTTAAAAGAAGAACTTACATCTACAGCGAGCAATAGTAATATTATATAATGTATTCTGAACATATTAATTTTGAAATTTATTTATTTTTTATATTTTATTACGCAGTATTTTATTTGTTTTTGTTTGATTTTTAGTTATTTAATTTCTTATATTGCAAAACTTCTCCACTATTTTCTAGTTGTTTATTCGTTTGGTATTCGATTTGTACTAAACATTTTTGAACCCTTTCTTATTTTATTTGCGCGAAAATCGTCGTCTGTTATCTCTTTTACAATAACGACATTCGTATAATGTATAACGCTTTGGCTGATAAGGCCTTAACCAAATATATCATACATTAGTTAGTCATCGCAGAGGAACCCCCATAGAAGCATACATAATCATATACTCGTACATTTTTCAATTGTAGCTAGGTATGCACACATATTTGTATAACGAATTCGTGTGTAATTTGAGTATGTTTGTCACCAGAAACTCATGCCAACATTGTATAACCATGTAAATAATGTATTGTGCTATAATTTTAGTAGAGTAAAAGATTAAAAAAAATCGTATAGTATTTTAGTAAATATTACACTTCAAATTGAGAAAATCGCAGTCGTTTTTATATATATAAATGTTTTTCAGCAGTAAATCTATAAATTCGCTCAAGCAGGTGAACTGACTTTTTTATTCAAAAATTTACACACTTTTAAATATTATATGTTCGAATATATGTATGTTACAAATAAAATATTGATAGGAAGAACCATATATGTATATCGGACAACTAAATACAGTAGCTCACACACAATTCACTGTACAGACATTTTGTTCATTTTGTTAACGGCTGCAAAATAAATATATTACGTTAAGTGAAGGGTATTTTTTTGCAAAAAATTGAAGACATTTATAGCGAATATGCAAAGTTTTGCTTCATAACTTTTTGCAATTTTGAAAGTGAAATTATTATGCGTCCCTCATATATACCCCGTTCCCTACAGACCTTTCCTGAGACCAATTCTTCACCAGTCGAAACATTCGCCTATAGGCAGGAACATATGGTAATCACTTGATGCAAGGGCCGGACTATAAGTTGGATACATAAATACCTCTCAGCCACGATTTCGGAACTTCTCACGACTCACTATCGATACGTGTGGCCAGGAGGTCTCCTGACGAAACACAATTCCCTTCCAGTTGCATTGATTTCTTCATACTGTCCAATTGTTTCCTACAAATGGTTTCATAATGAGTTTGCCACAGCAGCTCATAGTGAATCGGTGCGTTCACCGAACTGATCGCTTAGTAAACATGTTCAATGAACGCTTTTACTGAGCGATTAATTTTGATAAACGTACTGCTACTTCAAATGTCGTTACGACCTAATTGACAACTGATTATGAAGTTATGAAGTAAAGCTATTTTATGGATATTAATATTTGCGCAATTATGTCTTACTTGAAATGTTGTTCTATTTGTTCTGAAATGTTCCGAAAATTTGTCATCTATATACCGTGGCACATTTTCTTCATACAAATTTTTTCTTCTTTTATTTGAATTCCTTTTTTTGGAAACCTGTTCATATAGGGCAGTTGGCTGAAATAAACCTATTTGAAAACTCAAAAAATGTGATAAATTGTCATTAATTGTGATACACTTCAGAAATGGATCGATTTTTTTACAATTCAACAGCGATTCGCACATAGAAATTTGGTTTATGAGGTTTTTTTTTTTCGTTGACTTCATTATTTTATCGACAATTGGTCGTCCACACCGTGAAGCAACTTTTACATCAAAATTACCGGAACGAACTCGACAGAACTACGCTTACACCTTTGTTAAAGAAAATTTGTAGAATATGGTATTGCTGGTGACCATTTTTGATGTGTGTTCCAGCACTACTGAGTTAAGTGATAAACACTTCGCAGGTTAATACTAGCGCAATCCAAGGTTAATATTAAATCTTTCATGGGGTTATAAATTATTCCTAATGTGTGATGATGACAATTATCAAGACATCACTTTGCCACTGACATACTGCTTGCCGAAGTCTGGCACAGAGACGCATGTGGGGAAAGGTCGGCTAAGTAATCTTCCTGCAAAAATCGCTGCGAAATGTCATGGTCCAATGTCTGCTCGCCTTCCGCCGCCACCGCGTGAAATTCACTTGGGTCAAATAGAACATTTACCAGAACACATTTTGGAAGGTAAACCTAGATGCAAGAGCCGCAATATACATCTCGGTCCGGTGGCATGTTTATGTTTTTCGGCTGAAATTTCATCAAATTTTAAATGGCTTTTTTTAATTTTATACTTAATAACTGCAACTTTTAAATAAATATATAAAAAAAAATAGAATATCTTTCATACAAAACTTATTTTCATAATTTTTATGTCTGCCTGTCCAGCCGTTCCTCCAGAAATCAACTGTGCTTTTTGCTGCTCCTTCGACTTATATTACTAATAAGCAAAATTCCAGAACAAAAAAAAATTTGGGATTTTAAGAGTTAGCTATTGTAAATGTATTTGCAAAAATTTCAGTATAAATTGAATGGTAGGCTACGAAACAACACACAACTAGTGGTAAAAAAAAGACAACTTTATGATAGAGAAACATAAGAAAACATAAGCCTCAATCCCAGCCGTACGCATGCATGAGTATGCAATGTTTGAATTCTAGGTAAATCTTTACAAAAATCTTAGCTTTTTCCACTTAAATTAAAAGTCTATTCGAACAAGCTTTACAAGAACAAGCAATCACCCAAAATAATAATGACCTGAAAAGTCGTTAAGAGGCAAATATTTCGGATGTCAATTCACTTCACTTCCTGAGAATTCGACTGCGTTGGATGGTTTTCTTTTCATCGTTGCCAGAGTATATATATGGCTAATTTGTTTGAAGATACCCCCGCACTCCCTGCAATGTCTAAGGATCATAAAATCGTCTAAGCTGCATCCAAAAGTAATGGTTTGGGTGAATTGATTAATCAGTTCGAAACATGTAAAATAGAATTGTGAAATCAATTTCTGCGTAAAATGGAGACTTATGTGGTAACTCCAAGGGGAGAGGCTGGGAAAAGGATCAGGAAATAGTTCATCGGTATGAAAAATACCGAAGCATGGCGGACGGCGAAAGAAGAGCCATCCAAAAATTTTTTGGGTTTTTTTGCGCTACGATTTCATACCAAGATATAGAGAGCAATCCGGTCCATTTTTATTAACTGATATTTACTTCACCAAATAATTACCGCACTCCAGGTAACAGCTTGAAAATATACAGTGTTTGCGGAAGCGTATTCTCAAGAAACCCTGCTATAGGACTCTTTTTCTGGGTGACAATTGCATTAACTTTCAAGCGGAGATATTTGTTGTCATGAAGGCTGTAAACCAAAACGGAGCCAGCTTTAAAGATAAAGATATCTTTATTTACATAGACAGACAGGCAGCAATAAAACACTGAGCTCACTCACACCAAATTCCAAATTAGTGCTGGATCGTTGCCAAACTCTACGGGAGACAAAGTCTCCAAAAGTGCAATGAAACTACAACCTGCCGCAAATCCAGACACACCTTTCCGAAATGAAATAATAAGAGATCGTGAGAGATGTACTTCTTACAAGGAGGAGATATGTTCGAAGTAATACTGATAGGCCACTGCATGATAAGACGACACGCGGTGAGCGTAGGGGCTTCCTGTAGAAGATGCTTCAGAAGCTGCAAGGAGGATGGCGAGAAGGAAACGGTCACCATCTCTTATGCGACTGCCCTGCTTTAGGCTAAGTCTAGGTTTCGGAATTTCGGAGTGGTCTATAGAAAAGAGTGGATGTCATGGATCTAATGAAGTTCATTAGAAGGAAAGGATGGATAATGAATCCTTATAGACTAGGCCCAAAAGTAATCAGTACAATAGATCGGTAGCCACCACAACCAAAATTTTACGTTTTGAAGGATATGGTTATGAATTCCCGACTGAAATATACTAATTCAGTTGGATTCTACACATGAGCAAAATATTTTCAACATTAATTTTAAGAAACCGTTTGACGTTGCAATTAATCAATTTCAAATTATCAAAATGACAAACTTCCAAAAATCATTTTAAGAGAAGTCAAATGTGGCATAACAAATGACGTGGAAATTAGCTCATTTCGAAAAAATTTATAACAACTCCATTGATGTCATTATCAAGACTAATCAAAATTACTATTGCAGCGCAAAAAATTGGAAATTTGATTTAATTTCTGAAAACAAATTTCAGATTGATGATTTGTAATGAAATTATATTTTTTTTTCAATATAACGATACCATTTCCATTTCCCAAAATAATTTTCTTTCATACCCGATTCGTACGGCATACACAGGACACACGCTTTAAGTTTCAGGTCTGCAAGACCAGCGGCTTAGGATGTGGGCTCATCCGTCAGCCATTCAAGACATTATATTTATTATTCAGAAATTTTTGATGGGTGAAGTAAAACTAGGCTTGTACCGTAGAGATAACTTTGATGAGAAATCGCAATCGATCCAGTTGAAACATTTGAAAATGTCATCGTTAGAGCAGTTATCAAAATAAATTTTAATCATCTCCTCGAAACGTAAATCCGCAATTAGTGTTAAATTGTTGACAGATAATGTTAAAGCTAACATTGAAATGTGCTGTAAATAGCTGCCATTTTAAAATTAACGTTAATGTTGTTAGTGAGCATTAAAAATTTCATTTTGCTTCGAAAACATGGCACCGGTTGATTTCGGTAATTTTTTTTTTTTTTTACATTAGCATCCCTGAGTAAAACTCGTAATCGAGAATCCACAGCTCTTACTTAATCATAGGAATATTTAAGATCACTAAACTCTTCTGACTGTGATGTCTAAAAACGAAATACCAATTCTTTGTAATGCTTTGAAGAACGATGTCATTATAGCGAAAATTATAACTAGCTCTAATAACTATACCGGAGATACGGAAATAATTTGATAAATCCATTTAAAGTGCTTAAATTTCCGATAAAAATCTTCTGCTTTAGCAATAGAAATGCCTGTAATAATATAAAATATCGTACACATACCTACATACATATGTGCCCGAAGGAGAAGAACAGAGTTTAGTGCGTGATCAAAAGTTGAAAAACAATTTTGAAATTAATTGACCTAAGTCGACAGCCATTATTATGTTATAAGTCTTATACAGGTACCGAAGTTACCTTATGAAAACATCCTTGTAGATATATGAATCTCAATATGTCAAAAACTGATCGTATATGAATTAAAACCATTATATTATATTTACTTCATTTGAGCTCAAAAGTTATACAATTTTTTTTTACAAAGCAGTTTTCATCGACGATTTTCTTACGCAAGCTTGTTTATCAAGCTCGACAAAAACTGAAATTCTAATCGAATAAACCTCACTATGTCATCAACGACCGCATCACTACCGACTGCTTGAATCTGTCCATTTTGTGAGTTCTTCGTATTAATATTTCGGATTATATCCTTTAATAATTCCCGTTCTTGTTTCACTATACCCCTAAGATCATCAAAATCATCCGGTTGTCGGGACTGACGACGTTGTTGTTGGTAAATTTCAATCCCGGGGCTCTTCTCTGGTTGATTATCAAGGATTTCCAAGGCATCCCTTTTTGGAAATGATGCCACGAGCTTTTGTGTCAATAAATTAAATATGGTATAAGTGTTTCAAAAATTTATTATATATAAATACTCACCTGCAGTGTCAAGCAAGCAACTAAAAATAAAATGCTCCAGTTTTTATACATTTTGGAAAATATATTTATTATCAAATCTTATATTGGCGTTAAGTTTCTTGTGAAGAATCGACTTGAAACTAAATCTAACTGTAATCTCGCAAATCTTTTATAGCGATTTGAAATAAATATAAGTATGTTTAGATATTCGTTCTAGCTGTTATCATATACATCTTACTAATCATTTAGTTTCCATCACAAACACTATATGTCAGACTATATCCTAAGGGTTTGGCTTGAATTACAATTCATCTACAGCACTTTCAAGAAGTATACGTACAACTAGTAGCAGAAGCGTAGAAGAGTACACTGAGAGAAATAATTTTGAGGAACACAAAACCAATGAGTTTTCTTTTATCATAAAACTAGCAATGCAAAATACTTTTCCTCTTCAAATAAAAGCAGAAAACGTAGGTTAGAATATAACACGTTTAAGTGCTTACTTCAGCTATTTTAGTCAGTGCCAAGAGAACATTTTAAAATAAATAAATAATAATATATAATTTTATATAAAATAATCCAAATGAGTGGTATTAATAAGTCGGGTGTATTATTTTGATTATTTTGTTTGTGCGATTCGAATTTGACTGAAGCACAAAATAAGGTTTTCGTTGGCTGGATATACCAATGCATATATAAAATGTCTCTTACAACTTGTTTCGAAGTAATAGGAGTATACTTGAGAGAAAGCTGCTGATAATTGAATATTATTTAGGAATAAATATAGCGATATAAAAATACATAAATGATTTTAAAAAACATGAAATCTTATTACCACTTACTATTTTCAAGTTGAATGCTGACAACCACTTTACTACCGGTAATTCTATTCGCGACGATCAACTGATTTCGCCTTGCGAGTTGTTTTACAAAGTACCAAAAAATAGGGCAGTTACTGTATTAAGCTCTGAAGAGTTACGATTTTACTTTCATCATATACAAAAACAACATCACTTTTTTACATCTGAATCAATTGAAATTATAATTAAAAATTTTATGTTTTCAAAACCTATTTAAATCATTATTTCTCAAATGTCATTTAGTAAAACAATTTGTTTTAATCCTGGTATATTAAAAAAGCACAAATTCATTTAAATAACTAATAATAATGAGTTCATAAGACATACTCTCGGGCATAGGCTTTGGTGACTGTTGCTGAAAGTATTTAATCAAACTCAAATTTCTGGCGGTTTAGCTGGAAAATAACGAGAGCGCAGAAATAAATGTTTTTTATTATTGGTTAGTGGTAATATACTGCCACAAAAAAACAAGAACAAACAGAACAGATTTAGAGAGAATTTCAAAGAAGCAAATGGTCATTTTTTCAATGAACCTGATTTCAGATTTTACGTCGAATACGGTATGCGAAATTGAAATAGAAATTGAATACTTTTTAATACTTTTTTGTTTCAGCTCACTGCCCTTCGACCACGACCATTTTCGGATGACACTGCCGGAAGTAATCCACTTTCCATCGCCAGTTACGATCCGCTTCATAAAGGGTCGATTTTGTTAGGTGTCATCAGCGATTCATGAGACCTTTTCAAATAGTTCCAAACTATTTTATTTAACAATGTTTAGCTCATAGGCAATATAAACAATGTTCATTTTTGACAATGGGGTTTCCACGCCGTAGAGTATTTTTTACTACAGCAAAATTACCGTAAGAGAATAGACAAAATCGAAATTTAGCAAGATTGACTGCCTCAGTATAAGCACCATAAGCACTACTAAAATTTTCAGCTGCCCTGGAATGTAGCGTATTTTCTCTTTGCTGGTGTCAAAATATTATCTTTCTAACACCATCTAGTGTGATTCATTTCGAGGTACTTTACTTTTTTTAAGAAAAAATTTAATGGGGAATGTTTATTGCCATTCGAAATAACATTCTTTGGCGTTTAACTTTGAAGATTATCTCTTTCAAATCCTGACCGCGGCTACGTCGAAGGTAATCCATCCGTAAAGTACAATTTTCGATGACTCATTCCAGCACTTCGACTCGGTTATTCGATTACTTACACGAGTGATGTTTTATCCAAGACCTGAATCCAAGTGAGATTGTTCGCATAGACTTAAGGCTTTACATATCCCTACAGCAAAAATTCGAACAGTGACAGAAATAAATTATTTCTTGAAACCCTTACATGCGTATCAATTATTACCTGTTTGGCTTTAATATTGGTCAGTCATCTCACATATACTTTAATTTTTATGTATTTATTTGTAGTAACACATAAACACTTAATCTACTTCAAAAACATAAACAAATTTACAGGCCCAATAAATAAATCATACGTACAGGCATATGTACGTATCACGAAGAACTCAACCAGCCATCTGGGTATCATTTCCAAACAAAACACTGGCTGTATACAGCTTTTCAAACATAACAATATTATTACAAAATGATAAAAAAAAACCGCCGATATTCGATACATAAAAATGCTTGAAAAATTTCGTACCAATATCCATATGTAGATATTTGAAAATATTTAAGTTGATAATAATATTGTATAATATAAATATAAATATGTATGTATAAATATTGTATATATTTGGCACTTTGTAACCGCTGAATTCTACAGTTTGTGGTTCAACTCTCACGACAGCCGGTTCTACGCACCGGAGTTGACCCGGATTTTATCCGGCCAAGGGCTGTCACCCTTTCGGAGACCTAACCCCGTTTAGGTCTACAGGTAACCTTAGTCTAAGTACGTCAACGGAGCAACACCTCGCAGCTGGGTTGCTCCAAATCCTTCTGATCAGGGCTGGTGTAGAAACCAACCCTGGACCGACGGATTACTTCTGCTGCGTGTGTCAAAGAAGACTCCACCATTCATCCACCTCGGTTAGATGCACCCAGTGCAATGGCTGGAGTCATCTTAAGACCTGCTCAGGCCTTAAGACCCACAGGGAATGGACCACAAGTTATGTGGCCCCATGCTGCCAGCGTCCAACCGCCCCCTCAGCCTCCACGGCAGTGCCTTCAGCACACATACCCACTCTGGGTAATCTGCAGACCTCNGAGAAATACCACCACCCATAGCAGACAACGAGCTCGAGCTGCCTCGAGAGACCCGCGTGACCCTGACACAACTTAGGTCTGGATATTGTAGTAGGTTAAACTCCTACCTATCCAGACTAGACCCCAGCATACCTAACGTATGCCCGGCATGTGGAGAGTCCCCGCACGACACTAACCACCTCTTCACATGCCCCCTCAAACCTACTCATCTAACACCCCTCTCCCTTTGGTCCAACCCCGTCGAAACAGCTCGTTTCCTGGGCCTACCCTTAGATGACCTCGACGACTTAGACTAACTCAAGCCTGTGCCTAAGCGGGGTTAGCGAATCCGCTACAACAACAACAACAACAACACAGTTTGTGGTTTTGCATTTTAATTTTTTCCAACTAATGGAGGGCCCTACAGTTTATACTTTATACTACGCCTCCGAACGGCTGATGGGTTTTTATGAGCAGATGTTAAATTGAGTTTTACTAAGATAAGTACCAAATAAAAAATAATAAGATATATACATATATTAGGTCAAGTAAAAAGTTTCATTCGTTTTTTATCTAAGAAATGGCGTTATTGTCCATAGTACTAGTATTACTCGTCTCATCATGTCATACGGCGCTGAAAACGTGTTTATCCGCGCTAAAAGTTTGTCTTTGACAGTTTTTCGATTGATTAACTCAGTACGTTTAGAGCGCTCGTCAAAGATGGACACCAGCAAAGTGAAAATTCGCTATATATTACAATTTTTCTTCGATCAAGGCGAAAATGCAGCCAAAGCGGCTGAAAAAATTAGTTAAGTTTATGGGCCCGAAACTGTAAAAGAACCTGTAGCACAAAAGTGGTTTACTAAGTTCCGTTTCGGTAATTTCGATGTCAAAGATGCACCAGGTTTTGCTATGTGTTAAGTGAGATTGGCAAGGAATCATCTACTACGAGCTGCTCCCCTATAGCCAAACGCTCAATACGGCCCTCTACTGCCAACAACCAGACCGCTCGAAGGCAGCACTCACCCAGAGGAGGCTATCTTTGATCAACAGAGGCCGAATTGTGTTCCATCAGGACAATACCAGGCCACAAACGTCTTTGGTGACGCGCCAGAAGCTCCAGGAGCTCGGATGGGAGGCCCTAATGCAACCACCTTATAGTCCGGACCGGGCACTAAGTGATTACCATCTTTTAGAGTCAAAATGTACAAAAAGATATCATATTTTGAAAAATCAACAAAAAAAACCGAACGAACTTTTTACCTGACCTGATATATAAGTACAGGTATTATATTTACAATAATATAGAAGTACGATAGTGGTAAAAATAATTTGAACAACAAAACTAAATATACCAAAAATTTCATAAATTCAAAATAATATTTGGTTTCCATGCTGCTCTATATGAAAAGAATTTTTTATAAAATATTTTGAATTTGCTAATTCTGAAATAAAATATTTCCACTCAATGAGATCAAGCAAATAATTTTGAATAACTCTAGTTGAGTAGTCATAAGAAGATCCCCACCGTTTTCGTTCCGCCAATCACTGAACTTGAGTTGTCAAAATTTACATTTTTATGGAAAAGTAAACAAAACGAATTAATAATAAAAAAAAGAATAATGTATTATACGTGTAAGATTTATCTTTGCCTAATAAATTTATTTATTGGATCTTAATTCTTTACTTAAGCCTAACAATAAGTTTTAGAATCTTTATAACTAATAAATTACAGCTTTAGTCCTTTTATAGCAATGGGCGTCAGATAAAAACCCTGTTCTTCGGAATGCTGGCAGATCTTTCCTTCGAAGGCGAGTTCAACTTGAGGATTCGGATGATTTCGCAATTTCGACAGGTATTTCGCCAGGTGTTTATCAATTCAATGTGGTCCATTGGTATTTCAAGGTCCCTATGTGTATTTTCGTTGCCCATATATCATCGTGCACCTGTTAGATATTGTAGTGTTTTTGATTGGAATCGCTGTATAAATTTATTCCATTCATCCATATTGGCTTTATTAATTATATAGAAGGACTTCATGATCCAAGCATAAACCTGAATGCTTACTTGGTTTGAGATGCTGTATTTTTTTGTTAATACTCGTACATACATACATAAGTCCTTATTGCCATACTTTATCGAATGCTTGAGCCACATCCAGAAATATGTGCTGAGCAATACTCTTTCAGCTCAAATTTCTGAAAATGAATTTGGAATTTCTCGTGCTACCAATTTTTATTTCTCTTTATTTCGATGTCGAACTTGCATTTTTCGGATTAATATATTCATTTTCTGGAATAAAATTTTCATTTTTCTTACTTAAATACTTACTGCTGTTGAGGGCAGCAGTACCGCGCTTAGTATTATTCTTGCTATTTATTAATATTTGAAGGTAAATCTTATTTTTGCAAATTTCTGTTCTAAAATTGCTTTCACCAATATTTATTTGTCGTTCCTTACCTTACAACTCGATTCGCACTGAACTTTTAGCAAACTCATTAACAAAAATTTTAGAAAAAAGTGCCAAAAAGTTTTGCTAAATATTTACATATTATACACCTATTTTCACCGTGGGCTATACTGTTAGCAGTCAATTCATGAAAGTTTGATTAGATAAGCGCTCACATAGATAAATACTACTTAGTAATCGCAAGGGAACTCCCTCATAAATACATATACATTATCCGATTGTTTTAAGCTAGATGGCGTGCAAAGAGAAGCGCAAGTCAGGCAACTGAAAATGTGAAGAGTACTTATGGAACTGATATTCTAAAAGTCCGTCTTGTACAGACTTGGTTTCATCGGATTCGTTTTGGTAATTTTGATGTTAAAGTTGCTGCACGGTAATATTTTAATAAAATAATGTCGAGTCTGACAATCATGTCGATTTCCCAGGAGCTAGTCATTGAAAAATAAAACAGCTTGTAAAGGGCTGCATAAAGAAAGAAGCGCGCTCAGTATGAACGAACGAGCTCCAAGGCAGGATTGCGGACGTGGAGAGCAGTTGGTCGTTGCGAATTGAATTCAACAAGTTGTTACCTGCGACTTTGTCACCATAGTAAGTAGTAATAAGATTTTAATATTTTTTAAAACCATTTATGTATTTTTGTATCGCTATATTTATTCCTAAATAATATTCAATTATCTGCAGCTTTCTCTCAAGTATACTCCTATTACTTCGAAACAAGTTGTAAGAGACATTTTATATATGCATTGGTATATCCAGCCAACGAAAATCTTATTTTGTTCTTCAGTCAAATTCGAATCGCACAAACAAAATAATCAAAATAATACACCCGACTTATTAATACCACTCAATTGGATTATTTTATATAAAATTATATATTATTATTTATTTATTTTAAAATGTTCTCTTGGCACTGACTAAAATAACTGAAGTAAGCACTTAAACGTGTTATATTCTAACCTACGTTTTCTGCTTTTATTTGAAGAGGAAAAGTATTTTGCATTGCTAGTTTTATGATAAAAGAAAACTCATTGGTTTTGTGTTCCTCAAAATTATTTCGCTCAGTGTACTCTTCTACGCTTTTGCTAATAGTTGTACGTATACTTCTTGAAAGTGCTGTAGATGAATTGTAATTCAAGCCAAACCCTTAGGATATAGTCTGACATATAGTGTTTGTGATGGAAAGTAAATGATTAGTAAGATGTATATGATAACAGCTAGAACGAATATCTAAACATACTTATATTTATTTCAAACCGCTATAAAAGATTTGCGAGATTACAGTTAGATTTAGTTTCAAGTCGAGTCTTCACAAGAAACTTAACGCCAATATAAGATTTGATAATAAATATATTTTCCAAAATGTATAAAAACTGGAGCATTTTAATTTTAGCTGCTTGCTTGACACTGCAGGTGAGTATTTATATATAATAAATTTTTGAAACTTTCATACTATATTTAATTTATTGACACAAAAGCTCGTGGCATCATTTCCAAAAAAGGATGCCTTGGAAATCCTTGATAATCAACCAGAGAAGAGTCCCGGGATTGAAATTTACCAACAACAACGTCGTCAGTCCAGACAACCAGATGATTTTGATGATCTTAGGGGTATAGTGAAACAAGAACGTGAATTATTAAAGGATATAATCCGAAATATTAATACGAAGAACTCACAAAATAGACAGATTCAAGCAGTCGGTAGTGATGCGGTCGTTGATGATATAGTGAGGTTTATTCGATTAGAATTTCAGTTTTTGTCGAGCTTGATAAACAAGCTTGCGTAAGAAAATCGTCGATGAAAACTGCTTTGTAAAACAAAAATTGTATAACTTTTGAGCTCAAATGAAGTTAATATAATATAATGGTTTTAATTCATATACGATTAGTTTTTGACATATTGAGATTCATATATTTATTTATTTTTAATAATAATAACAAAGCATTAGTACAATAAGATTTCCATATCTTTTTTAGTACAACAGAGATAGTGTGAAGAATAAGTAAATATTACTTTACAGATACCTTAACAAAAATAATAATAAAAATAAAAATAATTATAATATATAATGAGTTGAGTATGACAAAAACTTAAACAATTATTGAATGGTCAGTCTATGTTTGAAATTTGGCCTTTAAAATGCATATATATGTGGTTCTTGAAATTGCTTCTGTTTAATTTCCTCCTTAAATTAGCAGGAAGAGAGTTCCATAATCGACTAGCATTGACAAAGAACAGCCTTGATGATTGCTGTGATCTATGAAAAGGTATTATTATATTACCTACTCTGGCTGACCGAGTAAACGATAACTTGGAAAAAAGATAACTAGGTGATTGAGTCATGATGAGCTTGCAAAGAAAAATACAATTTCTGGCTTTATGATAGTCCGCAATCGTACATCCTAATATCTGATCTTTCCAAGACGAAATGTGCTCATATTTGGAAAGACCAAACACGTACCGTGTGACATTATTAAACATAACGTCAATTTTACGAGCAGAAAAACTGTCATGTTTGCTGTATACGACTTCAGAGTACATGATGACCGGAAGAATAATTTGTATAGCAAGTCGGCGTCTGGTAGCAGTGGGTGTATAGATAGCTGACTGCCTAAGATTCCTCAGAATGAGATAGACCTTACTAACTATGGAGTTTACATGATCCGTGCATGTAAGATTAGAGTTAATAATGTATCCTAAGTTTTTGATCTTGCTGACTAATTTTAAGGGATAATTGTCTATGAATATTGGGGGCAAAAAATCCAGATTTGTCAGTTTTCTAGCACTGATTGGCAGCACAAAGCACTTGTTTTTATTTAAAATTAGACCGCTGGCAGCCGCCCAGCAAGAGATATCAGCCAAGTCAGTATTAATGCTTTTACATAACTCTTTAGCTTGATCAAAAGGTGCAGATAAATATAACTGAATGTCATCAGCATAACCATGCAGGTTTGAAAATTTGCACACACTGAAGATGTCATTAATAAATATGCTGAAAAGCAGAGGACCAAGAATGGAGCCTTGAGGCACCCCTGAAGTAACTGGCTTGAGTTGCGATGTGTCCTCCCCAATTTTTACAAATTGAAACCTGTCAACAAGGTAGCTTTTCACAAGTTTTAAAGCACTACAACTAAAACCAAAGTACGCTTTCAACTTACAGCTTAATAACTCATGGTTGACCATATCAAATGCTTTTGAAAAGTTAAGTAGGCAAAGCAAGGTGAATTTATTTTCATCCATGTTGGATCGAATATCATCACTGATCTTTAGTACCGCAGTACTACAGCTGTGATTTTTCCTGAAGCCTGATTGAAACGGAGATATTAAGTTATGCTTGCTTACAAATTCGTTTATTTGCTTAGCTAAAAGCATCTCAAAAACTTTAGACAATACAGGGAGGACGCTTATTGGTCGAAAATCAGACGGACTACAAGGACGGTTCTTTTTAGCGACAGGTAGTACAGTGCCAATTTTCCATTGCTCTGGGAAACAAGACGTGGTAATACAATGATTAATAATGTGCGTTAGTGTCCCAAGAATGCAAGGTAGTATAATTTTAATAAATTTAATTGGTAAACCATCATGCCCTATTGCATTGGATGAGATTTTAAATATACTCATTGCAACATCATATTCACTAACAGCTGAAAATAGAAAACAGTCATCCCTAAACAAGAGATCATCCCTGGACATAAAGTTAATAGTGTCACTGTGTGGTACACAGTTTAGAAGAAAAGCATCATTAACCACATTTGCTTCTAAGGAACATTCGACATTCTCCTTACAATGAACACCAAGTCGTTTAATGTTACGCCATAGAACCTTTGTAGAGAGGCCAGAATTTAGTTTCTTGTTAAAATAAGCTCGTTTTTCATTTCTGATAACAAGCGTCGCTCTGTTTCGAGCCGATTTAAAGGCATTCCAATTTTCCAACGTGGGTTTCTTTTTCCATATGGAATGAAGTTTATTTCGTAACTTAATTGATTTCAGAGATTTTGAGGTAAACCATGGACAGGACATAGACTTATTAGTGATTGTACGAATGGGGACATGTCTCTCGAAGGCTGACTTTAAAATTCCCATTAAGAAATCAAGTTTTTCATCGGTAGATGGATATATCCAGCATTCACTCCAGTCTACACAATACAATTCCGAAAGAAGTAAATTTGTGTTGACAAAGCGGTAATCTCTAAAAGAGATAGTCTTATTTATGCAACAACGATCGATATTTATGTCCAAACAGCAGAAAATGAGATCATGGTCAGATATAAAAGTTAATTGGTCAAATTTTAATACAGTAGTTAAGTCAAGAATTATGAAGTAGTCAAGAAGACTAGGAGTGCAATTCACTGCAAACCGCGTAGGAAGAGATCGGTTGACCACAGAGAGAGAGCAACTGGATAGATTGTCAAGTAAATTATTTGTATCAGAGTCGTTGACAAGAAGATTAACATTAAAATCACCACATACTATAACTGAATTGTACTTAACAACATATAAAGAAATTACATCAAAAAAAGGTTTGACAACATTAGTTCGGTGAGGATATATCTACAAGGATGTTTTCATAAGGTAACTTCGGTACCTGTATAAGACTTATAACATAATAATGGCTGTCGACTTAGGTCAATTAATTTCAAAATAGTTTTTCAGCTTTTGATCACGCACTCCTTCTCATTCGTGCACATATGTATGTAGGTATGTGTACGATATTTTATATTATTACAGGCATTTCTATTGCTAAAGCAGAAGATTTTTATCGGAAATTTAAGCACTTTAAATGGATCTATCAAATTATTATTTCCGTATCTTCGGTAAAGTTATTAGAGCTAGTTATAGTTATCGCTATAATTACATCGTTCTTCAAAGCAGTCAGAAGAGTTTAGTGATCTTAAATATTCCTTTGATTAAGTGAGAGCTGTGGATTCTCGATTACGAGTTTTACTCAGGGATGCTATGCAACCGGAAGCATAACACTGGTGCTTTGTTTTCGATGCAAACTGAACATTAACATGGGATTTACGTTTTGGGTAAAAGCGAAATAAAATTTATTTTGATAACTGCTTTAACAATTACAGTTTCAAATATTTCAACTGAAACGATTGAAATTTTCTGAATAGCTGATGGATTAACCCACAGCGTAAATCACTTATCTTTAAAATCTGAATCTTGAATGGTATATTTTGCGTACGACGGAGGCGCAGGCTGACAAAGAATATTTTGCGGATTTAATTTTTCACTGATCTTTTTGAAATTATGTAATGTATTTTCAAATAGTTCTATCTACAGGAATGCTTTTGAGGGGTCGTCCTCGAATCGATCTAGCATAGCACTGTGTTGTACACACATATTATTAGTTACTCAATTCATTACCATTTAATTAATAGTTATCGAAAACAGACAACTATAAAATATGGTTTCCATACACCGAATTCTTCAAAAGTTTTCACCGAATATCATCAAAATCAGAAGACGATAACATATAACCCCCGTGCAACCGTGTTTCTTCAGATAGGAAAAATAATATTTAATGCTCTTATGAAATATCATGCATTTATTTTGATTTCGATAGGTGTAAAACCAGTAAAAACAGCTCTTCTTTCTTGTTTTAACAAGTTTTCTTCTTATTTCAAATTATTCATAATTTTTCTCTGAACTTGTAAACAGTATAAACATTTTTGTGGAAAATAAATCATTTTAGTAAGATTTTTTATTTTAGAAAATACAGAAGTTACAGTTCAAAGTTCTATGGTCATCACGGACAGGAAATTAAGCTGGCCACAGAACTCGCAGGATAATAAATAGATATTTGGCTTTAATAACTTGCAGTTGTTAAGCCTTTACTACTCTATCGAGTTATAATTGGGGACCAGCACTGGAGAAACAATCAACCAACTAATGTACAAGTTCGATATAATACATAGGACAACGGACTCTTTTATTAGCGAAGCACTTCGTACTACAGCAACTGAGGTTATAAATGCCTTCTTAGATCAACTCTCCATTGAAATAATGAGGTTACATAATGCTACTTACGCCACGATAAGACTGCGAAAGGTGTCTGAATGGATAATAATGGAATAGCCACGGGCATACTAGCAGGTTAAGAAAATTCCTTCTACGAGACAAAAATGAATTACTGCACATCATTCAATGACTTCACGACAGATTTCACGGTATTTATCTCCGATAAAACCAATGAGGCAGGATAACACCAGCAAGCATCGATTTGATTAATTTTTATACGTTTGGGTCAAAACTAGATAACAGGCTCGTAGGTAGAGTTTACTCTAGCATTGGTTTGCAAATCCTTTCGTTTATCGGATCACTGTAATGTTTTTCGGCGGAATTCGTCGCTATACATGAGTCTGTCGATTCTCTTAACTCAATGGAGCATTCAAAACATGGTTTTCATATTTTATCAGATAGCCAGGAAACATTAAGAGTCCTGGAATATGTAACAAGAAAACTGCTGCAGATCACTTAACGTGGTATGGGACACAGTAACACTATCGCCATCATGGAAGAGTTTGGGCATGAAGCCGCTTGTAACCCCTTGTAACGCCTTGTAACCTTAATATATGAGAGTTATTCATTAGAGATGCTAACTCAAGATGGAGAAGTATCAATGCGTGTAATGTGACCAGGGCCATATGGCCAGAAATGGACAGAAAAAGATCACGTGACCTCGATCGAGCTAAAACTACAAGGCATATTTTATTGGGCAGGCACGCAGTGAGGTTTGGTGTAGCATCTAATGACTTCTGCAAACGTTACTGTGTGACGTGAGCCCTAAGTGAGCTAATGCGCTACAGCCACGTCAATCAACCAACCCACGTACGCTACTTTTTTACCATAAACATACACACATTCCTCGGTATCCCATTGGCTAAGCGTTAAACAGAATGAAGTACTCCATAAAACTCAGAAATCTAAATATTTCTAAGAGAGCGTGCTTTAAGGTTAGGCTTAAGCAGATTCTGTCAATATGTGAGTTACCTTAAAAATGATTGTTAAATTATATAGAGACACTTTTTTAGAAAATATCAGTATATACATACAAATTATTACATACATATGTATTTAAATAAAAATCGAATTCAATAGAGCATCTCTACAACGATAACCATAATTCACTCTATCCATAACTTTCTTATTTTCCATATATGTTTCAAAGACATACACTAAATCCTCCTCCATTGCACGACCGGCTGGTGAGAGTGATTTCAAATAATTATCAAATTCATCTGCATACTGATTACCGTTTTCATTGAGTAACTTATTTTCTTCAGCTTCAAACTCACGCATACCGTGCCTTGTTAAGGCATCTTCCCAAATATCAACTTCTTTACCGCGATTATCCCTCTTCTGTGTGTGTCGATTGGCAAAGGTGAAGAATTGTCTTAAAACAAGTTGTATGCATTTATCAGAGGTTTGTTTTAAAATGCCCGCTGTTCCGTTGATAAATAACTCCAGCAACCTTTTTTCATTTTGTGCTTCAACTGTGTCCGTACCAACCACCGCTGGATCGGTTAATATGTCCTTGGCAATTTTATAAGTACCTTTGAGTAGGTAAACATAATGCCCTGTGCTGCCATCAATTATCATATCGATAAGTCTCTTTCGTTCGCTCAATATGTGATTTTTTTCTGCTAAAGTCACATCCTTCACTATTTCGGCAGCTTTTTCCACCATAAGCTCATTTTGCTCTATACTTTTGTCCAGTGTCTCATTTGGGGTTTGTGGCTTGAGCATACAGAACGCAAGCTATAGAGTAAATATCTTTAGTTTTTTATTGCAAATAATTTCAATTTATTGATTCACACTAACCTGCAAAAATATCACACAAACTAAAAATACGACCTTCTTGGTCATTTTGTAGATTTCTTTAGCTTGGAAAAACGTTTCACCTTGCACTTGAAAGACGCACTAAGCTCTGGCATTGAATATTTCAACGCATTTATACTTTTAGTTCCGCTGCACTAGGAAGACACATTTACAAATACTTACATGTCTTTTAATTAATGCAAAGCTGTATGTACAGATGTAATTATGAATAATTTCTAAATTTATGCAGTCGCTTTAATTAATTGAGAATGCTAAATTTTCTCCCGAAAAGACAAATTAAATTGATTCGTGGAGGTCAAAGGCAGAGCTGTGGAAATGAGAAGGAGGGAACTGACAGCCGAAGCTCTTGATTTTCTTTATAACAAAATTTCTTAAATTAATAACTCAACGTTTTAAGTCAGGTGCTTTCAGACATCAGCGTTCTGTAAAAATTTCGCTCCATATACCAGTGAAGGGAGATCTCAGCGCCTCAGCCGAAAATTATTTGAGAAAAAACACTTTAATTCAATTAAGGTATGATTAAATCCAGGCCACACAAGATTCTCTAATATTATTTTTATTTATAAAGTTTTGGTTCGCATTTCAAATGGCAGTGTACACAGATTCGAGATTTGGAAAAAAGCGTTGAAAGTTTTGGTAAAGGTTTATTCAATAAAGGGGAGTTAATTTGAATAGCCTGCTACTCGGTTAGATGTCACTTTTGAAGCTGCAATAGTTTGTCATTTTACAAGAAAAAACTTAACCATTATTAGAAACAACAATGCATTTAAATTATTAAAATTCTATAAAAATAGTGAAAATCTCGCGAACACATTTCGTAAAACTAAAACATTTTTCGGTCGTTGTGAAGCACTTTGCCTGACTGCTATACAGAAATCAGTGAATGAATTGGAGCTGTTAGGAAAATAACTGTTGTGAAGAATAAAACGCCAAGACCAACTGAGAAAATTGCTGTTGTAGCCTTATTTGTTGAAGAAAACCCTTTCCTCATCGTTCTTGAGAATTACACCATATTTTTCATAAGGATTTAGATATTAAGAAACTGTGGTGAATGAATTGCGCTATCTAGAGATGATTATGACCGCAATTGGGTGGGATTGATTTGGACAACTTTTACTTTCAACGAGATAACGCTTGGGGCTACACGAGTTCATCGATATTTTAAGGAAAAAGTTTTCAAGTTTCATCTCTCGAAGGTGTGTTCGCAATTGGCCAACAAGCTTTTGTGATTGAACTATTGGGAACTTCTTCTTTTGGACCGTCCACGTCGATTTAAGAACTCAAAGATGGAATTCGGGAAGCTTTTGAGGGCATGCAGCAATCACTTTGAGATTCGGTGGCGGAAATTTTCATATAAAGGTTATGGTTCTGCAAACGCAGACTCATTTAGTTCATAACATTGAGATGTACATTCGTTCATTTGGTTGGCTGATAATTGTAGATTAAGCAAGATTTTCAGAGCTGTTAAAAGAATTGTATATGGCTCTAATAAAAACAAAGAAATAAAAGAGTAAGCTTTTTAAAGTAGAAGATTAAAAAAACAGATATTGCAGCTATTTTTTTGAAAACGGTATTTCTAAAATGGCCAGTTTTGGCCTTGAGTAGAAAATCTTTCTTGTCGCCCGCCATCGTTTTGGCAAATATATCGGCCGATATGGCACCGATTTCGCGTCGTACGTTGGATTGGTTATCTTATCTAACGGCCCAACAAAAAAATTCTGGTGCCGTCAAATTGGCTGATTTCAGAGGCCAGTCATATGATTCATCCGGGGAACCATCCATGCTCGTCACAAATCGATTATTTACCAAGCTGGACGGCATGTTGAATCGTCCTGCTGAAACCAGAAGCCATTCAAACGAATTTCACGTACAATGGGCATCACAAAATCCGTTATTGTGGCTCGATAGCACAATTGAAAAGTTATTATGTACAGCTAAACTTTAGCGCGTTTGCCCTATGCTTCCACTTTGAATGCCCTACTCTGCATATAAAATGAACTTTTTCTTTTTCATTCTTCTCATTTAGATTTAGATTTATGAAGTCTATTTTGTTTAACGAATTCTAGTACTATAAACCAAACCGATCTTCCGTTTTTCTTAAACTGGAATAACGATTTTAAAATTTAGGTTTTCTAAATTTTCAATTAAGTTGATTTATTTATATACATACTCGTATATATGTATACAGTTAAATGAAATAAATAACTATAAAATTTTAAACTTCCTATGCATAGGCATGAGATTTGCCGCCCTTTACATTTGACGCCCTTCACATTTGACGCCCTTCACATTTGACGCAAAGTACGTCTGCGTATTACGTCCCCCCATAGGTCCGACACTGGATGTGCACAATAAATGAGACTACTAAAAACAATTTTATTTCTTTGATGAAACTCATTCGTTGTTACGTTTTGCACTATTAATGAAATCATTGAAAAGATGTTTTACTTGCTTCAGTATCGATAATAATTATTTCTTTATGGGAAAATGCATGGGGAACCAAAGCCAAACGAAGCGAATTTGGTGCAACGATTGAAGAGAAAAGAGATAATAATTAATTACATATATTAAGTCATTAACGGTTTATACAGTTTCTGTGCTCTGAAAAAATGCACATTCATAAATATTTATAAAAGTTAAATATTTCATAAAAAAGTTAGAAATAAATTAAATTTAAATATTAAGGACAGTCTAAAAAAATTTTTTTCCCTCAAAATAAATCATTTCTTGGCCAAAGCGGTGTCCTAATGAAATCTGTGTTGACACACTCACCGGGCTTCAGCCATAAAACTCTCTTTTGTGGACAAATTCCATTAAAAAAGATTTGAGGCCTATCGTTGTTGAAAACGAAAAGTCTTCAGTGCGCAACAATCAACATACTTTTTTTTTTTTTTTTGAGTAGAAAATGTTTGAGAAAAGTTGACTTTGACACCCTTTAGAGTTCCTTATTTAGTTATTGGAAAATTAGTTAGATATTGCTTGCTTTATTTTTCGAATAAAAAATTTAGCGAGATAATCGCTAAGACACCAAAAGTAGTTCTACGGAGTCAAATCGCTGATGAGTGGGGATCAGTTGGCATCGTCGTTTCGGCTAATTAAGGGATTTTCGAATGTTGTGCACAAAATATGGATTTAATCGAAATAAAAGCTCCTCATTGAAAACCATCAGCCAACCATCGTAGGCGTTTGTAATTCCCTCCATTTGTTAAAATAAATATCAAGGCACATGCCACAAATTTCAGAAGAAGCTCGTCAAACTCCTTTGAAAAGAATTGAATTACTATAAATAAATTGCTTCTGCGGTATCGAGATGATTTTAATGGCCGTTCCAGCACAATTTGAGGTCCAGCAGCAAGATTTTCTTCTAGTCGAGTGCGAGCACGAGTTGTTTTGTCCGATAATGAGCCGATTTTTTCGAACTCGCTGTACAAATTGATCCTTTAGTATTCACACTTTCCTGGAAGATTTTCAGATGTTAGAAAACGTAGCTATATCAATAATATAAGGGGAAATTTATTATTTTATATTAGTTAAAGCTTAATTGGGACTTTTCATTGTTCTTTATCACCTCATTTACAATACCAATTATGAAACGAAATTTAAATTGAACAAAATACAGAAAACTGTAACGTGTGGTCTTCTAGTCATAAATAAAGGACACTGCATTATTGACCTTTTAGTAAACTTTCGTCTCGTTTGGTTTGGCTGTTTTATTTTGGCATTCACATTAGACTTAATTCTTTATTTAAGTTAAATTTCTGTAATTATCAGGTGTTGGTCGGGCCAGAACTCGAATCCTGACCTTCTGAATGGTAGTACAGAATGCTAACCACTCGGTTATCGCGGCCACCAATTTAATACAAACCAAAAACTTTAATTATTTAATCTCTCGCCTTCAAGCAAAATTTTCTCATGAATTCAACCATTAGCAAAATCTCAACGACAGGAGATGATCTTAACTAAACTGATTAGAAGTTTAGGAAACAAGTTATTTGAAATAAATAAATTTTTAAACTATAAATGAAAACAAAGTACTGAAAACAAAAATTTTGTTCTCAATAAATACGAACATTGGACTACCAGATCCCTGCAGCGTCTTTCAAGCAGAAATATCTGCAATCAGGGCATCAATTACGAGATATTCCGACAGTCCAGCTGCCAGCAGATCTCTACAATGTACCCGTACCACATCAAAGGTGATTAAAAAACGTAGAAGCCATCTGAACAAATTCTCGTCTAAATGCAACACTGCCATGTCTCTTCTATTCACTATAATAACAGGCCAATGCTCAATGGAGCTTGTCGGGAAATAATGTGCTACCACCCTAATCATTTTAGCCGCACCTGTAGGGACGATGAAGAGGAGCAATGTATTGAACACTACCTCTGAGCGACACAAGTTCCTCGGGAAGCACTTCTTTAACTGTCTCGCTGAGCTAGCCTCATTGATAATTGGGAATCTTGTTGCCTTTACAAGGCACACGAAATGGTTTTGGTTTGAGAAGGGGAAGAAAGGTACCTCACAGCGCTATCACAATGAGCCTATTGGCTTTAGTGTGCAGGTAATGACCAGCGGCTGCTACTCATATCATTAAGTCATCTTGCGGTAATCAGTTTATCATATTAATTAAATTAACACATATCATTTACGAAAGTGGTTTAGTTTAGATAATTAATTTTAATATAAATATTTATCAAGTAAAAAATATTTGTTACATTTTTCAATCAAAAAAGAAAAAAATTCAAATTTTTAAAAATGTTTAGGCTTTTGTCTCATATTGAAAAAATATAGTAAACAATCTTTGACCAAATTCAATTTTATCCATGCCAACTTCCTTCTTATTGTATCGATTCCATACTGCTACCAATTCCTGTTCCTTCTCCCTTTCAGCCGGCGTAAGTGTTTTGATATAATTGTCAAATCCGTCAACAATAGAGTAGACAAATTCATTCGTACGCAACTCCAGTTCTCTATTGTACTCTAAAATGCCGTGCTTTTTCATAGCCTCCCACGAAACTTTTTGTTCCAGTGTCAGCTTCTCCGTCGTAGAAGCGCGTGTTCGATTAAATCTATTGAAATTTTCAAGTACAAAATCTTTGCCAAGGGCAAAGAAGAAACGATTTTGTTGATCATTTTTGTCGGCGGGTAGAGCAATGGTTAGTGCTTCCTTTGATTCTTTTACATATTTTTTAAGTACATTTTTTTCCTCCTCCATCGCTGGACTATTAATACTATTCATAAGTGGATCGGCCAGCACATCTTTGGCTATTTTATGAGATCTTTCCAGCCGGTAATTTAAAAAATTTAAATAGTCTTTATAAACAAGTGCCTCGATTCTCTTGCGACTTTCTGGCACACGGTTTTCCCGTGAATTGTCTTCGTCAGATTCCTCTGCAGAACTACGATTTGGCATACACGTGGAAAACTGTGTTCGGAAGAGATATTCATTAAAACGTTTAATGTTGAAAAATATTTAATTTGATCACAAGACAAACCTGTATCAGCAAAAGTAAGGCAAAAGGTAGTAGTGAAAGTTTCTTCAACATTTTGTTGGCGTTTCTTGGTAAAATCTTTCTGGTTATTAAATAAGTGCACTCTTTAATGTTTCGTTATAGACTAAACGCTTCGCGAGTACTCACAATGAATTTATATACAAAGTTATGAGCCAACTTGGCAAACAAGCAAAACAAAATCAAAATACGAGTATATGGTGTAAACAGAAAATAATAAACAAAACCCAATATATATGTGCATATGTACACATACATTCTGCATTTAGAAACATATACATTGGGTTCAAGTTTTATTTTTGATACACAACAGCTTGCACTGGTATATTTTCTTATCACTTATTTTCACAGACTTAATAGCAATTAAAATTTCTATTAAATATAATATATAGAAATAAATGAGGCAATGAGAGGCAAATCAATGTATTTGTTATAAATTTAAGTTGCAAACAAATTCAAAATAATAACAAAAACATTCCAAAACACCGTAACTGTTGGCGATGGCCGGCCATAAAGATGTAATCACGATTTTAAAAAAATTAAAAAATATTCTGACTAATTAATAACTTTTTTTTTTCAATATTATCGTATGCATTAATTAATCTCTTTTTTCTTTTGAATACGTAAATGAAAACAAAATACATATTTTTTTAATTAAATTATATAAATATAAATTTATGTATTGTATAAATCGTGTATTAGATTATTTTTTTATGTACCTACATATGTGTCATTAAAACCCACTAAAATAATTAATTAATTGAAATTATTTGCAGCATACTTTTAGGCATTCGCTACGAGTTAATGAGTGAATAATTACATTGACCGACAAATCAAAATATTTTAACGTTGGTTTTATTCGAATGTAAGCTGTACCATATTGTGAGTGTTCCAAACAAAAATGCACACACATTTTCAGCATCATTACTGATTTTTTTAACAAAATGATTAATAATTATTTAAATTTTAAATAAATATAAATAATGGTTGTGTTCATTGTGTTATTGTAGTATCGTCCCACCCTCTTGGTATGCAAATCATAAGTGATTTACTCCGAAATGCCCTAACCATAGTAGGATACTGGTACAGGGCATGTGGGCTAAATGTCAATCATGTTTCTTTTCACCACCCAAGCTAAAAGGCCTGGAAGTCACTCTCTCTCTCTCTCTTGCGAAGTCAATTACCACCGGATAATCTTAGGTGGGTAGACGAAAGCCAATGCAGTGATGGCACGCATGAAAATCAGCTTTTTGCAAAAGATCAGGCTTAAAGCCGTTTATTGTTAAGTGATTTATGTAGCAGTAGTCAGACCTATTCTATTCAAGGAATCATTGTCTGGTGGCAAGCTCTCAAAAAAATCACTTTCAGAAACAAACTGTAGGGAGTTCAGTGGTCAGTAGCTATTCCCATTGCTGGGGCTTTACCGTCGACGCCATCAAAAGCCCTGGAAACTCTTCTTAATTTTCTTCCCCGGAATTTGTACGACCAACTTCAAGCGAGCTCCTATGCTATTAGATTGGGAGTGACTCAGGTATCTCACCAATTATAATTTGTGGCTACTAGATCATTGCAGCGTCTTCCAAGAAGAAATTAATAAAATAACAGAAGCCACAGAAGGCACGGAATGTATGCTGGGATCTTTGCTTACAAACCAATCAATCAGTATATACTCGAATAGCCAATCTGCCATCAGATCTATCAAGTATAAATATATCACAACAACGGTGGCTATATACATTGCAGCCATGGAATTTGCCTGGTCAACTGTATGGCGGATGAGCTAGCGAGGGAAGGTACAACTCTAATTAGAATAAATTCTATGCACGCCACTGCATTCTATACGACAAAACTCAGGCTAAAGCTGGCTTTTACCAAAAAACAAACAACACCAGATGGTTAAGCGGAAATATCTGTAACGTGACTATGCAGCTTTGGAATGTGCTGGACGCTTAAAAATCAGTCCATCTAATCCGCCTATACCGGTTTATCATTACTTTAAAAACGGGCATACTAACTGAACACTGTTTAATGGAACTTCATCGCGGGAGAATGGGATACTTTTCTATTCTTTTTCGTCGTAACTACTGGGATGAAGAAGGGTAAGAGTCTGTAAAGCCCTACCTAAGCATCGCTTCTTCGATTGCCTGGCTGACGTAGTAACGGCAGGTAAAAGCAGTATCGCATCTTTCCTAAAGCACACGAAATGGTTCTTACATCTGAAAAGTAATCAACAGCGGTATCACAACGAGTCTTCAGACCTATGGGCGATGGTCGCTCTGATCAGCAACTGCAACCATTCAATTACGGACGTCGGAGTTCGCCCAGGAAGTAAAACTTTCGTTCTATAAATTATAAGTTTGCTTAGCTATTACGTCAATATGTCAATTCCCAGATATTGTTGACCTTGTATTTTTCTTTACCTGTAAGTAAGTTAAGGTAAATTGAAATTGAAACTCATATTCTGTAGTGGCAAGGAGCCCATATTTCTTTTTTATTTTGGAGATATGTACAATTAATTGAATTACCGAATTTTCTAAATAATCGACTCTCTATCCTAGTTAATATCACACCGTCCTTAGGACACAGCAACGTTCTCAGTCGTGGAAAATAAATGTTCATTTTTGTAAAATTTTCTTGGTAAATAGATCTTGCAATCGGCAATGCTGGAAGGGCAAAAGACAGCATAGAAAGGAGCTGTCCCGCAATATTTGAATTTGGTATACCGGTAAGGCTTAAATGAGTGAACTCATTCTCGACAATTTCAGAAGCGTAGTCAGAATTTTAAAGGACCTTTCCATTCCGTTTAATACTAAAGGAGGTTTCAGTCAGGGTGACTCTTTATCATATGATTTCAACTTCAACTTGATGCTAGAGAATATTAAAGGAGCAGCAGCAGCTAAATAGACAAGGCACAATCTTTTACAAGAGTGTACAAATGATGTCGTATGATATTCGTAATAAAGAGCTTAACCACTGGGCCGATAGCTCTGTCTTTTCCAAACTTGACAAAAAAGCGAAGCGAATGAGTCTAGTAGTGAGCGAGGGCAAGACGGAACATCTCTTACGTCAGCCTTGAAGTCCAACGCAGAATCACTCTTGCCAACAGGTTCCCGTCTTCCGAAGAACTAAACCCGTTACTCATCATTTCCGTCTTACTATGTATATAGTGCAGAAACGTGTACGATGTGAACATCCGATAAACTAGCATGATTTAGTGTTTTTGATGGATAGTAAATAGCCCTTTGCGGATTAGAGCTACGACAAACACCGCAGATGATGGCAGAATGCGGAAGGTAATCGATGCAGTGGAAGGATCAGGGGGAGAGTGACCTGGCTTCACTTGGTATTTCTAATTGGCGCCAAACAGTGAAAGGAAGAAATGAATGGCGCGCTAATATTAATGCGGTTATATTCACTTTAGCGGTACCCATGCACAACGTTAAAAAAGAAGAGGAAAATAGGCAAAGTATATTTCGAAGTCCGATGCTACATAAAATTAAAGAAAAAAACCAAAACTCTTACCATAAGAGCAGAAAATAGGTTTGGTTTAGTACGAAAAAAGTAGCGAGAACTTCAATAATTTGCTATTCCTTAATCAACTGTTGTCGTAAACTACCAAGCTACAATAGATCGGGAAATTTTCTAACTAACTGACACACCTAAATTGGAGCGCTCGGCGTAGCGTTTTCTAACGCCAATGAGTGGCATCGCGCGCTATCCCAAAATAGGAGCGCTGAGGTTTTGACGTTTTCTCATTCTCTTTAAGTTTGTAACATGTTATTAGTATTTATTGAAATTAACGCAATGAATTCTCTTGATTTTCTAGATGTTTTTGGAACTGGTTTCCCTAAACTCCAGGCAAGGTAATCGAGATATATTCTGATCCACAGGATTAAAAATTCTAATAGAAACAAATTCAGAATTATTCTTTAAGAACACCCGCACGACATGTGACAGAAAATTTTCGAAAAACTGACCAATTGAGCCTCTTCATTACCTTAGAGAAAATCCATCCTCTTTGAAATTTGGGTTTTGAATTTACTTGTCAAAAATGAAAATTACATTTGCTCAACGTTGATGTTGCTTTATTGTGGAATGTCCCACACAAATTGTATGGCCATGAAGAATTTTGACAGTTGTTTAGCGATCAACGCTCCAATTCAGGGATAACAGTAAGTTGTACGCTTTATCCCAAGATGAGGAGTTATTGTACCATTCTTCATTGAATAGAAGTTTTGTTCGAGAAGTGGAAGATCGTGACCACTTGAATGCGGCTGAGTTCCGGAAACTATATAGATTAACGAAAGCTTTAGTTGAAGACATCGTTTCTCAACTCAACAGCCAACAATAAAGGACGTAAGAATAACAGCCTTTATATACAGGGAAATAGGAAAACTTTAAGTATTTTTTTATTTTTAACACTACTGAAATGCTAAAATGTTCTATCCATCTTGCGACTCCTCGCAACTGTTAGTCGTTCTAAGCCGTTGTATTCATGGTGTCTCCATTTGTTGAAAGCACTATTGTAATCATGCGTCTATCATAAGCCCCAGAAATGTCGACCTCCAGGGATGGATACCATTCGATCAATGCGCAAATGGTAAGAAGATATTTTTTTTAAATGTTATTGTAGTATCAGAGCTCATTCTATTTAAAGAAAAATACATATGTGATCCTTATCTCAAAATTTGGGCGGTAAAGACTAATTTCTCAGGAGCTGAATCGTTAGTGTAAGCGACAATTTCGCAAGTTTTGTGATGCAACAAATCGCATCGATAAAAATTACTAAATTGCACTACAGGAGGCCTCTGGCAAGTTGTTGGAAATCTTTTGTGTATGAGGGGATTAACGAAAGTTCGATCAGTTGGTGGTTTTCGATTTTCTTTTGTAAAATCTAAATATAACAAATCCTTTGCAATTACTTTATTAGTCCACCTATCAATTTTTATAAGGATCGGTTGAAATGGAGACGAGAAAATTCAAGATAGCTGAGGATAGGTCGAACAAAATTCCACCAGAAACGCAAGCAGAAATTCGCCATGTGATTCTCTTCGAGCTTCGGCGTAATTTACAGCCACTATAAACATTCAGTGAGTGCCAAATGGAACGATCTTACAGTATTTAAAAGTTTTTTTCTAAGTGGCTTCGAAAATTCCAGATCGAACATTTTTCCGTAGAGGACGAGCCCCGAGAAGGTCAAAGAAAATATTTCACTGATGATGTCACTGTAGCTCTAGTAAAATCAAGAAATGAACTGGGCTTGAGTGTCATGGCTGTATCGAGCAAATTGAGTAATCATCTGGGATACACGAAGAAAGCTGCTCGATGGGTACCACGAATTTTAAATGAGAACCAAAAGGATTCTCGAGGGCATTTTGCTCAGTTTTTCCTAAACAAATTCGAAAATGGTCAATCTAGCAACTCTTGTAAAGTCGTTGCTGACGACTAGTCTTGGTTCTATAAGTACGATCCAGAAACCAAACAGCAGTCCATGGTATGGAGCCCAACCGGAGCAAACAAAAATCAGCAGCAAAAGTAATGATGTCAGTCTACTTCACCCGATCTAAAATCGTAGCTTCTCTTCCACTAGAAAAAGATCAGGCGGTAACTGCTTACCAAAAGCTAACAAAAATTTGTTGGAAAACAGGAAGAAAGAGGATTTGGGGCGATACTTTTTACATCATGACAACGCGCCATTCCACACTGCTGAAATAACGAGTAACTTTATTGCGATCTCTGGGATCGAAGATATATGTCCAACACCATATTCCCGGATATAGCACCTTGAGATTTCTGGGTTTTCCTAAAAATAAAAATAGATAAAAAATTAAAAGGAAAGCTCTTTAATAGCAACGAGGGGGTAATTCATGCGGTCGTTAAGCTTAAAAAGCAAGATTTTGAAAACAGTTTTCCCAAGAGCATCTATAACCTTAAGATTGGAATCAATGGCATGTATGTAGAGAAGCTAAAAAGGCCAATGATTACGAATAAATACAAGAGGAATTTTTTTTCTGATCGACTTACCGAACCTTCGTTAATCCCGGACTGAGAAAAACTGTTTTTTCCTAGTCTCTGTTACATCCCTCTGTCAAACCTAAAAGAATTACAAATTCAAAGCTCAAACGCTTTAAACAAAAGTCGAAAGTTCAATAAAGTCAGTTGAATTCAAAGAATAGTTGAAACGTACTTTTTAGTATAATGTATTGAGATGTTATGAATTTATTTACAAACAAAAAGTGTTATATTTTTTAGTCTACCAAAAAATATTTACTTTAAAGAGATAAGCTTATCTAAATGTATATGTAAGTGTTCATGGATTGAATGTATCGAAAAAGTTAGAGTAATATTCCGCTTTCTTTTCATCATCCTTTTCACTCGTAAAATTGTTATACCAATTGATTAGCTTCGTCTCCTCGGCCTTCTGCTCCTCCGTCAAGATGGACAAATAATGAGCGATAGCTCTTTCAAACTTCCCTGATACCACTTTCAATTCCTCCATTAAATCTTTCTCAAACTTATCTGAACCGTTATCGATGAATGCTTGTTGCACTGTTTTCGTTTGCTCCAATTCTGGTGGCATTTCGTTGGCATCTTGTAAGATGTCGGTAAGCGTAATCATCGATTCGAAAAGAGACAAAATGTCTGCTTCACCATTTGAACCCGACTTATCATCGTTAGCTTTGAGATATTCAGAAATGCGTGTTATGTTCGCTCTCAAACCGGCACACTTATCAGGCACCGCTTCTAATTGTGCGAGTGTTTTATTAAACAACGGGCGGCCATGCTCAGTGACGTATTTAGCCAAACCAACCAAGTCGGCGAGGGTGGTTGTCATCAGTACTTGACGTGGGCGAAATTTCAATTTTTCCGAGGTGTGATGTGTGCGTACATTCGCTGCCTTCTCCTGCACCACCACTTCGCCGGTGTCGCGTCGCATACGTGGTAATGCTTGCACCTGTGAGTTTGAGAAATGTATATAAATATAGAAATAGAAATATGTTTCATATTTTGTTTCACAAAAAAGTCTACACTTACTTGCAGCAGCAAAAATGTGCTAACTATTAAAATGATCAAAGTTTTTGCCATTTTTTTTTTAATTTTTTTCACGATGTTACTGTTTGCTTGTGAATCTCAAATTGTACTGTGTGAACTGCAGCTGCACTTTTCAATTTATATGTCCCGTAGAAATTAGAAAAATATATATAGAATATGTTTATATGCATGTTATATAGTAAATTTTGATATTTCTATAATTTTCTAATTAAATTCTCTGGCGATAACGGTGGCAGATGCTCAATCCTTATCTCTTCAAATTTTATAACACGTATGTGTATGAGCACAACCAATGATGCCGTTATTTTAAAAAATGCTGGAAGTATTTTTACTGTTTCCAAAGAAGAACATAAAGGAAGTAGAAATATATATGTACATACATATATTTTGGTAATCAAAATTCTGAAGGCCAGGAGTTTGAAGAAATTTAAGTTTTTTGATAAAAGAAAATCGTTTAAGCACTTAAAAGCTTGAATTTTGATGGCAACCCTTCCAAAATAACATGGATTATAGTTTAGTCAGTTTAATTTAATTTTGTACCACATTAAAAATATCACAATTCAGCTCTTCAAGGAAGTACGGCGGTCAAACTTTAATTTTAAAAAAGTGGTAACCCTAAAATAATAAGCTCGGAAAATTACCTACTAATATCGATATTTGTAGTATTTCATCAAATATTTTTAATAAAAATCCATTTGTAACAACCCTAAACGTATCAAATGGGAAATAATAAATAATACGAAACATATTCGAATGCGGATACGAACAACTAGCAAGTTGCAAAGTATTGTCAAACGAAACCACACCCGACTGTCCGATCACAGTGCGTGCCAATTGTCATGGAATAAATCTTCACAATACCTCATTTAAGCTCCTATCTAGCGTGCAGTGTAAGAGACTAAAATCCACCGTCATTGAACCGATCGAACCATATTAGTGTGGCTTTAAGCCGGCACAATCCAACAAAAATCAAATATTTACCAAGCGCCAAACTTTAGAAAATAACTGTGAGTATTAATAATTGAAATAATTGATCACTTCGCCGTTTTTAAAGCGTCCTTCCCTACCACAAAAAAGCGCTGCCTCTTCGCCACTTAACAAACGCATAATCAGTTTCGCTCTCTTCAAGCTGGAAAAAGAACCGAAGCAAATGAACATGATTGTATGCAATTATATTATAAAACTAGCACCAATAATAGCGTTAGTCTCGACAGGTGGTAATTCGAGCTATGTAGGTAATTGAAAAGTGAAGTCTTCTCTCGACAAATGAAGACCAAATTTTACAAGTCCCTCACAATTGCTGCTCTACTGAAATTTGCAGAGCTTTAAAGAGTGTAAGCAACCAATGAGTCGACATTATGAGTTTCCGAAAGAAAGGTTTTACTGAAATGTGCAGAGCTTGAGAGGGTGATAACAGCCAATGATTCCACTTTCTCAGATTTCGAAAGAAAGGTTTTAAAAAAGGCTCATTAACCTTCGGACATTGACGGCAGCAAGTAATATGAATGATGTAACGATGAGCTGTACGCGATATTGTCTACCGAATAAGAGCAGAACGTGAACAAAAATACTCAAGCTTTGAAAATATTCGCTTTGGTACCCAATGGTAAAAACACTCTGTTCGAAGGATGATAAAGATCTGGCTTCACTTACTGTTTAATATTGGCGCCAATCTTCGAACAGATGAAAAGATTGTAATAACCAATATACCAAGCTTGAATTTGAGTTACTTTATTGCGGCCACAAAAGCCTAGTGATTAGCATTGCGTATTAAAATTCGGAAGGGCAGGTGTCGAGTGCTGATTAGACCAAAATCCAAAATTCAAAAAATAATAATATTTGTAATTGCGGTCGCCCCTCCGCAGGGAACATAAAGTCCTCCGAGCGTATTTCTGACATGAAAACCAAAGCTCCTCATAAAAATCTATAGACCGTTCGTAGGTGGCTTAGAATAAACTTTAGACCCCCCTCTTTTTGTTGCAAAAACATCAAGACGCGCACCACAAATATTAGGAGGAGCTCGGCCGAAAATCGCTTCAGCGGCAAAGGTGTGTATGGAAATTTTCCGATCCCATCTGTTGTATGAGTTGTTTTCTGTTGTTGAATAGTGTAAATCACAGTTGTTTGTAGTTTTACAATAAAACATAATCATTTAGTGACCGTTTTAGTGTTAATAATAATACTACTTGATAAGCGTAGAAAACTATATTTATGTATGAATGTAATTTTATATTTCCATGTAATCGTTTTTACAATATTTATAAATACGTACATAAAGTCGAAACGATTTCGTTTCTAAGTAAATGAGGTATTTAATGTAATTCAAAGGCTTCCGCACTGAGTTCACAGTAATTTCAATAAATTGGTATATTTTGATGAGATAATTATTTATTCGATCATCGATTTGAAGAAATCTTTAGCACCAAATCACTTATTCGTATTTCATGTATATATACATACTAATTGACCCCTCAGGCATTGTCCTGCGTGAAATTATGTTTTTTGAAAAGAAAATAAAGTTAGGATATAGTCAAGCTTCTGGGTATGCTGTCACAGTTGCTAGGCTATACTCAATGCCATACTTTTGCGTCCACGTCGCGCACCTTTGGAACGTGAGCAATCCTTGTGCAAGATGCGGTAACCAACCCGTGTGGAGCCACTCCGACTTATTCGGTTTAAGGGTCTGCTGAAGTTTATTTGCAGCGTCTGTTCACCAGCGGGCGTCGGTCTTGAAGCAAGAGGCTCGCTGTATAAATGTGTAGAAAAATTTAAACTTACTCGCCTCAATGAAAAACTTTACAACGCCTCGGATGAGAATTAACACTTCTCCAACCTGCTGTAATAGTAGTGAAAATGGAGTATGTGGAGATGGTGAACCCGAAACCCCAATCGATGACGATGAAAAAGACGTTCCATTACCTGACCATGAAGAAGTTCGAATAGCAAAAAAAACTACAAAGCGGCAGGAGCTGGAGGCCTACCGGCAGAACTATTGAATAATGGCGGTGAAGAGCTGACCAGGTGCATGCATCAGTCAATTTGCAGCACATGGTCAGACGAAAGCATGCTCGAATTTAAGTGTGCTCTCCCCAACCCATAAAAAAGGGGACCCCACAGTCTGCGCCAATTACCGTGGGATAAGCCTCCGTAATATCGCCTATAAGATACTGTCGAACGTATTGTGTGAAAGACTAAAGCTCACCGTCAACAAACTGATTGGACCTAAACAGTGTGGCTTCACACCTGGTAAGTCAACCATTCACCATGCATCGATTTGAAGAATATATTCACTTGCGAGTTGCGGTCAATAGCGGTGCAGATCTAAGAAACCTTGGCCGACTCACGATGTAGCAATCGGTCTTTCGGACCGATATTGGCGCAACCTTTTCGTAGAATCGTAACAAATTTTAATCTGAATTGATCATTTTGTATAAAAAACACATAAAGTTTTGACTGAAAAATTTTCAATAATTCACCTTTTGAATAGTCGAAATAACGAAAGCAAACGACCGAAATTGAACGATTGAAATAATTCTAAAATCAGCTGAAGAAATAACACAAAAAAAATGCATTGGAAATCAGCTTGGGTACATTCACCAATAGAAAAACAAAAAAAAAACACAGAAACTCGAAAAAAAGTTTTATGGGAAAATCACTTTTTAGAATTTTCCAATTTTTCGATTTTTCCTCAGTAGAAGCATACGATTTCTTTTATTTCTAAACATTTCCAGATCCACAACGAACAACCTCTGAAAATTTCATTAAGATTGGTCCAAACATACTCAAGCTTTAGCGTCACTAACAAACAAACATTAATTTTTATATATTAAGATTTACGCTTGATTAACTTGGTGTGTAGTACCATTCCGAAGACCAGGGCTTCATTCCTGATAAACCAATGTCCAAAACTATACAAAATTAATTTTTCTAATTGCGGTCGCAATATATCTGACATGAAATAAAAGCTCCTCATAAAAATCCATCGGCTGTTTGGGGGCAGCTCAGAATAAAATGAGGTCCCTTCGTTTGTTGGAAAGACATCGAAACGCATACCTTAAATTGGAGGGAAAACTCGGCCGAAATTGACTTCACTTTTAGCGCCAATAATATATATCTATATATATATATATATGTATACATTTATATATATATATATATATATATNAGACATCGAAACGCATACCTTAAATTGGAGGGAAAACTCGGCCGAAATTGACTTCACTTTTAGCGCCAATAATATATATCTATATATATATATATATGTATATATATATATATATATATATATATATATATATATATATCTATATATATATAAATGTATACATATATTTTTGAAGGATTGGGGATTGAAAATCAATTACACCCAATCCAATTTATTCAATATCGAAGTAAAATACTGTATTATGGTTGTATAATATTTCCTAAGATTTACGTGTCATTCAAGTGCTTGAATATTATTTCTACGAGGAATATAAAACATTATCTCTCTTCCAAAAGAGCTGTACCAACTTTAACGAATGGGAAAACGCAAAAGTTCTTAATCAAAAACCCTTAACCATCTTGACAGACGGCTTAAAATTGAATAACAAAGTAAGCTGGTGAATCCACTCATCGATGCTAATGCTTTAATATGAAATTTTCATTATGTTGCAGCGTCTTTCGAACAGAACTTACAACAGGTCTCCGAAGTCGGCGAATGGCTGCTCATATCTAGGGTCTCAGGACAGTTAATTATGCTGTATTCTATTCATTTAATTTCCAAAATATAACTACACCACGTCAAAAATATGTAAAATTATTTTGAAGAGACTATACATTGAGAGAGACTGTACTGTTTAAAAGAGTTTCACGGTAAAAGAATGAGATATTGCTGTAATGATTTTTGTCACAGTTTTAGATTTACTTTAGGAAATATTATTTTTATTCTTTATTATTTTCAGCCAAGGTTTTAGAAACCATTGTAAATGTAAAAATGAAGAGGGCAGAATGTTTTTACAGAATCGAAGGAAAACGTTTTTCCTATTCTATTGATACCCTTAATTTGAATACAACGAAGAAAGGAAAAAATACAAATGTTTAGCGGCTGAAAAATTAATTTTCCATCCCGTCTTTAACACTAAAATGAACAAGAAATTAAGCTAAAGTGTTTTTACCTTTCACGACCATTTCAAATTTATGATATTTTATTTTAGAAACATTAATTCTCATACCTGAAAAGTATATTGGTGGGACTGTATGATGAAGTTTCCCACTTTGGATGAATTTGAATGTGAATGTCTTTTTATATGTTTGTACATATGCCTTATACTAAATTTTGAGATTTTTGACTTAAAAGCTCATGTCTGAAGCATATAAGATGCATATGAAATAGCCCTCCGCTTTCGATGATTTCCGATGACAATATTTATTTGTATATATGTGAGTAGGACATAGCGAGGTAATCTAGTAACGAATGCCTTTAATGTCCTAGAGGAAATTGCTACGGTCTTGAAACCTTCTGCAAACCTCCAAATCTTTCCATAGAATTTTCGAGCATAACCTTTTTCGGCCAGCTTCTTAAGCTTTTCGTACTCACATATCTTAGCCTATTGCTTCCCTCTTCATGTCTCTGTATCTATCCCTCCCCGCACGTAAAGTTGTCGATTGCAACGTTGCGAGGTAGGGAGCCTGCTTTCTCTCCACTGGGGCGCGGTAGTAATCATCGTACCAGCTGTTTTTACGACCTTTCCGAAATACATTAGTTTCATTTGCAGCTGTACGTAGTGAACTAGAAATGCCATGCCACAGTTCTCTTATACCGAGTTACTGATGAGTGCTCACAGGGGGCAGGAATGCAAGAAAGAAATGAAGACTGTGCGGCAGTCTGTAAATATTGCAGCTTTTCGAAGTCGAACATTTCTTGTGTCTTTACTGCAACAAGATAATGGCCTGAGTCGATTTTGGGTCCTAGGAGTGTACGCACGTTAAGAAGATGAATACATGTCGTTCGTCTATCACAACATTTTCACTACAGGCGCTCGTAAAGGGCATCTTTGGCCACATCGTTACAAAATTTCCCTTTGATGCGTATTGTGGCGTGACGTCCATCTACAGGGGTGAATGCCAGTTTTCGATGACGGAGTCTCTCTCCCACCACGAATCCGACACCAAATTTGCGCTTCTCTATTTGGCCGCTGTAGTAAATGTCACAAGTACCTACCGTATTTTCCATTCTTGTCTCGTCCATCGCACTTGTTGGACGGAAGTGATGACAGACTTTATTTTAACGAGGAAATTAGTCAGCTAGGCAACGGCACCTTCCTGAACAAGGGACCGTATATTTTAAATCGTTATCCCTAAAGCATTTGCAAGGGCCGTCATCAAAAGGGGGTATCCCATCCGTGTTATGTTTAAATTTTTCATTGGAGCTAGCTTCTACGTGGCGGGCTCCAAATTCGGCGCACAACCTCGAAATGTGAGTACGTTTCAATTTTTACTTATTTTTATAGCGAAGCGACAGTGCCAAGACCTCAATTAGACTTTAGCGGACCCTTAAACCGAATATGTTGGAACGGCTCCACTCGAACTTCCTCTCTTTTTGCCGTTACCCAAGGCTTCACACGGATTGATTACCGCATCTTGCACAAGGGTTGCTCACGTTTCCAGAGGGCGCGACGTGGACCCAAGAATAGGAATTGAGTATAGCTCCGCGACTGTAACTACACCTCATTACGCATCAACAACTAAAATTCTTAGCATATTATTATTTGCGATTGGTTTCCTTTCTTTTGCGCATCAGTATGAAAATGGCTGAAAATTTCTCAAGTTTTCCAATGATTTCGATATATTAAATGACCAAAAATAGCTTAATCGCTCATGTACACAAAAATATTTTATACAATAATGTTCGGTAACCAGATGGGCTCGCCTTATTCCACACACCTGCGAGGCCAACACTTTTAGTTATATCGATTTGTCCGTTGCTTACCAGAAATAGAAATAAAAATCAAACAAACCCATACAACGGGTGATCTAAATAGATGTACTTTTTTAATAGCCTTCTTTGGCATATCACGCGGAGATCGTGCCAAGGTGTCATATTATTTTTATTTAGTATTGTTTGGCGGCCTTGGCGTTACAAAGCGTCTATATACATATATTGCTTGGCATTTTATCATGGAAAGACTTACGCGTGAACAACACCCGCAAATCGTTCAACTTTATTACGTAAATACACGTTCTATAAAGAAAATAATCGGCCCTACTTATCATAACATCATCACCCATCTTGAGACCCAGCAGATTGAGGTTCAAGAACTGTCATTGGAATCATCGGTAAATATTTCTTCAAAAATTATGTTCATGGCAACTATTGATAACTGACTATTTGATGTTCGCATCAATCACTTTTAGCACTTTTTCCTGTGGGGTAATGGAAAGTCTGAAGTATATGCGGACAGGTCCGTTTCCTTACAGATCCTGGAGCAAAACATTACGCCTCTCATTCGTCAATAACCCATTAAAATGCTAGAACAAGTCATCGAGAATTGGACTCAACGGATGGACAATCTGAGACATAGCCCGGGCAACGTTTGAAGGAGATTATTAAAAAAATGCCAAAAAACGCTTTTTCGAATGATACAAACATTCCCCACTAAATTTGAATTTTCGTTTTTTTTTTTCAATCTCTAAAAGAGAATTCCTACGAAGTGGATCATCCTTTACTTTTCTGATCAACATATCGAAGATATTTAAATCACCGCACATCTTCCAACCGTGGTATTTATATTTTAAATTACGAAGAGCCAATTCCAAGTTCTCGTAGGTTTCCTTAAGGTGTTCATATTGACCGACAGGATTGGAAGCATGTTAAAATGTTTTTATAAATCAGAACTGTTTTTAGGCTTCTTTTTGTAGTATTAAATGGAGTGGAGCCACCCCGGCATATTCGAATTGAGTGTTCGTTGGATTCTAATTGCAGTGACGAAAGCAGGCCGCTATACGAGTATACATATGTACAAGTGTACGCTAAATTGAAACCTACTTTTAACTTTGGCGACACGCGAGATTATAGGATAGATCAGAAATCGGCTGTGTTTTTTTTTTTATTTATTTTATTAAATGCTACAATTTTTTAACGATATTAATTATTTTTCAAAGAAGTATAAAAATTTTTTTTATTTAATTTTAAGTTTTCTTCTTCTTTTTTTGTAAATCCGAAGTTTTTTTCTAAGCATACAATGCAACTGGCTCTTATACTTACGAATTTGCCTTCATATATATTGGTACTTAGATAAATATGTTCAATTGTTCACATGTATGTATGTATGTATTTAATAAATTTCAACAACCAATCATTTAAAAATAAGTGATTTTTATTAGGAAATATATTAATTGAACAAAAGAGTGTAAGAACGCATAACTTCATATACTATATACTATGTATATCTAAATAGTATGTATGTACGTAGAAATATTTAATTTTAATTTTTGTATATGCGTGTTTTTATGTATGCGTGCAATTTTATGCATATTTTGTATAATTTGTTACTCTTCAAAAATGGCGTAATAGTTTTAAATTATTTTTGACAAAAATATTGCAAATTCTTTTGGTGTCGTTTGCTTATATATTAAAATGCTTCAGGCTTTCGAAATAAAATATAAAAAAAAACATAAAAACATAAAAGCATAAAAACGCATTAAATGCAAATTTCTTATGACACTTAAACTAATTAGTTAATAATACTTTATTTACAGTTAAAACGTAAGAAGCGACACTTACACACATGAACTTATTACATATTTAAATTTCTGTTGTTTGTTAACATATATTTAATGATTAATTATGTGTGATGTTTTATGTATATATATATGTATATATATATATTTAACTTAACATTATAAGTAGGTTGAACTAAATTTAAAATTTGCTTTCTTCTCTTTATCACTAAAAAAAATCTTATATTTTGTTATTTGTTTAATTTTTCATCATTTCACTAATCCTCAGTCACCATCACTTTCAATGGAAAAAATACTTTTATACAATGGTAAGAATTTGCATAAAACATTCACTTGATTACTAATATTCGTCGCCGTCATAAATTGCCGATACCACACTAACAGCTTCTCATCGAAATCACCCCGCTCGTCCTCCTCCTTCAGTGTTTGCATATAATCACCCACAGTAGTAGTAAATAATTGCGTAAATTCCATAAAACGTTTCTGCATTTCAATTTCGATCTGCATCACGCCCGCCTTTCTCAGAGCATTATCTATAATTACATTTTCCGCTGTTGGCTGCTTTAATCGCGTCGTATTGTGCTGCTCCACAAATGATTCGAAATTTCTCGCCATCAACGTTTTTACACCGAATTGGGCTAGTTGTGTTAGAAAATCTTTGCCTTTGTCCATTTTGAGTGCGTCTCTCACGTCTGCCATAAATGAGACGCAGCTCTTTTTCACCGCCTCCATTGTCGCACATTTCACCATCTCAATTGTCTCGTCTTGTAGAAACTGGTTGACGACCGATCTCTGTTGCTCCAATGCATAATCAATCATCCGTGTCATTTCGCGCATCATTATGAACGCAAGCCGATCGCGTACGCGTTGCTTAAGTGACGACAGCGACACTTCTCGCCTCGTTTCATCACTATCTTCGCCATCAACACCAATACTAATGTCATCTGTGGCAACGGCACCTTCACCACTACACTCAGCATCACCAACGCCACTGCCCACGTCGGGCGCATTTGTTTCTTCACCAACGATTTGTTCCTCTCTCACACCCTCGCCATTATCTGACTCTATGCTTTCCTCTGCTCCTTCTTCGTCGTCAACATCTTCACTGGTTAATGTTGTTTTTATACTTAATTGCGGTGCCGTTTCCTTTGTCCTACTCGCTGTGCTAGTCTCTTCGTCGTCGTCATCATATGTGTCAACTGTCGCTTCATCGGCATCGTCATGATCGTCTTTGTCGTTAATATCCAATGCGGTCGCCTCGAAAAGCTCGGTGCTACTACTGCTGGTGGTGACGATGTCTTCTGCATTAGCTGCCGGTTGCGTTGATTCTGTTGCGACCAACTATTATATGTATGCATATATGTATATAAGTAAATAGATGTTTTTATTAATGGGTATATGTGTATATATATATATATATGTATGCATGTATGTATGTACGTAGCAACATGCGTATATGCACATATGCAAGATCTGTTTATGCTTTATTATCGTTATTTTTTTCATTTATTTTATTTTATTTTATTTTATTTTATTTTTTGTCATTCATATTTCTTTCGCTTTTTTTTCTTGCATTATTTAGTTTGCATGTAGTTTAAGGTCAGATTTGTTTATAAATAATAATAATAATAGAAAAGTGTTTAGTGGGGAAAATTGACTTAGACTCACCTGTGCTAAGAGTAAGGCGGTGAGCAGCAGCAGCAGCAGTAGCAGTGGCAGCGTCGCTTTCTTCCACATTCTCTCAGCGTAAAAATGCTGTACCACACACCAATGACTGAGATGCAACTGAAATTGTTTATCATGTCTATAGTCTTTTATACATTACACTTAATAAAAGAGAAATTGCAATATCTCTTTGATTTGTTTTGTATGTTTTTTATATTTTCACACCCTACACGCAACATAAGGAGATCTCTCAGTTTAATGGATAGCATGCGAGTGTATGGAGTTTGCGGGATTGCTAAGGTGGAACATAAGCACTGTTTATCGGTCTTGTAGGACGGATAGAGAGGTGTGGGAAAGAAAGCAAATTAATGTTATATAAAACAATGAAAAGAATAAAGTAGAATAAATTAAATTTAATTAAATCAAATAAATTTAAGCTAAAATAAATTGAATAAAATTTAATTAAATTATAATATAGCTTTTGTTGCAATTTTTTTACTATTTCTAAAAAATATATGGTCTGAAACAGTTCCACAAAAACCCCAAATATATAATAAATTAAATTGAATAATATTAAATTTAATTAAAACCAAAAACTTAACTAAAACAAATGAAATTAAATTGAATTAAATAAATATAGTTTTTATTCAATCAGACTAAGTTAAACTAAATTATATTTCAATAAATTAAATTAACTAAATGATTAAATTAAATTAAATGATATTATATTTAAATAAATTATTATATTAATTCGAATTAAATTAAATTATATTAAAGGAATTGAACTTAATAAAGTCAAATTAAAAAAATGTTTAAATGAAATTAAAATTAAGCTAAATTACATCAAATTAAATTAAATTAAATTGGATTAAAAAAATAATGTAATTAGTTATATCATATAGAACCACATTGCTTTATTTTAAATAAACTGCACTTAATTAAGTTAAATTAAAATAAAAATATTTATTTAAAATTAAAAGTAAGCTAAATTACATCAAGTTCAATTATATTGTTTTTTTTTAATTAAAGTTATATTACAATGAATTAAATTAATTTATATTAAAATATCTCAATATTAATTAAGTTAAATTAAAATAAAATGAATTAAATTAAACAAAGTTAAGTTTTATTGAATTAAATTAAAACATATTAAAATGACTTGAATTCATTTACTATAAATTAAAATTAGTTTGATTAAAACCAAAACAGCAGTATCCGAGTGGTTAGCAGTGCATGCTACATAAATTAAGTTAAGTTAAATAAATAAAATAACATAAAATAATATATAAAATAATTTGAACATAATAGCGCGCATATGTAGTATGTACATACATTCATTTAATCTTTTGTTTGAAAATCCAAATAAAACTGTGCTTTATTCTATAAAAAAACGTATATTATATTATTGTAAAAAATTAAATGAATTATGATATTGAATATTAAATTTTAATTTTTTTATTATTTTATGTGCTTAACTCAATTTTGAAACTTTATTATTATCATGTATTAGTATGTCGCCGAAGGCAGTCGACCTTAACTATTATTTATTCAAATTATTAACACAAATAATGGAATTATACTTAGAGTACTAATTTAATTTGTTTCATTGCATTAAAGATTTTCTCGGAGTGAAATAAACTAACTTCAGCGGAATAAAATAAAATTAATGAAATTAAAGTCAAGTAAAATGCATAAAAAGAATAAAAAACTAAAAATAAAAATAAAATATGATAAAATGAAAAGAAATAAAATACAAATGTAAATTAAATAAAACTTGACTATATATATTGAAGTAAAATAAAATAAATTTAAATTAAGTTAAATAAATTAAAAATATAAGAATAAAATAAAATTGTATAAAATAACATGAAGTGTAATAAAATTAAAAAAAAATTATATAAATAAAATAAAATAAAATAAAATAAAATAAACTTAAATAAAATAAATTAATATAAAATAAAATGAAGTAAAAAATCAAAGTAAATTTAAAATATTGAGACATAATAAAATAAAAGAAAGTAAAATGAAATATAATCAAAGGAATTAAAATTAAATTGAATTAAATCAAATAAAGTACACTATTGTAAAAATAAAATAAAATGAGAGGAAATTAAATAAATTAATACTAATGGATTTGACTACCTTTTTACTTTAACCTACTTCTCTTTGACGGCTTGAGATCGATAAGAACTTAAAAAGCATTGTGTTTTCATTAATATCGAACTCGCGCCGGCAAACAAAATTAGTTTAAAGAAAAATAAAATAAAATAAATAAAAAAATTAAACTGACAAAAATAAAAAATGAACTGAAATAAAATCAAATAAAACATATATTACATTCACTTAAATTATATATATTATAACATAATATAATAAAACAAAATAGGTTAAACTAGAATAAAATAAAGTGTAAAAATATAAATTTTAAAACATCAACTAATAGTGGCTATTTCAATTTTTACTGAAATGTAGTATCGAAATTATTATTTAATTTTTATAAATACGAAAACAACAGATATTTCATTTATTTAATTTTTAAACTCTAACGGCTTGAGACCACCTAATATACTAGCAAAATCGACATATATTAGAGATGTTCAGATTTCGGTATTCACTTTTACATATATTTCTGATTTATTCTATATTTAAAAAATTTTGTATACTGTTTTTTTTTTTTTTTGATACACCTCCTCCTCCAACTCCCCCACCGTCGTAGAGCGCCTCATATTCGCACTTGACCGCACCGATTTGCGAACTTGTTTTTAATTGGAATCAATTGCTTGCATTTTCAACACCCAATTACATACATATTTTCATACATAAAAAATCACACGCGTTCATAAATACATACGTGTACTTATGAAAGTACATATCAACAGTACGCGTCAGAAGACTAATGCCTAGCAAATGGGTTATCGAGGGCTATATGTACATATATGGTGATTTTTGCTTAGTAAATACACTAAGTAAGCGAACTGTTTCATTTTGAAATGATGACGCATTGCAAGAAAAAAAAATTATTTTCTTAATTCTATCTGCGAATAAAATTTCCGGTGTCTTCTAAATAAGATTCAAAAAAATATTTTATTAAATTTGTCTTCTACTTTTATGTCGCTTAGTGTATGCAAATATGCAAAATACACAATGTACATATATATGTATATACATATGTATATACGTATATGGCAACACACACTCTGAGCAACTTTCAATGGAAATATTAATGTTCCTCTGCAATGCTTTCAGTTGCGTTTCGGGATAGCTTCTCTTTATATCTCAATGAATTCTTTATATTTACGACAAGAAGGCATTCATAATAACTTCATAATATATACATATGTATGTATATGTACATGAGTATACATGCATAATTATATATACATACATACCTTATTTAAAGATACATATAATGCATATGTAGCTATATAAGCGTTTTTTTATATACTCTACGCATGTGTGTATGTATGGATGCTTGCATATCTTAATCGATGACAAACAAATTTATATTTATTATAAAATGTGTCAGTACCGTAATCTCAAAAAAATATTGAAGAGTGTGTTAGCGTTTTATTTTTAAAAATTATATTCAAAACGTTATAAAAGTTTATGTAGCACTGAGTTTTGGGAATTTAAATTTTGTTAGTAACAATTAATTTTGGGTTTGTTAAAAAATAATATCTAAACAAAAACTTATTTATAAATTCTTGGAATACTTTATATTTCCCACAATCTCACAAAGATACAAATATGTCGTCATACATACATACATATATATATGAACATAGGTAAATGCTGTATATACAAAGATACATACTCTATACATACATACACAGGGCAATCTATTTTGGGATTTCGAGAATGCATTTAAAATGATTTTTTTTCATGAATAATTATTCAATAATAAATCTTGGGTTTTCCGAGCTCTAGACTCGACAGTTTTGTTTATCGAAGTTGCCATCGAAGTGGAAATGGGCCTCTTTAGTCAAGCTGATTTTTCGATGAAATTTTGACAGTGAATTTTAATAATTTTGATGAGTTGTTGAAGCGTGTATCACTTCATTCTTATTACTGGCGCAGTTTTCACTTATCAAATGTCAAAAAATTACACAGCTTCAAATTGACTTCTACCGAAATAGCAGGCTATTGTTATGTTATTCTTTATGTGACACACTACGTCATTCAAATGACCGCCCGCGAATTTTTTTCTGGTAATTTTCAACCACTTTTTAACACATATTGGGCGACACCTCAACCATAACTTGACTAATGTTGGCTTTCAACTGCTCAATAAACGCGGTCTTTCGTGTAGCCTCACAAACAAAAATTTCAATGGCGTCGAATCGCACGATCTCAGCGGCCAATAGACATCGCCAAGACTATATATTGTCCAAGTCTTGTTTTTTAACTGTCAACGCTCCAAATTGACGGTGACAGTCACACCTCCAGACCAGAGAGCGCACCATACGGTAAGTTTGTTTTTTTGTGAAATAGTCTATTTTCATTTGAAGATTATCGGAGTTTCAAAGGCGACAATTTGATTATTTAAGTATCTCCCGACTGAGAGATGTGCTGGTCGCTGAAAAAAATTTTTCCGCAAAACCGACGATCACTGTTTGCTGCTCTCTGTACCCAATCTACGTATGTATGTACCGCGCTGTGAGTGGTCCCTTGTTGTGTGAACTAGCTTTGATACGGATGTAGGTGTAGGTCCAAGTGGAAAATGCCCCATAATGTGCCGTAAGAAATTCTCAACTCTTGAGTACGTCGCCACTTAGACACATTCGGGTCTTCAGCTACACCTTCACTTACAGTGGCGTTGATGCACAGGCCTCACAGCATCTGTAATTCTTCCAGTCCCCTTAAAACCTTCTCAATGTTTTGATTAGCTGGACGATTCTGTGCAATGTAATCTCCAATTAAAGCGCTTTTCAAACTTCGAAATGGTTAACCCTACATATGCAGGTTTGTAGTCTTATATGAGTCCGACAATGGTTCATTAATAGTTTCCATTTTCAATCATATACACAACCGTTTGATATTCTAACATACAAATAGCTGATACAATGTATACAAATTTCATTATTGTGTATTTCTTTATTCCTTGCAAATCAATAAAAAAA